GTCGGTAGCGCCAGTATCGATTGATATTCGAAACTCGGTTGATCTAATCGACCCCTTAACAAATAAGCCATGGTGTGGCCCCATTGCCGGAGTCATTACCGTACTGACTCCAACCTCGTTTTCATTCTTTCTCTTCAAACTCCGTCGCCCTTCTTCTGTGGGTCCTCTGCATTCCTCAGCCTTTCCGCGGACCCTCCGGTCGGCTGGTTCTCGTTTCCCTGGTTACGGGGACGCTTTCGTTTCGGCTGTGTACATTCTCTAGCAAATTGTCCCTTTACACCACAATTATGACAATTTAATTCAAAGGCTTCGGCCTGCGCAGAGGAGGTGGGGTACCCGGCACCTGTTGGTCTGACGTAGCTGGCGACGTCACTGGTCGTGAAAACATGGCCCCCATCAATTTCTCCAACTGCTTCGTCACGTCGGCTACACCCTTTATGGCTCGTTTGACAGACTGCATCCTTTCTTCAATGTCCCCATCTATACGTCTGACAAACTTGGCTGGTCTCTCGTTGACTTTTCTTTGTGCCTCTACCTTATGGAAGTTCTCAGTCTCAAGCGCCGCCTGCAATGCCTCAGACAAATTCTTCGGCCTTGCTCGGAAGATTCCCTCTCGGACGTACTGATCAGCTACAGCGTCCGTGAAATGATTTTTCTCCAATCGCTCTCTCGCCTCTTCGGGAATTTCCGGATACGCCTTAACTGCTAACTCATGTACTGCCTGACACAACTCTTGCAAAGACTCCTTCGGCTTCTGCCGACGATGACGTAACTCTATTAGAAAATTCTCAGCCTGCTGGCCAGGCCCAAACCTCCTAGCCAACAGCTTCACTAATTCTTCATACTTCAACTTCCGGCCCTGGAGACGCCCTCTCCAAGAAAGCGAATTGCATCTCCTTGGAGGCTCGCGGCCAAATACTCGGCCGATTGTAAATCGTCACATCGGTTCACCAACCGACAACTCTCGAAGTGCCCGTAGTACTCGTTCCACGGCACTTTGCCACTGTAGCGGTCGGGAACAATACTTGGTCGGCGGGGAACCAGACTAAGCCTTCCCCGCAACTCATCTTCTCCAACAACTCTCTCCTCCCTTTTAACTGGACAAGGCCCCGCCCCATCCTTCTCATCAGCCCGCACGTTGTCATTCTTAACACTTGGCGAACGCGAGGCAAAACTCATCAGCTCGCTGTAGAGCTTCTTCTCTGCATCAAGTGTATAGATGGCATGTGAACACATGGACTCTCGTTCACACCCCTCCCATGTACAGCAGAGACTATCGGACTGGACGCCGCCTCTTGCCTTGGAGGTGTCCAATCAATTAAACTGCGCCCACCATCGTTTTCCTTGCAATGGACTTCTGGCGTCTTCAACTCAGTCAGTGCTGGTGCTCTGAACGACCCATACCCTGACGTCTCCTCCCTGTTTCCAGCCAAATCTTGGCTAGGGAGCCGGAATGACATCCAAATCAATTCTCTCGCGCTCAAATGACTTCTGCACATCACTTGGACCAGGTCTACCAATCGGGCTCGATCCTGCTTCCTTAGCATCTCGCAATGCTGCTTCTAACTTCATGATTCTGTCCAATTGCTGAGCCTTTTCCCACTGCAACAACTGAACCTCCATCCGGGACCTGTGCAAGTCCCCCTTACTTGAGCTACCATTCATACTGCAGTTTCAACCTCGTACTCAGCCGGCGGATCAAATCTTGCAGACCTCAACCAACGAAAGTACCTCCTATCTCTCCGATGAACAAGCCAAACGTACCAAAAGTAAATGACAGCCAACACAATGCAAACCAAGGCTAACGCAATTGATGCCCACAGTAGCTGCTGCATCGACCAATCGAATCACAGGAAACTAGAACTCCAAACTCAAGACAAAACCTTCGAGGATGATCCCACTTCTGACACCAATTTGTGACGCCGCACCCCTCCGACGAAGGCGAGGGCGCCCTCTTCCTCGAGGCGCGTCGGATTGGACGGCACGCTGGAGAGTCCCTGAGCGGCTAGGGACGAGTCCGTTGGGACCGAAGTATATACCGTCCCCCAAGAAAGTTGGTCTTCGTCGAGATGATGGCTAATCTGATTGGTCGAAACTTAATGACGTAACCCAGACAGACCTGACTTGAAATAAACTTCGCCCGGACACCTGATTTATGTACAACAATTAATAAGCGGCTGATTTATTCGACACACTCAACCAATACACCAGTAGAGGGCGCTATTGACGGGGAGACTGTGTGATTACACGTGACCGGACTTCGCCCAGAGCAGCGAACACCACAATTAATTGTGGGCATCCAGTGCCGACTCAGGGACTTTGGCAAGTCTACGGGGCTTATTGTCAGGGCTGCACTACACGCAACTCACGTCACGAGATAGCAATCCACCCTTGCATCGACCACAATTCCTCAGTATCAGGAACTATACCGCACCACCAATCAGCCCCTCAAGCTACCGAGCCCCTCAACAACACACGCACCACTCGGACTTAGGCACAATCACACTAGGCTAGGTCCCAACGGACTCGTCCCTAGCCGCTCAGGGACTCTCCGGCGTGCCGTCCGACGCACCTCGAGGAAGAGGGCGCCCTCGCCTTCGTCGGAGGGGGGGGGCGGCGTCACAATACGGATCCCATAGGCCCTCTCGACATTCTCGGTCTCCAGCAGCTCTTTCGTTGCAGCGCAGACGACGTGCGTTGCGCCCTCAAGTGTCATCTATCGTCTGCCGAAAGAGGCCGCTATGAACTCTTCAAAAATAGCAAGGAAGAACCGTAAATCTTGTGCTTTTTTTGTTTTTTTTTACTTTTGAGATGCGCACAACCTCCACAAATAGACTTCCAAAGACAAACTTGTTTAATATTTACAATATCACTTTTACTCACTTTTTAATACTAAAATTGTTTGAATGAAATATTTTTTACAAAAACATAAATAACCAACTGATACCCTCATCATCATGATCATAAAGAACTATTATCAACTTCAAGAATTTAAACTCACACAGTGCAGTGCAACACGTACAGTCATTACATTCTTGTAATGTGGTGCACAAGAGATCAACATAGTTCTAACTCAGACACAAAATACAGCATTCTATACCCTTGATGTCTTGCCTAAACGGTCAGTCGTAACCATTTTGCTTGTACTTCATCAAGAATCTTGCCAACATTTGTTAAAACTAAAATTCAAAAATAGTGAAACTGCCACTGTGAAATAAATTCTGATTATGCACATATATTTAGTGCTTTATTAGTGAACCTAAATTTATTTCACAAGAATAAGTGCTTTGGGGGGGTTTTACATGAACGCCAAACAATCACTTGTAAAAAGGAAAATGACCATGATGACAGAGTTCTAAACAACGCCGGAGTCTAAAGGCCATTTTTCTCATCAGTAATTTTTTTTAAGAGTTAATTAGAACTTGAGCACACTGAACTTCTCTGTTTTGATGTATCGCTCCGTTTGGTATCCTACCAAACAGAAACATTACATGGGTGTAATCATGAGGATTTCTAATGATTTAATACACTGTACAAGATTCTTATAAAAGACTTTAACTCCAAAGAGGCTCTCAGGTAACATCTGACCTATTTTGCTGGATTCAGCCTACATGAATGCCTAAAATTACCATCATTAATCAGATACAGCAATCCAACAAAATAAGGAATTCACCACCTACAAGTATTGCCGTGGGCTCTTTTCAAAGACCTCATTGTTTTCTTCTCAGCTACAATTATCTGCAGAGAAAACTGTAACCGGGGACAGGGGAGGGAGAGTGCCAAGAAAATTCCAAGAGAGTGAGCCAAAACTTGGCTTGGTCTTAACTTGAACTAGCAGTCCTTAATTAAACAACCCTTCTAATCACCCTCAAAAATTTGGTAGCAAATCTGCTTATGTTAGCAACGGATATCATGGGGTTGTGCCAATATTCAATAAATACAATAGTTTATCTGTGATATAAACTTGTAAGTATGTGATATGCAAAGAATGCGAACTGCCTAACAACCCTGTGTACTAAATCTGACAAACCTCTGGGTCATTCTACAAATTAGGGGTCCCTTTTTTTTCATGTCCCTGTCACACCTGACCTATGATTTTGTAAGTTCAGAACGTATTTTCTAATTCCAAGAGTGATGAATTAATGCAAATTACCTGCCAAACAAATATTAATAGTTTGAAATCAATTCCGGTGATATTTCCATGTCAGATTAGATAGGTCAGGTGTAACAGGGACACAAAAATGTCATACTTTTGGACCTCAAATTTATTGAATGACCCATTTGACAAAACTGCACAGCTCACAAACAGTGACTGACGCGAGGCAAGCCAGAAAATTTATGGCTCTCAGAAAAAGCAGTCCCTGCGCTGTACAAATAATTTCCAATCGTCTGAGGAACTGCATTTCATAGACCTTTCCATAAGACAAAAGACTTAATATTCTTCACTAACAAGATAATCTGTTTGGAAGATGAAAGTACAAAGAGTCCCTTCAAATCCAAACTGCTTCGGTAAAGAACAGAAACTACTGGTTCAGCTTTTCTGAGGAACGGGAGAATGTCATGAGAAACACGAACACTTGCGGCGGTTGCGAGACGAAATAATGTTATGTCGTGCCGAGTTGTATTCCGCGAGTTGGCGATGGACACATGAAAAGATTGGAGGTTTGAACTGAACGTTAAGAATTCTAAAGAAGCTTTTCTCTGAACGGTTTCTCTCAAAATGTTTACTTTCTTCGTTTTTTTCCTGGGGAATTCAAAGAGTGTAGCTTTGATGTTTGTAGCACGCAAGCCATGTATATCATTACACAGGAACTAACATGCACAATAATGGACTTTAACGTGGTCTAATTTCTGACAACTGCACATTAGGATCTTGCATGGTGTGACATGTATGATTGCAAAAGTACTGCACACTCTCAACACACCCCCAAAGACAGTGAGGCGTCAGTGCGTTTTGGATTTATTGCCCGTCGGCACGGACGTCCCGAGATGTCTCCCTCGGCTAGCTCTTGGCACTGGGGAAGATCTGCGTCTTCTTGGCGCACTTCCACATGGCCTCCAGGATGCGCGACAGCCCCAGCTCCTTGGACTTGTCCAGCCCCCGTTGCACGCGGTTCTTGACCACGCCCACAAACTCCTTGTTGCTCAGTTTGCCGTCATCTGCATGAGATGGGGGGAGGAAGGCGAGCGTCAAAAGGATGCACAGATATCAATCGCAGGGGAAAAAAATTCAACGAGTAGCCATCATACATAGTTTTGCACAGTACGTGGTTCTTTGATACAAACAGCAAGACAATGCAAACTCAATGCCATTCTGTGCATGGACTGCAATACTGGTACTAACCGTTTTCATCAAACAGAGTGAACACGACGTCCAACACCCTATCGCTGAGTTTTACCCCGGCAACCATGTTACCCACATGTCGCAACGTCTCTGCATAAGGAAAAATCACACATCAGTATTTAATTTATTTTTTTCCCCCAAATGTAAATTTCAATTTGTGTTTTCTTTTTCCAATATTGTAAATGCCATGCAATGCAGCCTCTGGCTGTGAAGATATTTCCCACATTCTTGCATGATTGATTTACGTATGTGGGACGTCAAAGTTTAGGATAAGGATGGACTCATCAAAGGTCTTCCAGTTTAATGAGCCTCCAGCTGGACCAAGAAAGGGCGTTATTCTCTTAGCAACGGAGGCTCCTTTGGTCAGAACTGAACTTCCCTGGTTCACGAACGACTAGGAAATGAATGCATCACGGTCGCATCGCTACCAACAAATTGAACACTAGCAACCAACGCGACTCTTTTGAACCGACGAGGGAGCGCCTCTGCTGAAAGCGGATACCATGTGTACTGTGCCGAATGAAGGCATTCCTTTTACATGGTGACCAAACATGGATGTCGCAGATTTACAGCTCAAGGCAAAGTTACTCTGTATACACCGCAAAAACATTTTTTTGTCACGAGGAAGGAAATTTTAGCAAACATCTGGTGACGGTTGTCCATTACCTGGATCGATAGCTGCACCAGCTACGTGGTAGAAAGACAGTGCTGTATCGATGTCCCGGATGTTGTTCAGAAAGGACTGGAGGTCCATGAACTCTTTGAAGGTGATACCCTGTAGAGTGAATACATGATGAGGTCAAAGCGGTGAAGATGTCACCCCTTGGCCTTTCACAACTCCGGTCTGCCCTAGTGCCAACTCCACTGAGGTACGACAACATGGAGGGTTCTAAACTGTTCAACATAGCCACTCCGTGCAGGGCAAAGGAAACGGCACGTCTTCTTTATGTAGCAACTGCATTCCCCTGGTGGAAACCCATTGTGTTTACGCACAGGTTTGTGCGTGCTTGGCACGGGATGCACCAGCCAAAGTTGCCAAGCGCTTCACAATGATTACCCCTGCTCACTGGGCCATGAGATAATTTTCTGTAGCAGCTAGAGATAAGTGCAATTTTTGTTTCTATTCTCAAATGTACCCATTTATAACCTGGGTGGAGAGACCCACTTGTGGTTAAGTGTCTACCTGGGGAACCACAAACACCACAAAACCTGTGGAATTTGAACCTAAGTACCATCGTTTGTGGGCCAAACACCGGAACCACCGGGCAAAAGTATCCTCAATGAACCTACATGGCCCCCCCCCTAGATGGCCACAGAAGAGGAGCCAATTACCTTAACTTCGGCGTCATCGTCGGCAAACTTCTTCTTGACTCTCTTCCTCATGCGAGACCTCCTGGGCTTGGGGATCTGGTTGGCGTAGACCAGCAGGAAGTTGGCCAGGTTCACTTCCGTGATTCTGCCGTCCACCGGCTCGTATCTGTCAAACTATGATGAAAAAAACCAATGAAACATCTCTTGGCTATTAGCTACTTCATGCAAACATGCTTCAATTTGGAGGGGGAGGGTGAAAATTAGGAGCCAACATAATGAACGAGTTTCAGCACATCGCAATAAAAAGAGGCGAATGGGCCCACCTCCATCTTCAAGATCTCCTGGTTGAGTTTCTTGTAGAATTTGCGGAAGGTTTCAAAGGTCAGTTTCTTGTCCAGGTTGGGGCCGAAGAAGACCGTGTCCAGGGAGCTGTTGAAGGGCTTGTCCAGGGTGTTGCCGGTGGTCTTGCGGTCGCGGTGCCTCTTCCCGGTTGCCGTCTGAGCTCGGATGACGTCCGTCACCTAAAACAACAAAGGCACTGCGTTGAACATCACAAAACTTTCACATTAATCTTGTGCCGTTTTCACTTCAACACAAACAACTTATGCTCCTTCACAATACAACGTCATCGAGAGAAGTACGGTACAGAAACGCACTCAGTCATGGCCAATATTCAAACAAAGTGAAAAAACACTGAGCCAAGCACAACATTATCGCAAACACAAACCTGGAAAGAAACTTGGTTGACTAAGGAAGAGAGACAGAAAAACTAAGTGTTCCCTCCGAGATCTACAAACACGGCTTTGATATTAAAGAACTTTTGGAAAAACAACTTTGAATACGCCGGCACCCAAGCCTCCGTTACTCATCTGAGACAAAAGCTTTCAAATAGAATGAACAACCCCGACCCCACCAACGAACTGGATGACTCCAAACTGTCCTTCCTCAAAATTTGGAATGCAAAATCACTTAACTTTCTGTATTAAAGCAATGTTCCTAACAAATGAAGGTACATGTATGTATACCTGTTGGAATTCATCGTAGGATACCTCACCGTCTCCATTGATGTCAAACAGACGGAAAGCAATCTCAAAATGCCTCTCTGGAGCTAAGTAACGACAGACAGATGAATAGTCATAAGTCGATGATGAATATTTATGAATTTAACATGAATTTTAGTGAGTCTACCATGAATATTCATTCTTTCCCCCGGGAGGAAATTGGGCTCATCTTGGCTCTAGCAGTGCCCAGCGAAATAGCCAGATGTGACATCAAATTTAGCGAACCCATCTTTTTGTCTTGTTACTGTTGGACTCACTTGACAAGACCGTGATGAGGAACATGTAGTCAGCAAAGGAGATGAGACCGTTGTCTCCCAACATGCTGAAGATGCTGTGATCGTCCCTGTCATGAAGACTCTTCCTTTTCAAGTTCAATTTCTGGCAGGAAATTCAAAGTTACGCAGCAAATACTTGCTTTTATACCGAAATAATGCCCCTACCCATGAAAAAAGTTAAAGGGCCCGTGAGCAGTGGCTTCTATTAACTATAATTGAAAAATGAATACTTTAAACAACAAATTAACAGGTTGTCCACGGAGATCTTAATGGACCCTTTTAAGTCAGGAGGATTTAATTGGAGCAGTTGAAGCAGTTGAATGCCATTTCAACGATAAAATCACAGAAAACTAAAAACTGAAATGCTAACAGCCAATTTCAAAATCTAAAATATTTGGGAGAAGGGCTTTCACAGTGATAATAAACTGAAAAAAAACAAGGGACCTTTTGATATCTGAATGTGTTGATTAAAAAAATCTAAACAACTGTTGATACAAATCAAGATGTACATCTCTGTAAAAGGGAGTGTAAGGGATGTCAGCAAGAAAAATGATCAAACCTAGAGAAAGGTAACTACAACTAGTAGAGTTATGATGTAACTAAAAATGAAACGTTTTCTTAGATTTTACGCACCTTTGCCTCAACCTTTTTGAACTGATCCAAGCCTAAACCTGTGAGAGAAAAATACCAGGGATTATTGTCAAGAGATTTTTTTTTTTAAAACCAGAGTGTCTGAGGATTGCTTGAATGAAGCAGAATTCCCTTGGCATTTTGTAGCTCATGATGACAGGGTCAAAGGATTGAACCTAGCTGCTAGCCATAGGTTGTGGCCTTGGGCAAGACATTTTACCCCAATTTACCTCTTTCCAGCCAGAAGTAAAAATGTGTAACAGCATTAGCTGAGGAGCAACCTACGACAGACTGGCATATCTTAAGGGGAGGTGGCACAGAAATATTCTCAGTTGAAAACGGATATGAGCACTAGTCATACAAGCGACACTGGCTCGTGAAACGTCAATTGTTTTTGTAAACTAGACTTCAAAGGAGCATCAAAGCCTGTCACATAAAGCCAACAGGCCTGCACTCTGCCTTCAACGAGACTTAAACAACCCCAAAAGCATCTCCTGGGAAGATTTGGGGGTAATAACCTACCGTCTGGCTGCTTCTGGTCTGGGGTGATGGTGCGGATGAAGTCTTCGGCCGTCATGAATATATCTGACATCCCATCCTCAGTGAAAACTCGCAGGGTGGCAAAGTAACGGAATATCTTGTCCGGCGTAGAGTAGGCACGGATGCGATTCTCGTACTCGATTATCTATTAAAGGTACAAACACACACTATTAAATTAAATTATTAATATCAATATATAATATTAATAAATTAATGTTAAATTAATCATAAATGAACTCTATCCAAATCTTTTAACCAATTGAATTAAATCTTTGTAAATACGTTAAATGCAATTTTTTTTAACAGGCATTCTGAAAAAAATCCCCTTGAACCCAAACCACAATCTGTTGCATTTTTTTTTGTAAATGGCTCTGTGAAGTAAGTAGATATAATAATGAACTTCCACACTTAGCTCTCTCTATACTAAAATTTAACAAGCTTTTGCAATAAGGCGATAAACCACTGTGTTCCCCCGAGGGATCTTTCAAAGATTCCGTGCCTAGTATGTTCTGGCCAATGAGCAGTCTCGTTAGGTATAATGTCACAGACCACCTGGCATGGTTGAATGCTTCCTTGTTCTGACTTTGATTCTTCCCGAGGCATGCCCTGTTATTGTAGAAAGTCATAATGACTTAACACTGCAATTTGCACAGAGAATTAGTTTGCGCATTGGAACAATGCATATTGTCACTGCTTAACGCTACCAGCTGTCTGTGTAACTGGGCCCTATGTTGAGCATTAATTGCATTTACCTTTCTGTCTCTGAATCCAGGCCCTTTTCTCTTTTTCTCTTCTCCATCTCCTTCCTCGTCGCTGTGCTCTTCTGTCTCCCGGGCGATGTCAGTTGCCTTGGTTTGCTGAACCTCTTTCGCGAGCGACTGGCGAGACCTTAAGATAACAAGCAATGTCCTTAAGTGGATGAGTCATCGTGATGAAGATGACATCGACGACAAAACTCTTTGAGCATAAGCGTATGCATACCATACATAGGACTCTCCTAAATTTACTGAAAGATTGAAAATATCCAATTATCACGCAAATATTCTGATAACTTTTTTCAGTGTGAATATGGACCATTCAATGAATTTGGTACCCAACTTCAGATAATAATGATCTTTGCAAAATTTGTGGATGGGTGTAATCAATTCCTCAGATATGTCACAGTAACTGAACCAACGGTACTTACTTAGGGGCAAGATACAGGTGCAAAGTTAAGTTTGGCAACTGATCGACTGCCTTTTAACAAGGTGCACGTGCGACATAGTCACACTGGAACGACCCAGTCAAAAGATTTTGAATGATCTTATTTGAGCTCATAGATGTGCATCCTGACCTTTCCAAAGCGAGCCCTGCTGTGAGTAGACCAGCTCCGCCCCCAAGGAGGGTCAGAATGCGTCTGACATGAGACGGATACCGACCGACATGCTGGGTGCTGGTGAGACTTCTCCACTGCTGCTGGACGATGACGTGAAGGGTCCGCCTCCCAAATGACCGCAACATGGTTTTTGTTTCTACTTGGAACGAACAAAAAAGAGCAACTTCGTTTAGGTTTCAATATCAACTGTGGCAAGACCATGGCCACTTTTTTAACAAGCCATTTTACAGCCCCAAATGTTGGGAATCGAAAGCTTCAACGGATGCATGTCTTATACCAAGCTCTGGCGAAGTATTTTTAACATTACCTTGTTCCTTTAAACTAGTCAAGAACCAGAACATATGTGCTGATACTAATGACTACAGAAGCTCCGTGAACAGCACAGGATAAACAGTAAAAACTGGTGAATTTATCTTTTCCTAGACACTGACAAGTGTAAGTTAAAACAAAATTCCATTGATTTGATCTTGGATCTCTAATCTTGGATGTTGTTTGGGGCAGGCTGGGAAAGAAATTTGACAATTTTGGTGGGTGAAGGGTGTGCAATTTAATTTTAGTAGGCCTAGGCCTACATGTCACATGAAAAGATGTGACAATCACCCATGCCTAACATTACACGTTAGGCCTACTCCAAAAACCAAATGTCACAACCAAAAACCAAATGTCACAACCATGACAACCTGGCGACTCATGAATGTTGAAAAGAGCATTTTGTTGAGTCCAAATTTGGTCTACATCATTACATGTGTGTACTCGACTACAACAAACTAGATGATAGATCCAATACAATGACCCTGACCGTGGACAGGTGGAACAACTTTCATCTGTTCATGCTTGTGTAAAATTGAAATTTATATAAAAACTCTCCCAGAGATAGAAATAAGCTTAACACCATACATTAAACACAGCTTTATTTCCAAGATTCTTTGCCACTATTTCACCTGGAGAAACCTGTGCCGCTAAATAAAATGGTTGAAAAACTGTACCTGTGTGTTCAGCCTAGTCTATAGTTTTCATGACTGATCCTCAGCTTGGAGAAATGGTACCTGGTACCTGAAAGCCACCACAATTCCTCACTTTTTACAGCTTGAAAATAACCCCACACCAGTTACATTAAGGTGCCAGACTAAAATGGGCAGGGTTTTAGATGCGGCCTGGTTATTGACTCCTTTCGTGTTATTATAATAGATGTTTGTGCTACCGGTGGGGACCAATCTAAAACTAACTTCAAAGCGTGAAAATGGCGTTCCGAAGTCTACTCCGTGTGGAACGCTGCAAACAGAACGTTTTGTTTGCCCTGTCTGCCGTCAAAAAGTCTGAAAAGCGGGTGAGCAGTATCACTCTGTTGTAAAGGATTGATTTTTATCTTTCAGAAACCCTGATTTTATTAAATATTCCGGGTAAATTGTCTTTGTTTGTACACCGGTCATGCCGGTAGTAGTGCCGTACGCTTCGTCTACTGCATGTTTAACGTGTACAGTCGGCATGGTTGGGGGCGTGTGGGCGGAAGAGGGGTCAGTGATATCCTTTAGTTCCTTGTGTGCACTAAACTATGTGACCATGCTCCAGTCGTAAAGAAAGGGTGTTGCACATGTTAAAATTTCAGTTTGAAGTAAAATTCAAATGAATATAAGAAACCTCAACTATCGCATTCACAATCATGACAATGCGAATGAAAGTTGACAGCAGTTAAATTAGGCTAGTGTTGTAGTTATACTGTTAAATTTGCTTTCTAAAGTTAATTCAGGCGAGCAGTTTTTTTTATATAAGTTGGTGCTTTGACCTTGTTAAAGAAACACAGTGAAGGAGGATGGAAAAAACCCAAAGAAGTATTTTCTGTGGTCTCAAGAAAAACAAATAAGGGTTTCAAGGCGGAGGGAAGAATACGGATTTTTTTTTCAAAAAAAAAAAAAAAATGAGGTAGGTCCATCCCTTGCCATGAGCACCAGCTGCCAAAGACCAAAGCTCACAAAATTGAAATCATGGACTTCACTCTTGTTCTGACAGTGGATCAAAGTTTTAATTTTTTTTTACATTTATATCAGTAGAATTGTTGGTGGACCCGAGATATCAAAGTAGAACTTTTAATATTTTCTCCAGTTCAGAATCCAGAAGGTCAGTGGATCCGAGCACCAACTTTGAGAAAAAAACTCTTGCTTTATCCTGTGAACGAGTGAGAGTGTGAAGCTGTGACCTGTGTGACTTTTTTCGGCCCTCAGAGTTGGTTTTTAGGGCTTCATCATCTCTCCTGGAAGAACTTCATTATTGAAGAATTGTATTGGTGTCATTACAAATTATATCAGTAGCAATGCTTGCATTACATAGTCATTGAATTCTTATTCGCGAGATGGAAATTCGGACCTACTGGATTTTATTTCTATGAAACAATCCTTCGTGAATGATGCAAAGAAAGTGAAATGTTTTGTAGTTTAATGTAGGATTTGATTTATAATCTGAGGAGGAAGATTTGTGACATTTTTTAGAGTAGGCAATAAGATTAGTTGAATTGAATGTTGATGGACAGGGGATTTGACCTTGCACCATACGCTTGCATTGGAAGCCGCTTGCCCTGACCACCACTAGTTCCGATGCAGAGCCTGCTTAAGAAGGGGATTGTTAATGCAAACCTTTTAGAGTTTGGAGTGATTATAACAGTGCATTTGAATCTCTTATTTTGCTTGCCTCTCCCTCCAGGATTTGCAGTTTTTCCTTCCTGGGAGTTTGAAGCATTGTGCGGCTGCTTATTGCACTGCATCTGAGAAATCTGGTAAGCAAACTCGTGGGCGGGCAGTTGTTCTTCTCAGTGAATATTTGAGATGCAGGGCTGTTTTCCTTAATCAATGCTAGGGACAGGACGGGGGGATGAAAGAAGAGCATTCCCAATAAATCTGTTAAAAAGTGTTCTTCATTGTCAGTCATGTCTTAATGTAATATAGTCGTTTTCCTAGTTCCAGATCATGAAAATCATTCAGTCAGATTGCAGCTACAAAAAATCCTCAAATTCCGGTGAAATGTGGCAAGTAGTCCGCCTTGTGTGTTGGAGATACTACCAAGTTCTTTTCGAAATCTTAACTTATAATTTGGACTTACAAGATCGACGAAAGTGACAAGGACACTCTTCCTTGTTCTGGATCGGTTTATTAACCAGTTCCAGATCGCAACAAAAACTTATTCACGAATAAAAAGTAACGCATGAGAAATCCATTTTGCAGCCAGAACCATAACAATCTGATTTTGTAATGAAGGATTTCTTAATTTAGAGAAAATTATTTCAAAGTAGGAATTCCCAATAGAACCTTTGTAAATTTTGACTCGACTTCTTCAGCTGGGCAGTGAGCTATTGACGATACCATTGCCCACACTTCAGTTAACGAACCCATTACTTCACATACATTTCTCTTACGTCCGTGAGGTTGAGTTTGCAATGTATTTGCGTGCAAATAATGTGCAATCCCAAACTAAGAAATTCTATGCGTTTACTTTTTGGCCAATTTTTAGCAAACAGAAACTCTACAATTCATTTTGATTAAACAGACATTAGATTCCAAAGTTTATGTGGCTGTTGATTGTAGAAAATATATTTGGAATCACACGTAGTGAGTGACCTATCGCCTTTTAAATTTTTGTCAATATTTGTGGGCTCCTGTGATTTTTGACAAACCATTCCAAAATGTTGAAGTGCGAAACAGAAATTTGGCTTAAATTTATTTTCCAAATTTTTTGTTGAAGATTCCACTAACTGGTTAGTTTGAATCTGTACAGGTAGGGATAGATTAAATGTCAAGAGGTGACATGAAAGGGGAAATTTTTTTAAATTCAAATCCTGCTCTGTGTGTAGATTAACTCATACCGTGCATTGTGCATTTCGTCTTTTTTTGTGAAATGTTGCAGACTTCAAATGTAACAGATCCTTTTTCAAATACAGTTTAAACATGTAGCATGTAGAGGGTGTGTATAATGCACATGGCTTCCATGCAAAGTATAATATACATGTACATGTACGTAGGTCTGTACAAGAAATGAGGACATGTTAGATCGAGATGAGCACTCATGATAACCTCTGTCATTGTAGGGGTACCGTGTTGTGTACATCACTGGTACTTGTGTCTGCTTATCGATAGCTGGGTATAACTAGAAAAGCCGGTTTGTACCAAATTGAAGCCAGTGCACGGGGGGAAAATGTCATTATGTGCATGTCATGTACATGTGTATATGTAGCATATTGGATGTAGAGATCTGTACTACACGTATGAGTGTCATGTACACATGTGACATTTTGTACCAATTGTGTACAGCAGGTGCCCCTGAAGGCTGAATCCAGCTTGATATCCTTTCCTTGAGTAGTCTGTCCCAGGATATCTACATATGACAGACACCGTACATGAGTAGCATGAAAGAACTGAAACTCGCCAAATGTCCTCCAAGGACACACAGATACATGTATATTATACAACGTAAAGACACACCCCTCGGGTAAAGAGATTAAGTAGAAATAGAAATGGTCCCAACTCTGTGTCAACAGGTGTTAGTAAAAAAGTGCTTTGGATATCGTATGTCAGATATTTGTTAAAATTCATAGTTGATTTCCAATGCCATTTTGATGCCTTGACATGCTTATATGTACATGTGCAGTGTGTGCATGTACTTTACTGTTCAATACGTACAGTTATACGTTGGCTACAGATTTAGCCGATGCATATCCAAATTACTTGTTTTCTGTAAATTGGAAAATGAGAACTTCACCAAACGTTGCACCCCAAAAAGATTGATTCCATGTGTAATTTCATCCAGTCAACAGCCAGCTGTTGACATAAACAGTGGCAGATTGGTTTGTCAATTCAATTGTGTAATTGACACTCCAAGGCATTTGGCTGTGTTGTGAGCACGGAGGGATTATTGGCAAGGAGACCATGTGTTTACAGGTACTTGTCTTCTCCAATTTGAGAGTTCTGATAATTTGTAGTGTGTGGGCTTGAAGTGAATAAATTAAGGGTTAATTGTAGTGTAAGTGCAGACTGGTGCCCCCTGTAGGAACATAGGAGATAGTTGGAGGAAGCCAGTGTCTCATCTAGCCGCCTACAGGGACACATATCTTAAGGCCTGGGAAAAAGAACTTTAGATGGACAATGTTTGTTTGTTTCTGATTTACAACCCCCCCCCATCTGTTACCTGAATCTTTGACACTGGCAAACAGATCTTCACATTTCCTTTCAAGCTTCTTGGGTAAAGTGAAAGTATGGTCTGAAAGAATGCCCAGAGATGTCAGTTTCAAAATGTTTTGTTGGGAGTGGACAAGGCGGGTTGTAACGTTTGCTGTGAAGGGACAGGCCGATATTTCAGTCCTTGACGAAACCCTGGAGGGAACTGCTCCCTGGTAAAAAACCTCTTATGCCCGGCACTCTGTTGCCACGGAAACAGTTAAGTGTTTGCCTCAAGACAAAAAAAATCTACATACTGTACATGGATGCCTTGGTGAAACTGTCTCGAGAGATTACACATACATAAATGAGTGTCGCGTACCTCGTGAATTCATGCAACCCGCAAGTGCTGAATGCCTTCCACACAGGACTGGGCATTTGTACACTGCATGTGCTGAACAAGAAGTGTTTGGTGTTACACGGGTAAAGCTAAAGGTGAATCTAAGGACAGTAGTTTGTAATTGTAAAGAGAAGAATATATATATGTAGGAACACGGAGTTTTGTTCAGAGAGCTGATTGCCACCTTAACCAGTGGACATTGTAATTGGCTTGGTAATTGATCTGTTTTAAGTTACATGTACATGTACATGCACCGATCCCGTAGCTCAACGTGTACTTTAGATACTAAGTGCACTGTCTCATTTATGTAATTTCTGTGTTTTATTTTCAATCACTCCTGTTTATGTGAGTTGTAAGATGCATCTCGGTGTGTCCATAGTCAACATTGCTAATTTATAATGTTTATCTGCAAAAGAGTGTTAATCTGGCAACAGGGTCATTCTATAAATCTGGATTGGGGTCCAAAGTGTGAAATTTTTCCGTCCCTGTTACCTCTGACACGTATACCATCTGACAAGTTTGACAAGGGATGTACATGTACATGTATCACTGAAGTTGAATTCAAACCACTGTTAATTGTTAGGCAGGTAATTTGCAGTACCTATTCAGTCTTGGCAATTAAACAGTGAGTTCTAAACATTAAAAATCAAATGCCAGATGTAACAGGGACGGGAAAAAATGGACCCCAAATTTATAGAATGACCCATCAGCATTTAGTTCCAAAAGAATGCCCTGATAACTTATGAATAACGTGATATAGGGAAAGAAGAGATAATGAATTGGTACTGCTTGGAAAAATGTTCAACAAAATTAAAAAAAAATAAGCAGAAATATCATAGGCCAAGGCATAGTTGCACAGAAATAGAAAAAAGATCTGGCTGTCATTGTTTTTGTCCCTTGTTGTACAGAGGTTGTTTGTGAGTATCGCAACGGTCTACCCGTGCTTCTAGTCCCTCTTCCGTCCACAAGAGGACACTGCCAGTTCACCCTGAAGCCCGTGACAGAAACAGTTGGTGACTTTCTCAACCACCTCAAGCGGGAGGACGGAGGAATAGAGAGAACAGGCATCTACAACGAAGGTGGGAATCAAGAGATAAACAAACTCATGCAAAATAAAATAAGTAAATAAACTTTCTATTCATTTATCAATAGCCTTTGGTGCCCTAACACACACTCATGAAGTCATGAAATAAGTCGCCAGAGCCAATTTGGTTTTAAAAGCCTTTAAAAGAATTTTACACATCGTGATTCAGTAGGAGCCTGTAATAATTTTCACTGGAAGCATTTTTCAGGCTTGAAGCTCTGAATGTAGTCGGATATTAATAAATTAATATACAGAAAGGCAGCAGTTGAAATTAGGATGGGCAGGGCATCGAATGGATAGGTTTCCTTGTCGTTAACAGAGGAGTAGTGTGTTTGATTCTGGTGTGACATGTACAATGTACATGGAGTGGTGTGCGCTGTACATGTACCTTATGCTAAGGCTGGAATCATACATGTACATTTACACGGATAACCGATCAATTTGCTGATTATTTGGTTGTGTTTTTACTCTCGGCCCTAACCACTCAGTGAAAATAAAAGGCTTCCTATTATAAGGCATACATGTATCGCTGCAAAGGTACAATGTACATTGAATAAACTGTCCTGTCCATTGTATTTCCAATTGCATTTACATGTAAAATAGAGCATTTTTCACAATTAACTAGGTATCTCTTGCCTCCACTTCATACAGTTTTTAGAAAAATAAACATGCAACGGAACCTTCAAAAACGATTCCGCAGTTATTGATATTTGTGCATGTGCGCACATTTGTGATTTCACAAAAACATTTTTAAACCGTTGTGTTCGGCATGCCATCACATGTGTTTTCTCTACCCATTTTTTTTTCCCGAAATATTTCTCCATAAACAAGGCCACTATCTGGAAAATGCCAATCATATGTTTACGGAGGAAAATGTTGCTGGTTGCTCACGGAACACACTGTAAGCATTTGGAAATGAGGCCATTGAAATTACATTGAGGCTATTACAGTTAGCTTCGAGTATTGCTTGCACAGGGAAAACAAGACAATTGGAGGAAACCCTATTCACAAAATTTCAGAACATGTGGTGATTTCTCAAAAGCAGATTGTTACAGCCCTGATGTGGCCTTGTAAACACCAACATCTGGTACATATACATGTAGGTGCGTGCGAAGTGAAGATTGTTTCAGTGTAACATGTTTTTAGATACATTTTAGATATGTCAGAGAGCAGATCCGTCGCAGCTGAGCAAACCCAACTCTTCTCTCAATGTGAAAGAGGCGACAGAGTGAGGGTTAAAACTGAATTACAAGCACTGATAGTGGTATTAGACTGAGGGATGTACCACAGTGTCATGGATCTTCAAATTGTAATTCCTGTCGGCTGTCGCTCATTTGCTGAGGACTGCCCGTAGTACTGTTTGGACTCAGATGGCACGTACAATAATGTGTCTACATTTGGGCCAAATCTGCATCTACATGTACATGTGTGTATACATGTATGTGTGTATGTCATTGGCAAATACATGGAAGTCGCACTTCTCAGTAGTGTTCTGGAATTACAGTCCCTTGATTCTTTGTTATGACATAACTGGTGATTGAACGAAACCTTACGTATAAAACTGAAAAATCACATGTGCCACTATAAGAAAACGAGCAGGTAGAATAAGCATGTACATTGTACACGTACATGTATTTGTACACGAGCATCTTCAGCCCCAAGTTAATTCCACATCTACATGTAATTTCCAGGTGTCTGTACATTTCCACTTTGAAAAAAAAAATCTTATTATCACCTGGCTTCATAAAAAAAATCATAACATTTTAGAATCGATTAAATGAATCAAAGACATGTGTCTCAAAAGAAAACGTAAATTTGAAACTCAAATTCCTTTGGGGTGCTGTGACGTCCACAAAGTCTTACATGTTTGTCATTTTCTCTGTGTAGCATCCTTCTTGAACTTTGGAATGCAGGATTGAAAACACTTTTTTTTTCACACCCAAATATGATCCTCCTTGATACATCGTCTCCAGGCAATTAATGCACGCGCTGGCGGTCTGTGTGATTGACAAAGTGTGAAATTGCAGCGGCTGTTAGGGCCTCACATTTCATATCCTTGATAATCAAATACTCCCTGCTGAGCTCTAGTCAGGTGCAATCAGATACATAATACATGTACATGTATGCTTTTATTAGATAAAAAAGAAATTAAAAACAAGATGAGGAAAATTAGATTTGAGAGGTTTGGAACTTTGGATCATATAAATATGTCTTTGAAGTTGCTACGCATGCAGCGTTGTCTTCAATTTTGAATAATTACATACACATGTATGTATAATATTGTTTGTACAGCACATGTAAATGTACCTTAACCCTAACTCCCCAGAGTGATTTACTAGGAACCATACCCATTCACACAAATTCCAACGCCATATGGTAAACTGTGCCCAAAAACTGTTGGACTCTGTTTATTTTGGGTACGCCTGAACCCATGTTAAAGCACAAGCAGTTTAGGGGTACAGTACCCAGTGCCACAAATTCACACACTTTACTGGTGTTCAATTCTGTGTGGTTAGGGAAGGTTAGGGTTAACATGTAGTTGACACATACAGGCACCTAATTGTTGGGATAACCGGCGGGGGGGGGGACATTTGTAGCTCCAAGGGATCAAATTATATTTACGTTGCCATGGCAACAGATTGTTGTCCTTACAACTCGGTCCCAATTTTCCTCGTAAACTGTGTATGTGTGACACTGGGCCGGCTCGGACTCATGTACATTGTTGATATGCTGGTATGATATACATGTAGTCGTCTGTGTGGTGAAACAAACATTTGGAGTTGACACGGTTGATGAATCACTTTGCAAGATACTCTCTTCATCTGGCTGCATTTGGACCTCTCAAATTATAGTGCTTCTGACTGCTACACTGCAATAACACTTTGGTCTTGTTGATGATTATTCATAACCTTGGTCGCAACTTTTGCTTTTTCAAACAACACTTGAGAGCATTTTGAAGTTGCTCAGCACGATAATCTGAGAAAAAGTGGTCACAGACATTAACAAGTTTGGACATTTTTTGGCACCAGTTTCTTGCCTCAAATATTGACATACGTGTAGTTGGGCCATTTTTACTCGGTATCAGGAGAAAATTAATGCAAATGAAGCTATGTCAGCCAATCTGTCAATGGACATACGACATTTCAAAAGTGTGACATTTCTTTATGTCTATCAAAATTTCACGGAATAGGATTCCTCATTAAAGAGCAATTCTGAATGGCTTCTTATTCAGACATGTACATGTACGCACCCAACATGCCCAAGCTACAGATGGGTCCAAATATCACGAAGGCATGTCGTGTCTTCTAAGAGAGACCTACATTTTGTATTTTTCAGTTCATCCCGCTGAATTTTTATGCACTTGATTGAAGCTCTCTATGCTTCAATGCAGCAAGGAGATTACAACCTTCTCCGTGTCTTCCAGTTTCTTACATCACAACATGTGAGCCGCAACCAAATTATGCTATAAATTTAGGTTGTATGAGCAATGTGCGGACGAAAATGAGATGCTACTCTCATCTGTCTCTCACTTACTTTTTTTCTCCTCCCCTCCGTAGACGGTGTGAAAATCGCCAAGTCGACAAGCATCGACGTTCTCATGAGGAATCCTTTTACATTAAAAATCAACGATGATTCATTCAGGGTGAACCCTCCCGAATTAGGTGAGATGCAAGATATTTCTTATTGTCACTGTCAGTAGAGCAAGATTGATTGATTGATTTCCCAGTGTTTAATGATTGCAAAAATCAGTCATCAAAACTTTACTTTAGTTTTATAGAGTACAGCAAAAACATTACATATATACATTCGAAATGCACCTGTAAAAAAAGTTAGGCCAAAACTTCTTATCAACCAATTGAACTGTGCTTAACACCAAATATAAAAATCGGCCTACGTGTATCCCGTTGAAACACAAATTTTCATTTGTCACCCACCCCAGGCCGTTAAATGTAGTTGATCAGGATGTTTTTGTTCCTTTCTGTGTAGCCCAGTTGCAAAACGAGATGCTTGCGGATGTTTTGTCAAGCATGGTTTGTGGAGAATAAACATCCTCTTTTTAGCAGAACAAAGGGTTACATATAACTGCCTTGTTTCAAATGTTACCAGATGTCTCCAAAAAAGGCCGAAAGAGATAATTTTGATGCTTGCTTTCTATCTCTTGAAATTGTGCACTGTCCCAAATGTATATGTTGTGGTACACCTATGTACATGTACTTGTGCATGGCCCACAGTCCAGCTTTCTTACCCCATCTATTTAAATAAACAATGTCTCATCAGGCATTCGAAACATTAAACAACCCCACATTCAAGCGAAGTTCTATCTTTGTCACAAAGCTCACACACACATGTTGCAGTTACTGACGTCAGGAACATAACCAGCTTTGCTGAACAAGTATGTACATTGGGCGTGAGATGGTGGACAGAGTGACTTTTGTTGAAGAGATTGATGTACATGTGTGCCTTGCTACGTGTACCAAGTCAATACTGTAAGATCTGCTGAAAGCCATACATTGGAGAGTTCTTTTCATTTGCCAACAATCCTCTTAGTGTGTGCATGCAGATATTGAAACCAAAATGGATTTGATTTGTTGGTACAGGGGTCATTTCATGAAGTTGGGGCACAATGGGTGTCCTTGTTATACATGGGTAACTTTCACCACCTGTCATGACCTGTAGAGTAGGTCATTTATTCTCTAAAAATAACACACACCTCTGTATTCGGCCTTGCTAGATGTATAACGATGTCAATTAGGAATCCACATGCAGGGAAATAGCTGTTTATTTTTACAGAACCCACTCAACAATGGGCACCGTCACAAATTGTGCCCCAGCCTCATGGAACGACCCACAGACATCCACCTACAGGGAAAATCACCGTTGCTTTTATTGTCAATTCAAAGCACAGTTTCCAGGAATCACTTTCGCACAGTTGGTTGAATTTATAATCCTGACTTTCTCCACAAGGATGCAAATTCTGGTATGTCTGAGCTTGGCGAAGTGAATTTGTAATCGGGAAGGAATGTGCCTTCAAAATACCTGAGCTGGGGTATGGCATCCTGTTTATGTGCGCACTTCTCATAGCGAGCGACCCATGTCTATGAACAATAAACGCATTCTTTCGATGTTGACAAATTCGCCTCTATTTGCTAGCGCATTCATCCTATCAGTGAAACTCTTCATTGGTTGTCTTTCTCCGGTGCAACCATGTCATTACAGGGACGACACTTTTCCAAAATCGATTACTTCATCGCAGGTGCCACAGTGTCAATAACGCCGGCCGCCTGGCTCTTCGCTAGAGGAAATCACCCCAGGGTAGAATTGATTTTTTTGATCCGAAAGGGACCCATCACCAACTGATGGAGCTTTTTTTTTCTGTGTGTGTTTTTTGCCGCTGCACTTCACTGAGTTTGTTAGCTTTCGTCTGAACTCGGCAAGGGTGCACGTTTCTTTTCCAAAATACACGTAGTAAACAGCAGCATTGCTATTACATTATGTAAACAGGAGCACCTCTATTAAATTATGTGTATTTGCTTAATAGCCCAATCTCCCCGGTACCTGTATATTTACAGGAATGAATTATGACTGTATTGTCGGTGATGGAGGACTTGCAGGTACTTGTACCTGCGGTCCAGTGATGTTCATAATCTAAAGTGTGCACCGCGACCAGATCTCTGACGGTGGTGCGACTTGAAGATTGTGGATTTGACAGATCGCATTCACATGAAGATCGTACATGTAGGCAACAGGCTTGTCCCATGATTTGGGGTCATTTGTGCCGAGAAATGTTACGCCGCTGGGAACTTTTAGACTTGATTGTGTTTGGAAATTTGTGGGGGAAGGTTGGTTTCATGTAAATGGCTTCTCCGAAAAGGGCTGTGGAGGTGTTTAAAGGGGAAATTCTAGCATAAAATTTCGGCGCTCAAGACGCAAGAAGTGAAAGTAAGAGGAGATGAAGACCAAAATTCCTTCTCTGGAATTTCACCTCATTGCTGAAAAAGATGCCTTCATGTCACACATGATGATGTCATTCTTGTCACTAGACCATGATATACATGTACTGTTTCTAAACATTTATAAATATTTATGAATAAATTTGATCCTATGATGAAAGTAATACTGCCATCAGAGAAGGAGAAACTGGGAAACCCCAGGGGTAGTTCCTTTGTCACCTTTGACCTGCTTCAGTTACAATCGTGAATTATTTACACGTCATTCCATTCTTGCTGGAACTGTAGAGGGCAAAACTGACTCTGTTAGTCATGCCTATCTTGCTTACAGAGGTCGAGATATTAAACACATTGATGCTATAACAAACTTCTCATCGGACATTCACAAAACAGTTACTGTGTATGTGATGGTGTGATTATACTCACAAATACATGTAGTTATATTATTATTATTTTTTTATCGTCCCAGACAAAGATTTTTTTCTTGACCTTTTATCAGAGAGCGCAAAAGTGAAAGGAAAAAATTACGATGATTCCATTGTTGGATAGTACCATCATTTTTAAATTTTTTTAAAAGTATACCATACATTTCCTCTCCTTCCTTGCATCATGCGATTCATATACTCCCCCAGGCCTAGACTTGAGAGTCCGATCATTCATAAAAATACCACAGAACTGTTAGGTTCTAACTGCACAATGTATACATGTATGTACGTGCACCACATCATGCTGAAGGCTGTGCTTGTAATCTCCAACAGCAGATCTAACTCAACACGATGGTAGGATCACATTCTCAGAAGACAATTGCTGTCTTTCAGGATGACTCTGTCTTGCTGGGAGGTAGGGCACCACTGAGTAATTACAATCTTCCCCGTCTCCCGCCCCGGCATTGCCTCGTTAAGTTTCGGGGCTGCGTCTAGACGTCTTTTTCTGTGAGACCCCCCCTCTTCCGGCAGTCTTGAAACCTGCCCTGATAAATTTAATGTGTCATGCTCAGTGTACCGTTCTTAATCAATAGTATGACATATTTTTGAACAGAACTGGACACTGGCAGTAAACAGAGAGAAATGGAAATTACTGGAATCGGGATGCTTCTTTTTAGGGGAGGGGTTAATTTTCAAGGGAGGGGTGGGTGTATTGTTTCACAATTCTTGTACACGTAGATGTCCACAAAACTCCAACCCTCAGTCTGACTGTTACTTAAAGAGTATGACAACAAAATTACTATTTAAAATGGCTTAAATTATGAGTCTTTTTCTACATATTTATTACATTGTTAAAATTTAATTTCTCTTTTATTGCATCACTGTAAATCCTCACCTATGGCCAAAAGTAACTGCGGTGGCATCCCAATACCTGTACGATTTAAAGAAACCTTATACATCTACCAGTTACAAAGTCTACAAGAAACTATCCTTCAATCTTGACCCTGTCTTACTGCACCAGGACGTGGCACAAAATCAGCTGCATACCCCAGAATGAATTTGATAACAGCATAGGCTCACCTTACGCAGCGGGAATCTCCTGGATCCTGTGGTATTGAGTGCAGTATTGAGTCATGTCCATGTCAACAGATCCACCATCTACATGTATATATGTACAGTTTCGTTTGGTCTTTGATCGTCCATTGCTTTGGTTGTATTACGTACATGTACGATACCATTTTGTTCTGTATATCTGAGATCTCAGATTGGAATTGTAACACTTACATATCGGTAAAAACCTGCCATACTCATGTTTTGTCTGGCAAGTACGCTGGCTGTAAACGTGGAGAAAATTGAAAGCACACATTTCCATAACAACCACAGAATTTGTAAGGAATGTTGGGTCTGTTTTCCAACTTTCCGCATGGGTGTTTGCCTTCTCAGTCTTTGTTTGGAGAGAGTGTTAAATAGGACAAAAAATAAACAATAACAACAGCAATCAGGGAGAAAAACCCTCTGGACTTGCATTTTTGTACAAATGCATACGCGCATACATGTACAATAATTGTACAGTGTGTATGTCTACGTGGGTTATGCACAGAACATTTAAACATCCATTTCTCATCCCTTTATAGGGTTGTAGGCGTAGCGTACATTTATTTATTTTTTTAGCCCAGCCAAAACGGTAATAAATTTAATCAAGCCGAGTATTGGATCATGGAATTAAGCGGGCATGATAAATAGGACGGCTGTGAAGGTGGTCGTTGAGAGGGTTGGGGAAGGAAAATATCTCGGAGGGTTGTATGCGACAATTATTAACTGCTCAGTCTAGGCGATGATTTTCATGGCACTTATTTTGCACCCTCCCCCGCGGCTTTCAAATTAATGATTACCAATACAGTCAGTGCCGGGAAGGATCATCCTAAAATGCCATCTCGAAAACTAGTTATCAGACTCATGTTTGCTGACTAGCAGGTTCATGTGAAGTCTTCCTTGCACTGATGGGTTTTCAGACGGGGAGTAATGTAGGGCCAGGCTGTGAAATGATAAATGGAGCATGTTAATGAATTGGAAATCCAACTGTCTTCTCAGCGCAAACAGTCCTAAAACTGTGCCCTGAGCTGTATAAAGTAAACAAGCCAGCGTTTGACAACATAATTTCTTGTCATGTTACTCCGTGAAACTTGATCTGCGAAATAGATTCTATAAAGAAATAAATTACCATCTCGCTCCTGTGATGTTCTTTAGCCTGTCAATGAGAATCCAGTTGATGACAAACCAACGATTGGATTTTGGAAAGCTGACCACATAAACTGCGAAGCACTTTTTGTTCTTTGCAGTCAACCGAAGTAGGCAAAGACTGTGATACATGTGTGACATTCCAGTTTCCTTCTTGTTGGTCACATTTTTCTATAAGACTGCAGTAACCACCAAAAAGACAAGCATGCCCAATTTACAGTGTCTGTTCCTCTCACTCAGATAAATTAATCAGCGAGGATGCGAGAACGATGGCGGACGTGAAGTCCATGATCTACCAGCTGTACTCCACTCTGCACGTGGAGCAGCACCAGCTGGAGAAAGAAAAGGATCTCCGGGGACAGTTGGAGAATCTGAAAGTGGAGATTGAGCCGCTGGAAAAGGTCAGCTCATGCCAGGATGAGGGTGGACCTAGGCAAGGGTGGGGGGGGGTAATCAAAGAGAGGCACAAACTTTTCCAACTTTTGTATCCAGAATGGAATTCTCTGTATTGGGCCTGTGCAGTGTTAAGAACAGTATCTACTTTCAGATAATTCTATTTCTTGCTTTTCTATCGAAGAATTGTCTCAGGTCAGTAGGCTTGGGCAGCTGATCATTTTTGGCATTACTCGAAACCCATCCGGGGGGTTACGGTTCCACTTGGGAACCCGACTCCAAATTTCCCATGCAAAGCAAATTTTAGAAAAGTCTGTAAATATCAAGGCATAAAATGATGTGACATTCTTCCCTAAAATCTGATAATCGGGATTTGGTTTCTTGAGGGAACTGGACTTGGCTGCTGGAAGGAGTTGAGTCTTCAGCAAAATCATTATACTCAGTCCAAGTTCAATTTCAGCACGAAATTGATCAAATGTAGCCAGTACACAAGTTCATTGTAAGCCAAGCTCTGTGCGTGTTGAATAAGTGTGCTTCCAGCGCTTTGTTGTGTGCCCTCAAATGACCCAGAAAATGTCAAATGATGCAAGTGTTCAGTTGAGGAGCTGAGATTTGGAGGTTTTGCTTCTGCAGTTGAGGGCGGAGCTGGATCGCAAGGCAGCCCGTAACGCCAACTGGTGGGTGTGGGGCGGGCTGGGCTACATGGGCCTGCAGTTTGGGCTATTGGCCCGGCTGACGTGGTGGGAGTACTCCTGGGATATCGTGGAACCCATCACCTACTTTGTGACGTACGGCGGGCTGATCGTCTTGTACAGCTATTTTGTGTTGACAAGACAGGTGAGTACGATGAGCTTTAAACTTCACATTCCTGATGGCAAGATAAAATCGAGCTTTGGTTGTATGTAGTAATGAGGCTTTGTGACAAAGCTCATCAAATGTTGTCCTAGAAAAAAAGGGGGGGAAAATAAATACTTTTTCAGTTGGAATTGTGTTGCTCATTAATTTGTAGCCAGTTGCACTGCGACTCACCCCCCCCCCAAAAAAAAGCCCATTTCATGGCTGAAGGAATCGATTGTCTGATCTTTTCTTGACCATGGATTACCGTAGTGGCACTTCACTCACACGTGTTCTTTAATTGAGGTCAAGTCATTTTGTAAAAGCAGCCCGTTCATTAACCTCACACACCTGCACAGAGTAATGGCGTCTAATTGTAGTCACACGATTAGCTTACGGGTACATCCATGCTTATTTTTGTTAAACTGTTGTTTTACCGGTGTAATACCTTACAATCCGTCTGCGTGCTCATTTTATTGGCTGCACTCAGTAGAAAAGGCGTGTGTTTTTGTCTTCCAGTTTCATAGTTTGTCGATAAATAGGGGTCAAAAGGTGTACAAGCCATCAAGAGAAAGACTATTAATAGAAGGCTTAATGCTATTGAAATAGATTATCTATAAATAGATTATCTATTGAAGAAAGTAACGTAATGCTTCTCAGATTATGAACAGCTGTGGCATCTCAACCGTGCACCTGCATCAGCATATAAAATCTGATTATGAAAGCAGCTTATGGGATTGTAAACATTTCTGTATGCATGAAGACGATTGTGCATGACAACAGCAATATGCATTGAATAATTCAAATGGTTACTGCATTATGTAGCTGGTGACGGACAAGACAGGCATGCAGCCAGATACAGAACTCCATTCAGGCTGAAGAAAAAAACGTTATTTTTCTTTCGAAAGGGCACGTCCATTCATCATCAGCCACTGAAAGTCTGTACCTTCATACGTGTATGCAAGGTATTTTTTTCCGAGAAACCTGGAGCTGAAAAAAAAGCCAGTCTTCTCCGATCAACCGACTTCCTGATTGCCAAAGCGACTTGAGAGTTTTCCCTCATTTTTTTTGTATTCGTGACTTCCCAGACGGCTGTCTGTAAAGTGACAGCCGTCTGTGTCAGCCGGAGAGGTCATGCACTCAATTTCAGGAAGTGCTGTTGGCCACATTTACATTGAGTGTACATGCATGTTCATGTACAACCCATCATAGGTGTAACATATTTTAATCCTTTAACTATTGGAGTGTAGTTCAAAATTCCTCACCCCCCAAAAAAAATAAAAAATTGAAATGTGTGCTCCACTGGTAAGGTTTCATTTACACGTATACAATTTAGTTAAAGCTCAGCTGGTTGTCAGTTTCATTATTCACTCAAATTTAATATTTTTGGACAAAGTTTCATTGCATTCTGTGCTAGTTGCGAGACACAGTCCCAGTGTGCTTGTAATAGCACAGTTGTAAATGGATGTGAAAATGAAGGATATACCAAAAAGGTTCCAAATATTCCGTACAGTAAGTTTGAAAGTGAATTGAAAAAAGTTCTCAATTGAAAGAAAAAAAAAACTCACAAGGACTTTGTATCTCACTCCATTTTGGCCGGGAGCAGGATTACACCAATCTGGATGCCCGGGACAGGCAGTACCTCGTCAGTTTCCATAGAAACGCCAAGAAGAAGAAAATGGACATAGAGAAGTACAACAAGCTGCGGGATCAAATTTCGCAGGTGAGCTGAGCCGTGTGACGGGTCGGTTGTCCGTGTCTCATAAAAACAAGCTGTAACAAAGGGCCTCAATGCACTGATCCCTCGTTGTTCATCTCTCGTGACATGCGACAGGAACCTCGTTAGATTTGTTCAGAACATGTATTTTTGAACCGACGCTGCAATGGCCAGAGCCTCTTTCTGAATTAAAGACTTTTCAAGCAATTTTGCTCAGTGGACATCAGGAACAGAAACGCACAATTTTTCAAAACGATCATTTTGTTCAGGGTGTCAAATTTAGCAATACTTAAAACAAGGCCAAGTTCGTTCTTTCTAATGTAAATTAAACCAAATTACCATCCGCCTTAACCACTTGCTGCCAGGGAGCCCAGTTTGGGACACGTATTCTTTATATGCACAGCCAGGTGTCCAAAGTCGGACAAAGGGAACTGGGCCTTGTAACAGAAGACCGTACTCATAACAAAAGACCAGGCTACTGGGGATTACCAACATTTTTTCACTCTCAATAGCGGAGATAATCCAGCATTGTTTTGAAACAGTATACCACTGTTTGTGGCATTCAGTGCGAGCGGATTACCTCCAGGGACAAAAGAGCTCCAGTGCTTTACTGATGAGCGATACAATACCGTTGCACGCTAATCTGGCCCCTATTAAGAAGTCAGCAGCCTGGCTGAAATACTCTTGACGTCAATAGATTTTGTCTGTCAGATTAGAGTAGCCACCAGACAGTCATTCGTGTGGGTGCACGTCTCCAGTAAATGAAGATATGAATTTTAAAAAATTTTGAAAACAGAAAAAAATAAAAATACTCTGACCTAGCAGAATCAACATTTATAAATGCCCTCGGCCCGAAGTGGTTTTCAGACGCACCCTTTTATTGGTTGAAAAGAGCCGTGTTGGTGAGGAGCATTCAGTTTGTTGGTGGTGGAGTGCAGTTCCTGACCAAGGAACCTCTGTTGCTGGGAAAATTGTGCCTTTTCTTGGCCCCGCTCGGGGCCCGTGAGAAATGATGTTGATAGTCGAGACTCATTCTGTGAGAGCGGATCCCATTTGTTCATTGATTTGTTTATCTTTGGATTTTATGGCCTGCCAGATGTCAATTTCGTACGATTTTATTTCTACCCCCTTTTCAGCTGGAGCAGGACCTGAGGAGGCTGCGTGACCCCTTGACCCTTCACCTCCCAATCACCCCATCCCCATCTCAGGCATTCAAAGAATAGAGGGTCCCCCCTTCGCTCCATCCTCTGCCCAAAAGCAAAAGATTATCAGTGAAGGAGGCCTTCTCAACCAGTACAAGCCAAGAACGAGTTATGGAACCATATTCAATCAAGCTGAACCATTCAATGCCGTTTTCATGTGGTTGAGGCTCCATAGCATTCCAGTCCTTACTAATTGTAAAACAGGACCCGACCCGGCTCTGTACTTAGTTGTTACAGTTTATGTGTGCTTGGAATACGGGGGTTTACACCAGGAGCACGTTCAATAGCACAATACGTAAGCAGGTGTTGGCCTAGCTTGTTGAGTTTCATCGTTGATGGCGTACATACCTATCGCTAGAATTATTAACCCTAACACTCCTCAGTCCTCCGACAGGTGAAGGATTGAGGGGGGTTAGGGTTAAGGTGCTTTTCCATATGTACATTTTTCAGGTGCATTGCGTACACAACGCCTTTTAGCGTTTCACTTCCGTGGACACAAAAATTGACGCCATTAGCATAACACACACGTGTTGCATTTGGCAGTCAAAATCGCCCGGGAGCAATTTTGACGTATACGCAATGCTTGGCGCAAGTGTTGACGTGCATACGGAAAGGCGCCTTTAGACTTGGCCTAAGTTCAGGGATTAAGCACTTGTTAACAGTATTCACTGTATTTTATAACCGATGACTTTAGATCATCACCCCCCTTCCTTAAAAAAAATTTTGAATTTCAATATTGATTAAAAAAAAAGTATCTTTAAAATGCAATGTGAAAGCTCTAAGTATGGTGTTTGCTGTTGATGATTTGCATTTCACTTTTTGTGCGACTATTAAAGTACAGTTACCCCTTACAGTCCTTTCAAACTCTGCCTCATTTTGTTTTCAAAACTAATTCCAAAGATATGTTTGTCCTCGGGTCAAGCCTCCCGAAGCTTTAGAAAACTTTCACAAAGTGGTGAAAACACAGTACCTTTGTAAAGAGAATGCCACTGGTACCAGTAAGTTGAAGTGCACATTGTGGACATGGTTTTTCCGTCTTTTTTTTGTGTGATTTGAGTTCACATGAGTACTTTAGCCAAAACAACCAATTTATAGGCTTTTAGGCTATCAGTAATTTGAGGGAAAAATGTTCGTTTAGCAGGCATTACCACTGGAACAGGGTGTTCTTACCAGTATAAAAAGTCGATGCGATGGCCTGAAACGTGTCAATAGAAATCAGTAAGAATGATGTAAATAGCTTTGAACAGGTAACAATATTAACCTTCTTGGTGCATCTTGAATCAAATGAAACTCTTCTGAAATTTGTTGTGGAAATTAATAATGATTATGCACAAATTATTGTTTCTTGGGTCTGATTATTTATTTTTCTTCTATTATCGTCTATTATTCTTTCAGTTAAGTTTGTAGAACGTACACATTTTTTGGTGGTTTTGTTTTTTAAGAAACACTCGAGGTTTTAGGATATTTTCGTCTTTGTTCCACAAAACATTTTGCACAACTTGTGGGCAATCCTAGCGAGGTTTATTTATTGAGTTGTTAATGCTGTGCTTGAATAATGACTTCTGGGTAATAATCTTTGTAACCTGGCTAAAAACTTTCTGGTGTAGCCACAAGTTATTGTAGCGATTGTATGCAAAATTAGCGGAAAAAAATTACGCGAGACTTACAAATGGCAAATTATTTCCAAGGATAGATTTTTGCCCTGCTCGACGTTGTAGATAGCTGTACACGTATATTGTTTGTATCAGGAATTTGGAGGTTGCAAATAACAAATTGTTTAATTTCTTTTCTAATAAAACTGGAACATTTATCAGGAAAGCTGTATATTTTTTGTCATGTTTTTGTATTTGTTTCTGTCTGTCTGAAGTCTTTGTTCAACAAAACAATATTATTTGAGTGGGCATCGTGTCTGTGCTGTGAATATATATGTATTTTTACGTCCGTCTGTCATTTTTGACACAGGTGGTAAAGTGTGAGGGGCGTGTCAAGAGTGATGTGGGTATGGGAGGGGGCAGGTGGAGTGTTAAAGGCATTTGCCCCCACCCTCCCTGAAACTAGGGACAAGAAGTTAATTAGAGCAAAATAAACAGAATTTTAGTGATACTATGTTGTGTGGTGGTTCACTATAGATTTGTGTGCTTTTAATCTGTACAGTTTTGTTCAGTGGGTTTTCAAGGCCACCTTTTATTTCAGTACGAGTACTAATGTGATTACGAATTACTAATGAAGGCAGGTATTTGCAATTATAGGCTTCAAAATGCTGCATGTTGGTCAAATGAGTTTGTGATTAAGCCATTTGTGAGTTGAATTGTTAGGACTTGGTATTACAAGTGTTTTTTTTCTAATAGCCACGTTACTCTTAAATTCCATCTCCATACTCCATTAAACTCCAGTCTTGGACTAGTCTGGTGCCCTTGTACCATTTTGCAGTGTCTACATCAGCAATGCATCAAGATCGGGGCCGTTTTCCAATACTCAACTTCATCTCCCAAAACCAATGCCCGATTGTGGGACTGAAGTGTTTAAATCAAATTGGATTACTGTACGTTTTTGCTCTCTTTTATCTTATTTGATGTTTTGTGGCACTATTAGACTAATTAGTGCGCTTACAGCTTCAAAGTCAGGTAGTAAAAAACAGTTGAAGCCTGAGACGTAGCCGAAGTTGAGTATTGAAAAATGCCCCAGGCATCTCTCTTTTAACTTGGTAAGAGACTGCCCCTGAATCCTGCGATATAGCAATAGTATCTTTAGCTAGGGGAATTCAAAGTTTTAAATCTGTCCACTCTTGAACCAACACAAAACTGTTCTTTAATCATTTATGTACAGTTTCTAAAGCTCAGTATCAGTCAAGTACCGACTGGGAGTTTTGGATCAGTCACTGTAATTCTGTACTTCAAGAGTTAGTGTTAACAGGTGTAATCGGTTTATCCTCTGCCTTCAAACAATGAAGCTGTTGATTAATTAAACTCATTAAGATTAGCAACATCTGCATGTACCTACCAGTTTGACTGATAGAATACACCTTGGATATCGCCATAGTCTGTATTCTTGAGCATTATTTAAGGAGACATAGACCTCATTGTGCCATTCCGTGAAACACTGTGTAAACTACATGTGTAGATCGAAAAGTGGTTTTGATCGAGACTACCCAATGCATGTATTGTATGTACATTTTCTTAACAGAATGTTTACTCTTTTGTACCTTGATAATACAGAAATTACCCTGTCCAAAAGGACAGTGGGCAAGTGAGGCAGATCTTGGGCTTGAATGAGATTAAAGTAGAATTTCTGGAGTAATACAAATAGCACCTTTTCCTTCCATGAACATCAGGCTAGCTTCAAGCTGATCTTTAACCATTTCAAGCAGTGTAAATTGTAAATAAGAGGATTGCTTTTCCACCTTGTTCTCCCTTAGCCTTGAATCCAGCCGCTTTTCCACCTTGTTCTTCCTTAGCCTTGAATCCAGCCGCTTTTTCACCTTGTTCTCCCTTAGCCTTAGATCCAGCCACTTTTTCACCTTGTTCTCCTTTAGCCTTGAATCCAGCCTTACAACCCAAATCCCAATCCCCCGGTTTTTCAGAATCAATTTTTGAAATTATGTAACTTCTTTTGTATTATAATTAGCAAAAGAAAAGCATTGTAAAATGTAGAATGGTCAGTTTGACTTTGAGAACACCTTTTGTTCAAATGTTTGAGCAAATATATGCTAAGCAAATCTTAGCAGGGAACCAGTAAGAAGCAATGTACGTCACAGGGAATTTTTGGCTGGTGACCCGTTTCTGCGAGGCAAAAAACAGCATGGAACCAGTCAGAATCAGTTGGCAGCACAAGAAGTTTTTAGCTGGTAGTCCATATCTGCTAAGCAAATATTTTTTATGCTTAGGAAATCTCTGAGCTCAGCAGAATTGGGAAAGAAACCTGCTTCCAGGAGCAATCTCCCAATAAATCTTAACAGTTCAACATTTTTAAATGCCATGTTATGTATTGAAACTAGAAAGTGATATATACTCATTTTTGAACTATTCTGAACAGAAAAACAAATTAAATGAAATCTAATACAAAGACATCTCTGTCTCTTTCTCTTGCCTTCTCATGCAATTGTTGGTCTCTTGCCTGCTGAGCGATAAACCTTAGCGAGACAAATTTATGAAACGGTGGGGGGAAAGGAGGGCACAAGTGAACCAGTTTAAGCCGGTGCGTGAGGAAAGCACAATCCAGCTGTGTATATCATTGGCACGGGTCAAATCAAGCCTTCCCACGATCTCCTGCAGAGGGCAGTGGTGTCTCATTTCCCACTGGTTTTGGAACCGCAGAGGTCTAGAAGCGGACCGGACATTGAAATTGGCCTTTGTAGCAAAGATCACTTCATGGTGGGACGAGGAATATACATGATAAAGTTACAGTAAGAAATATCTCTTTAGAGTTGTTACTTGTACTTGACTTGTCCAATGCATGTACTCAAATTTTCCATTTCGGACAAAAATAATCCTGGAAGGAAATAGTGAAGAAATATGCACTTCAGCCTTTGAGATGATCGTTTTGAAATTCTTTTAATTATACAAAGCGCAAAAAGTGAATACAAACACTAAGAAAAAAAAAGAAGTAATGTGGTGAATACTTATTAAAAAACAGTAATTTCTGGACCGTCTGGATGGTACAATAACTCCAGCTTAAGAGATGAATCCTGCCTCCTTCCCCCGCCCAGAGATGTAATGGTCAGAGAGCCATGTTATCCAAATTAAGGTTGTCTTTTTAATAACAAAAATTTTCACAAATAACTAAACGACAATCGACACTTCTTGGTTTCAAATGCTGGTGTTGCAAAAAGGTTTAGAAAGTGGGTTTACAAAATGGGATTTACATCCTCAAAATTTCAAAAGTCTATCTCGGAAAAGTTTTTTCCCGCTGAGCATTAAGCGTCAGCCTATTTGCACACAACAGTCTTACAAGATAACAGCTGTTCATAGACATTCATAAATACCTAGGACAGTTTAGCTATTCCTGTTGGTCGAGAGTTACAACGTAGCTGGTCTTAAACAATTCAAGCATTGGCTGACTGTGCACCACCTCACGCAGTACACACCACACACGTGCCCATCTCCATATAAGGAGATTGCTTACGACAACTCACAACAGGAAAGTACCAAAACAATGGCTAGAGGAGTGTTGTAAAAAAAAAAATTAACAAAATCTTTGGAAATTTGTAATTTGTCAAAGCTTGTTTTGACAACGTGACTCAAAAGGTATTTATGAACAGGAATTCAATGTGTGGTCAGCCGTTAGACCGATTCAGGAGAATGGGCGCTGACCGATTCAGGAGAATGGGTGCTGATAATGTCCCTCGCTTTTGGCTCAGAATTATTTATCAGCTGATCCAGTCTTAAACTTTACAGACCGGCATAGCACATACATATTCCCTCAACGAGGAATAAAAATTGAAGTCCTCTCCTTTGGCAAGGGGGAAGGGCAGTGGTTGATAGCTACCATGTAATAGATACAAAAACCCTATTTACAAGGAATGCTTGTTTGAATAGTTAACAAAGATTTCGAGTAATCTTCTCTCTTCCACAAGGACATTTCGTACACACATAAAACCGAAACGGATTGGAAACCCGACCAGATCCGAGCTAAAAGAGAGGGACAAAAATGAATAAAAGAGCAGAAACAAAGGAAAAAGTACATAAATCCATCCCTACATTTCTAAAGGAGGCATGCAACATCCACGTTAATGCAATTTCTTGCCTTCCTTAACCCTCCTTTGGTTTTACAGCACAAATATGCACAAGTGCCCAAGGTCACTCTCTTGCATGTTGGTGCAGTGCACAAACACAGCTGTGCTTCTTTGAGGTGTTTACCAAGTGACCCAAAGAGTGACTTCAGCATAGGAGGGTTAATGACTATAGGATATTTTGTGGCAGACTTTCTCACAGGGCTTTTTTCCTACATAGTTCTTCTGTCCAAATCTGATAATAACAAGTAACAAGATATAAAAACCATGTTTGCCTGACTACATTTTCAAACTACGACAGATTTACACTCCCGTTTTTAAAGTGCAGCTAGACCAGCGGGGGGGATTTTTAAGTCACCCTGTAGAATCGACCGAGTACAGCACGAGTTCTAGCTGAAGAAACTGGACAACCACAGAGCTTTCTAGGCCTGAAGTCACCCATTAGCAAGCACCCATTGCATGCGCTGTCTCACGGGCCACAAAATATGACCCAACCTGACAAAACGGGTCACAAGTTGCCAGAGCCACGTCTGAGTCACGGTCTTGTGCAGTAGAAATCAACAGGGACCCCAGGATGCCAAACCGAGTGCTACCTTGAAACAAAGGGCTCACTATGATACTCTTTCCAATGGAAACTGCCTGGAGACCAAAAGAAGTCTTTGGACTCATTTTATGGGGATCAATTCACGCAAGGTTAGGCCGTTTGAGTGACAATGGAGAGCACAAGCAAGAGTTGTAAAAGGAAGTCCCGGTAAGCTTTCTGCCATTAAAAAAGAAAAAACCCGGCTGGTTTTGTATGGCTGTGAAATTCTGCCTCAATAAATGTCTGCCAACACAAACTTGTCCGAGTTTAATTTAGTTTTCAGACAATAATAAAAAAACATGAACTTCCACAATATAAATTAAAAAAAAAAACCTGGCAGACTTTTGCCTACTATAAAATCTACGATAAAAAAAAAGAAAACATCAAAGACAAAGGAATAAAGAGAGAAAATTGGTAATAAAAAACTGAACACTGTTCCCAACTTCTGCTTGGGATAATGCTCTCCCGATATCTAGAACTGTGGACGTGCTCATGGGCTTCTGTGCGCCTCAATCAAAAGTAAACGATAATCTATAGCACCATGATGTTTTCCAGAACCCGGGGGCCTCCGTAGAAATCACGCATTTGTCAATGTCTCCAAAGATCCTCCCCCAGGAATTCTTTCAGATATCTGGGATTTTGGTGAATTGGCAGATGCCTTCTTGGAGTTACTGCGGGCTCAAATTGGCTAAAATTTATGAGTTTGAAATAGTCATCTTTTTCATGACGGCAAGAAACCTTGTAAATTAAAATTAATAACTTAATAATATGCAGCATATCTCCTCTTTGGATTGTACACCTGTTCAACACAAGGAAGGTTTTACACAGGATTTTCAGTCATGTGATTTTTGACAGTCAGCATTCAATTTACACAGATATGCGCAGAAAAGTCTGTCAGCGTTCAGGCACCCATGAAATTGCTCATAGAAAGCTGCATATTCAATAATACACGTGCCGCTGCAGACTTCAAACATTTCCTAGGTTGCCTGTCAAGCGACAACACATGAAAAAAAATCAATAGGATCAGCATTGGCCAAATATGTCAGTGTTTACGAACACGTCCCACAACTTTAATATTTTTCATGGTTTCGTACTGCCAAATTTATTCTTCCGATCTTAGTGAATAAATTGTGTCAGTATGGAACTTATCTTGGTTCAAAACATGGATCTTGAATCACTCTACATACAGCCAAAACTGTTTCTGGAAGAAAAATCAAAGGCTCATTTACTCGTCTTGAGCCGACTTGCAACTCCATTTCAAACAAGATAAAACCAGACAAAACTTTGAAAAAGGGGTCGGTTTCCCTGAGTTTAAAAAAAAGGCACAACAGCGTTTAAAATACATAAAAAATATATTACAACAAATATCAACACATCTTGCAGCTACCTTGACAACGGTGGGGATGTAAGAGACCGACACTCTCTGGGATGATGCCAATAACGCAAACTGGAAGCACAGGGCTTGTGTTGCAGGCCAACGACACGCTGAAGTTTCAGTTAATACCTGTGACACGTGACCTCTTCCAGGGAAGCGCTTCTTCTTTTTACAGGAAGAAGAGCCGGTCGGACAGCTCCAGGGCTGGTTCCCGTTTGAGGCTCTCTCCAACCAGGTAGGCCAGCTTGTGGGCGTACTGGCAGGGCGCCGGGACGCGCACCGTGCCGGGCCAGTTGTAGTACAGGTGGGTCAGCTTGTAGGCCAGTCTGGCGACCAAGCGAGACCAAAATACAAAATGAAAAGGGTGAGATTGAGGGATGAAGAGAAATATGATGAGATTATTCAAATAATACAGCCTTTAAAGGCTGTTAACAGCCAACAAAGCTTGATTTCTTTCCCCAACATCTACGATTATGATAATCTTGCCCTCGGATTTCTTGCTCCAAAGTACTACCAAGACAGAAACATGACCGTAAAACTTGGGTCAAAAATCCTGAAATATGTAACTCAATCCTCAAAAATCACCCTGTAGACATAAACATTCATATCAAAGTTGTCAGTCAGTTGGATGCGCCAAATCTGCCAAAAACACGAAATCCCACAAAAGCCCTGAGGCCGTCTTTTAAAGCATCTTTTTTCAAGTTTGCCTTTGAATAAGCAAAATCGGCAATTTGTTTCTATATATCACTCAGTTTGGCATCCCAATCAAGAAGGGCAGGAAGCCGAAAGCTTTCCTCTATGCAAGATTCTTTTAAAGACCTTGATCTTGCAAGTGGGTGTGGCAACTTGAGACCCATTTCTTATTAATTTGGGGCGATCCAATTTGGGTCCGGGGCTGGGGGTTAGAAATTTGGGGCGTCGGAGGGACTCCTTAGAGACATCTGCTTTTACCTCTGCATCTGGTCCGCATTGAACTTGCTGGTGTCGTAGACGACCACGTAGTGGGTGGGCGTGACGGTGCCCTGTCTCACGTGCTGGCTGACAAGGAAGAAGTCGTACCAGTTGAGGCGGGTGATGGTGTGGTCCACCACGCACCCTGGGGCTGGGTTCTCCAGCTGTCTGCCGTTCTGTCAGAGGATCACCCCGTGAAGAGAGGTTAGCAATCAGTTTGGCCAAAGGACATCTTGCTATGCTGGACTGCTCGACCACTGTACTGTTTGAACAGTCACAGTAAGTCAAAACTTCAATCTACTTCATATACAGGATACTTATCAGGGTAACTCTCAAATGACGTCACTTCCTATAGATTGCCACATGCATCGGAATTTCGTACTTAAATTTGCGTGGCGTACATCGGCTGCGCCATATTTCGAACATATTTGGATCAGTAGTTGCGAACATTTTGCACACTGCGCGCACACGCACCTGTTTGTGTTATATAGGCAGTTGCAATTTTCCTACAAAGATGGCCTCCCATGAGAGAGATCTATACAGGAAATTCACTGGATGACTTGATTTTATAAACTAACCCAGCGACAAGAATTAGAAGCCATTGACTCCGGGGCCATCCTGCGTGTACGCAGGTTGTACCCATGCGTTACATTTCTCTCAGGCCAATAGGATGTTGTGACTTGCCAGGAGCACAGACACTCCAGTTAAAACCTGTGCGTGAGCGTGATGGCCCTGCTGGAATGGCATCTCCTTAGCTTTGTCTACAGGGCAGACCTTAACCACTGCCATACATGTAGGAATCGTCATGTATGTGCACAGTCATATAGTCTTGCTTGCGTAGCCACACAACTCCTCTGAGTTTAACCCCTTCACGGCGGGATTATTTTGACCGCGACTGCNGTATGTGTGGTATGCACTAATCCTCACACAATGGTGCGGTAGTAGCAGTCCTCCGTAGCGAAGGGGTTATAAAGACTATCACTTAATAGATTAACTAATAACTCTAGATCGTGCCGTGTGGCCAGATGTGTGCCCAATGGTTTGGCGGTAAAGAGCGCAGGTACAACCGACAGCATTTCCAAGTAAGAAGATCGAACATAAGGATTGGCGTAAGGCTAAGAATGATATGTGTCCTTTTGGAATAGTACTGTTTTAAGTATATTAACTGCTCGAGATGCTCTCATGAACAGAACTGAATTCGGATGTCCTGGGTTTGATTCAAGAATGCAATATAAGGTTGTGGAAGAGAAATTTCTGATCATTTTTCTCCATCCGGCTAAGAAAAACAGGGGCTGCCTACCGAGGCGGCAAAAATTCTGGTGTTGATCCGCTTCTGGACAATGACGATGGTCAGCGAGGGCTTGTAGGTTTCACCGAACATCTCAAAACAGGCGGAGAGCTGCTGCTGTTCGTAGGTAGCGACGATGTTCAGCTGGCCGTCGCCGACCCCGTCCCGGAAGATGACTATCTTCTGAGGCAGGTCATGGTTGATCTGGGAGGCAAGCAAAAATCCAAACCTGGATGATTCGACGCTTTGCTATTGTGACTTAGGGGCTCAGCGGGAACAACCCTTCGGGGGGGGGCAAATCAAAAGTTTCTGAGCCCTGGAAACATTCAGGATAATACGTTATTGATCACCTCGATATCTGCCACACTGCATAAGTAGAAATTCCATTCTACCGAGTACGGGAGTTCTAATCCACTGGAAGTTCCATTGTGCAGTTATATCGGTACTGCAATAGCATTTCTATATACACAAAATAGCTGACGATACACGGGGAAAGCATTTCTATGGAAACATAAAAAGGGTTTAAAAACTCAGAGAAAATAGAGGGATTTATTTAGGTACCTTTATTCCACTGATGTGGGATTTATAAAGGCGCTGTGAGAAACCAGCAAAAAATAAACGTTTCTCTTGGAAAGAATCCTTGTTTTTTTTCAGCGATGTGCACTGATCATGTGTCAGCATTGGTCCACGGGAACCAATGAGTGGAATCCCTTGGCTCACCTCGTGATACTTCTTGATGGAAGCCACCAGGCACAGCTTCAGTCCGTCGATCAACTCCTGCTGGGGAGTCTGGAAACAGACTCGGGAGTACCAGCGGGTCAGCAACCTGAAACGAGCCGCAACGGGAGAGAAGAGAGCTTCGTCACACACAGGCAGACGGCAAGTCTTGTCGGGAAAATGCCTGTGGCCTACCAGTTTATCACTGGCTAGCAGAATCTAAGGCCCCCATCCAACACGGATTTACTCACTTGTTAGTGCTGGCGACAAAGGCACCGATGGACTTGCCCCCTCTGGCCGGGTCATGATATACGTCTATGCCCACCACCATCATCTTGCTCTGAGAGACAAGCAGAGAGCGGAGAACATCTTCACTGGTTGGCAATTTCTTTGATTACAGAGTTAGCATCTAAGGGCAGTAAACTTTTGCAGACAGGTGGGATTTTGCAGCATTGTGTGTACTATGTTGTGATGTAGACTAGGGCAATAAAAGTATGTTGACAAAAATATATGAGACTTAAGAACATAGAATTATATATCGTTGTGCAAAGTTAAGCCTGTTGGGCACATCCATGTTTATGCGCAAACCTATGGAGAACTTGAATTTTGTATGACTTTTGGATGGTTATTTGCATATCTGCATCTGCATTCTAAAATGAAACATCGGAGAAGCCGATGCGCCCCAACTCCTAAATGCACAATCAGCCAATGAGGGGTTTGCTCAGTGTTAACAAGGCAATAAACAATCAGACTTTGTTCCACAAATACACATATGAATTCAAAATTTGTGCTCCTAGGACGTGTCAAGCTTCTCGGTACTAGAAAATACTGAGTGGGTGCTCCAGCATCAAACTTAATAGTGCTCTCAGCTCTGTGATTGAGACACAGTGCAAGCAGTGTGCGGAAATAGCACTGATGGATTCCTGAATTGATGGACGCACCACGGGTATATCCAGGGACCAGAGTTCGCCGCCCAGCTTGCAGTTGATCTGCAGGGCAATCTTCTGGGTCACACTGCGCAGCTTCTGCTGTTGGCTGATCGTCCTGGAGATGATCACCTGGTTGTAAAAGTGGCAGGAGATGATAAAGACAAAAAACAAAAACAAAAAAACCCAGAACAATTACAGGTACGTTTACATGAGAGCGGTGCCAAATGTACAGGAGCCCGAGCATGCCCGAGGCGACTCCCCATTGAGTGGAAGTCTCAGTTCTGTAAAACCTTGTGCCGATGTCTCCGGGCATTTGTGTTGGCTAAAAAAGCCTCCAGCTGTACAAGATTTGACCACTGCTGCAGTATGCTATCTTCAGCGGGGTTAAGGTTAAAAAGCAACTTGAACTGATGAGAAACTGTTGGCAGAGTACAGAAACTGGCGGGTACCTGGGACGGGATTGCCTTCTCCACGCAGCAGAGCTTCTTGACAGCGCTGTAGCGGTCATCTCGGGATGTGGGGAAAATGATCACCACCAGTTGAAGCTAGAAAATGGAAAAACAAAGAGGTCCGAGGCATAAGTGAGCCCGGAAAGGCGGGGGGGAGAAGGTTAAGACATAACTCTCCCTCCAATGCAAAGACGCATTCTTGACACAGTTGTCCCATCAGTCAAAAACCAGTCAAATTTCCCGTATGTGTCTGTGTACTGGGGGAAAACAAGTGGAAGGGAATTTGTGACTGTTTTGATGGTTACAGCAAAAGGAGGGTTACTATTGAAGCAATCAGAGTCAAGTTAAGACAGGGGGCCCCCAAAACGTGGGCATAAATATGGCCCTTACACGACGTCCTTCTGCATTCATTTCATGAGCTCAACGTGTTCTCAGAAAGAAATACAAAAGCTGTTGAACAGTTTGGACAAGTTTTGCATACAATTCTTTCCAAGTCTTTGTCACACAATAAGACCTCTGATGAGTTCATTGTTAACATTCCGTACATTTTAAATTCATCCCATTTCCTATACAATGTTTAACTGAAGACTCATTAATAGTCACATGTACAGGTGCAGGGGGTTAGGAAAGACAAAAGGGATTTAAGCTTTGGGATTCTCAAACCATTCTCTCCCTCGGCCAAATGACTATCACTTGTTTTTTTTTTGGTTTTTTTCCCACCAAAATCATTATACCCATTACTGACTGGTTGGACTTTGAGGCATGACCCGCTGTCAAAATTTCTCCATGCATTCTGGGAGCAAGCGCACGGAATCAGGGTGGTGTAAGCCACCCGCAGTGTACCAGAATGAGCCGCGCATGTGCGGTACCTGAGGGTTGATGGCATCACGGATGCAGTTGAGGTACGTCTGGGTCTTGTCGTCCTGCAGCTGGAAGCGCACGGGGGGCTGGATGCGGATGCCCAGCTGAGGGCAGCATCTCTCCATCATCTTCAGGAAGTCCGAGGAGCGACTGGCATCGCGCTTGCAGAACACCAGCAGCCAGTGGTTCAAGTCCACCTGCATTGAAGAGGGCCCACGACGCAAAGTTAACTCTGGGACATGTTCAGCACAACTTCCTACTCCTGGGAAGAAAAACTATCTGGCGTCTATTTTTGGGGGTTACTCTCGTTAACCCGATTATCCTTATTTTCGCTTCGCTAGTTTTACTTTTGGAATTTTTGGGTTTTATGCCAACCTAATTTGCATATTTATGGGGAAAAACTGTGATTTCAAACAAAGCACTCAACCTACAGTGCTGTACTGATAAGCGCACTTTCACAAGACACTTAACGCCAACAGGATTTTAACAGTTATTCATACACTGAAGAAAGATATGAAGATGTCTGAAAAATTTTTTCGCACGGATCCTTAAACATCAGCGGGTCTGAAAATCACAAACCTAAACCTACGTCTGGCTGAGAATGTCAATTTTGACTACACACGGTCTTTCTTTCCAAACAGTTGAATAAACGCTAAAACAAGACCGCTGAAAACCACACGGATGTTCCTTTTCCCAATTCGTTTGTAATGGAAGAGTTCCCCCGACCAAACAGAGACGAACAGAGGGTCACGACGGACGTTTTAACGCAACTGCCACTGTGCACCAAAATGGTCCGACGATGAGCACCTTCCAACAAAAACTGGCCCTGCTTACTGGGCACCCCTAGCAAAAAAGGAAAGTGTGCGTGTTTTGCTTTTTTCTCCCCCGTCGTTCTTACAGGCAAAGTAGCTCTATCTCTTGTCATTTCTCTTCCCCAATCGGCTTCAGGATTGGCCACGATGGTGTTGTTCTGCATCCTGATTTGCTCGGGACGAAGCTGTCTGGCACCCATCTGCAGGCAATAGATAAGAACCGCAGCATTATTAAAATGATTGGTCCAGACTAAACATGGGGGGAGGGGGAGGTTCCCAGCTGTATGTCTCCAGATAAAAGTTGAGCATTTCCTCATTTAGACCCAACAAGATTCTAATAGAAGCCAGCAGGAGAGGGTACCAGTCGGATGAAGTCCAACGTTACACTGGATGCACTGTTTGATTTGGTTTCTTCTTATGTTAGATTCCTCGGATGAAAAAAAAAAATTCAGAAAGTTTGAGAAATGTGCACCTATATTAATGGTGTTCAAATGGGGGGGGCAGAATTTCAAGCAATTCTGCCAAGTCTGCAGTATAAATGCCAGCTGGCTTTCCAGCAAATGAGCTTCTCCCAGCACCCACTTCCATGAAATAGTTCTCAAGTTTTTAGTCACTAAGGGGATAATAATCTAAGGTAATCATCATTGTGAAAGTGTGATCAGTTTGTTCAACTTTAAATTTCACAATGCCATCCATTTCTTTTCCGTAACATGTCAATACAACCAATCCACACCATTAAGCAGCACTGATTATTTTGAGTGGCTGAGAGCTGTCATGTGACGAGAGCAGAGACCTTATGATTGACTCTCCCTTTTCAACTCACCGTCAGGATGTCTCTGTCCACTGACATGCCCCAGTTGGTGAGCTCTTTCAGGGCGTCGCGGTTCTGGTAGATGTTGTCGATGAACTTCCGCAGGGAGACATGGCGCTGGGCCGGTGTGATGCGGGTATGGAAGGCAAGATCCTAGACACAGAACAAAATGGCATCGAGATGATGAGACTGTCGAGTGAAAAATTTATCATCACCTTTGTGGTAAGGCTTGTGGGGACACAATGTGAGAGAAGGTGATATGCAAGCAGCTTCACCTACTTTCATGACTCTGAAGTCACTTCGCATCTCATCGGTCAGGCCAGTACGACAGGCTAGCTCGGGCACCAGGCAGATCACCGACGCCTTGCTCTGAAAATGAACAGATGTAAAACAAACACACTGTCAATGCTTTACGATCAGAAATGATTGCCTGCCATGTGCATCAATGTTTTTTCCTGGACGCTGATGAGAATGATGTCGTTTCTCGAACGCATTCCCCGGACGGGCGACCACCGCCTCAAACTTTCAATATCAGCAACTGCTGAAGCAGAGCAGATAACATCCTGGACCACTGCAGGTGGTATTGAGCATAACCTACGCCCAAACTTATGCACGGCAGACTGTAAACAACACAGGGGTCGTATCCAAGACCTTGACACAGTGCATCCTTTAAAAGCAGCCGCCCCGTTTTTGCCGTTCAGCCCCAATCCTCCAGAATCCTCCGAAACTCGTGGAAGATTGAGGAAGGTTAAGGGGGGAAAGCGGCACTGGGATTAGGCCCAAGCGAGACAGGCAACACCTACCCCAGGTTTCTTCAGTTGTTCCTTCTTGGGTCGGTTGATCAGGAGGGGCTGTCCCATGTCGGTGATCTCCTTGTCGTAATGCTTTCTGTATGGAGCAGGGATTTCAGGAGAAAATATTGCAGACGGTAAAGTTTTCTGTCCATGCTCTAACTACAAAGGATTGGAAGCAAAAACACTAGGAAAATAAGCGACATAAATTGAACTTTAACGACATACGTTAAAATGGCTGAGTGTCATTTCACATTTATGCCAGCAGGGAAATTCTGGACAAAGATCCAACGGTACCTTCTTGCTACAAGTTTGAAAGAGGCCTTGTCACATTATGCCAAAGGCAGATTATCTTGGAGCCGTCAAATGTCAACTGAAACCCACAAGTTGGAATGCTAACAATTTTGAGCCTTAGGCCTGAAGACGAAGGCGTTGAATGTAATGATAAGAGACAACAACTCCCCAAAATATACGCGAGTCGACGGTACCAGCGACGATGAACGCACTCGAAGGCAAAAACGACACTGTCTACGACCGCTCCCCTGTTGAGATTTTGGTGAGAAAGAGGAACTCACTTGTAGTACTCCACAAATGTCATCTCCTCCTTGTCGTGATACATGAACGTGCTCAGGGGGTTTTTGTTCCAGGCGATGTCGTCCACCCGATAGGTCTGGTTGTTGTAGCGTGTCAGCACGATGGTGCCGACAATCTGACGCGTGCACTCGTCCTTGAACGTGTCCTCATTCCTCCGGTATATTTCAGTCCTGAAAAAGGGATGCAAATGAAAGCTGATAATTAAATATGAAGACGAGGCAGTTTAATTTTTTTATTTTTTATTTTTTGGCGGGAGGGGAGGTCGTTTCCAGTGTAATCTGACTGCACAATTTACAAGCAAGTTTCATTTTCGAGCCCAAAGAGGCACAGAGAACCCGGGTTCTTTCGTTTAATACGTGCGATTCATAATAGTGCCCTTCCAAGAGTTTGCAATGCGTCGGCCGATCACAACACGGGAAATCTGTCAACCCAATGCACGTTTGGAAAGGGTTGACAGAATTCGCGCATCGTGATTGGCCAGCACGTTGCAAACTCTTGGAGGCGCACTTTAGTGAATCGCCCGTATTCACTAACAAGAAATATGACAACAAAAGTTAAGGTGAGTCAAATTCAACAAGGGTTTTCACTCAATGTTATTTAATTAATGAACACACATGTAAATACAGAAAAAAGTACAGAAACCAAAAAAAGTTCACTTTGAACAGAACGGTAACACCTTCCTTTGGGGAATGGATAGAGGCCTACAGTAGACAAATGAAATTGAATGCTTACATGGTATCCAGGACTGTCTGGTAGCACAGAACTTTATGGGACACGTCAAGCTGCAGCATGAGTCCGGAGCTATACTCGTGAATAGCTGTGACGTACCCTGGCCAAATCTCCAGCCTAGAAATCAACCACAGTATCTAGAAAATTGCATTCTAGCTCCCAAGCAATTGGGTTACTCCCTTAATTTTGATATTTGAATCTAAGAGAGTTGTTCTGTAAATTTCCTGGCGCTATTTCCTTAGCAACAAAGGCTTCTTTGGCGCTAACTGCACTTTGCTTGTTCACAAACGACTAGGAAACGCAAGATTTGCAGATGCATCACTACTAACAAAATGAATACTCCCAACCAACACAGCTCTTTTCAACCGATGAGGGGATGCTTCTGTTCAAGGCGGGTATCGTGTCACTGACGTCAGGTAACTTGTTATTAACAGAAGCACAAACTGACTAACCCTTCCCTCATCATAAAAACTACCCCCCAGTTACACCGTTTTGAGTGCCACAAGGTACCAAAGTTATACACCTGCAAGGTGTTAATCGGGCTCGGATAGACTTGTCGGTGCACTGAGAGGGGAATGAGGCGTCTACTGTCTTACTTGTGTTGTGGAATCATCGTGGCTAGGTCCGGGCTGTAGTAATGGCGTCCCACCTGACTCATGGACAGAATTCTCATAATCCTGCAAAAAGGGCCAAAGCAAAAATACATGGAACAAACATTACAAATCATGAAACAAAATCCAAACTTGTCCTTGCGGAGGAAATCCCACCCCACCATGGTCAATTCTCTTCTGCTGAGGTTTTCATCCCACAGAGGTCAATCCAACTCCTCTGCAGAGCTTCAACGCGCATGCCTCATCACTGCAAGTTCACTGTACTTATGATTATTACGCACAAAAATGTAGGACACTTTAACCCTACCCCTCCTAGGAGGCTTGGCAAGAAATCCTTCCAGACACATCAGATGGCATCGTTTGTCCAAGTGGCTTGCCTGTCCAGTGTAACAAGATACGACAGGTCAACTCTCCCCAAGGCCAAACAGCCTGGGAGTCTGTGGTTGCCAGCCACCACAAGATCCAACAGTGGCATTGTTCAGTGGGACTAGCTCCCACTCTCTCAACATGGCCAGTTTGTTGATTGCCCAATCTGTCAAAATGCATCAGACTTGTTCACCTGATGTACTGTGCTGCCTCAGGCAGGGTTAGGCTTAATGATAGAATTAATGTCACCGGTCCGACTCACAAAGAGGAAACACGGGAAGCTATATTCTCACTACAAAGCCACAATGTGCGCAGCATCTCAGCTGGTTTCTATGTTTTGTTGTCATTGGGAACAAAACAAAAAGGCGGAATAAAATGAAATGACACAAGCAGGGATCCAGACGCATTCATCAAGTTTTGAGTCGGTGGGAAACAGAATCGGGCTCGTTTACCGTCTGAAGATGACGTTGTAGAGTTGGATGCAGTCTTTCGGCTGCAGCGCTTTGGCCAGCTGAATCTTCACCTCAAACTCTGTGTTATCTCGCAGCCCCTTGGTCTTGAATATTGTGACCTGCCAGGGTAAGGACGCAGCAAGAGTTTAACGGAAGACAGACCCCCTGATAGGTGTCAAGAGTTCGCATAGGGCCACCAGATAAGCAGTCTTATGTTCTTACTTTAAGGAGATCTTAAATTGCAACAGACAACAGAAGCTAAAAAATGTCATTATCAAGACTCCACTAAATGGAAGCAAATATGCAGCAACGAGTTGCTAATGTCAGGGAATTATGAAATGGTGACCCACAGCTAAACTTCAATCCCTTTCCCCCACACACATTTCCTTAATCGATGTGGATATCTAGTCTTAGAGGAAATGGAATCTCCAACCACAGAGGTTCATTTCTCAAAAATCCGCAACCCCGAAACGTGAACTTAAACCCAAACTGAACTGAACCCAAACCAAATTCAGACCCTGAACCCTGATCCAAACCAAATCCAGTCCCTGACCCCAACCCCAAACCAAGCCAATCCCCAAGCCGACCCCCAAGCCAATCCCCAGCCCAACCAAGCCAAGCACAACAAAACAGCAGCAAACCAGCAAAAAACTGGAATGCATGAATCTCACACAGTGCTGATTTCATCCAAGTCCAAATCGAACAAACACTAACGGCTTGGTTCAAAAAGCTGAGGGTACAGAAAAGGCAAAAGATGCATTTCTACAAAAATGCAACAACTTTTTTTTTGATGAGGGGAGGGGTGGGGAATACAGAATCAGAGATAAATCCCACCTTCTCTTTAAGCTGGACAGGCAGAAACAAGATCGTCCCATCGAAGGCACGGACCTTGCTGATGTTGTCTAGGTACGTGTACAGCAGGCCCATTCTCATTTTTTTGCTCTCGATGTGGGGGCTGAAGGAGACGGCATACTGCCAGATAGCCTCCGTCTCAAACTTGATGGGTAGATAGTTAGTGGCCACTTTTATACTGCCGGGAAGACGATTGGCCTGAGTAGTTATTTATGTAAAGCTAGATACTCGACAGCAGGAACCTCTGATGTTGAAATTTTGCCAAAATAAATTGAATATTACATAGCCTAATAAAAGTCACATTATTTTCGAAGAAAACAATGCTAAAATTGGTATATTTGATGGATCGAGAAATGGACCAGAGAGCATTCTCACAAGAAATTTAAAATGTCAATGAGAAATGTTATATTGTGTCTTGTATCATGCACAATGTGGGATGTTGCAACACTGCACTAAGTGGACTTGTGGTCTGAATGAATCAGTTTGGTGTTTCAAAACGGATATGTCCTCTGAGAGCAAAACATGCCAGTGTATGTTTCAGTGAGTTTGAGTGTGAATACTATCCCACTGATTACACAAAATGTCGCATGCACACATCGATTTCCCAAGTGACCTCTGCGACGTGCCCCATTTCTGGCATGCAAGGTTGGAATACCAAACTGGCTCGTTCACTTTGAACATTTTCTGAGGAAAAATGCCAAAACTGATTACAAATCAAATCAGCTATCAACATACGGTGCGCCGGATGTCCCAGGTGGTGGTATGTTCACCTGCACCTCTGGCTTATCCCTGACGGCGCTCGCTGCTGCTTGCGGCTGGAGCTGAGGGGTGGTGGTCCCAGTCCCCTGTGGGGATGTGGGTGACGCCAGGGGTGAGTGTGGGCTGCTCTCCGCTGGGGTCTGGGCCAAGGGAGGGCTCTTCTGCTTCAGCCCAGCGATCCCGCGGCCGAACGCTGGCACTGCTGTGGGGCTACCACGGGCGGACAGACCAGCAATGCCCCGGCCGAATGGCTTAGCAGGAGGCGTCCCGGTACCCGTGGATGGGGGTGTGGGTGTGCCTGATGGGGTGACTGGATTTGGAATTAAACAATGCAAACGTTGTTAATGATCTCTCCGGGAACATTAGGGTATCATTTGGAAATATTTTTTTAATGGCTTCAACCACCATCTTTATTCCATTTGTTTAAATTTTTACAGGAGAAAATGAAAAGAGGTACCATCAGTGAAACCTGTCTCACCTGCGCCCGATGATGGTGAAGATGAGCCTGAACTCACTGGCGAGTTACCCCTGCTCAGCTGCATCTGTTGGTAGAGACTGGCCAGGCCCCTCCCGACGGAGGGCTGGGGTTTGGTGGCAGCTCCTTCCCCGCTCTGCGATGGGCGAGCCCCACTGTGTCCATTCTGCTGCTGCACGCGGGCTGCCACCCCCGGGCCAGCCGACTCTGAAGATGGAGGTGAGGGCGAGGCTCGCTCGGGTGGACTGTGGCCACTGGTGCTCGATGCGGATGGTTCTTGTCCCGGACGGCGTATGGGATTCTGTAACACAGCCATGAGGGCAGCACCACGCCCCCCACGGCCCAAGCCTGGAGGGCCTGACCCTGACATCTTCAAGGCCTTGTCTTAGGACAAGGTCCAGACTCTGCGTCACCAGTGCCAATGTGACTTCCACAGAAAGGCCACAAATTCACTTCCTGAAACAAAACAAATCACAAAAAATCTGACAATTAGTCGGTTTTCACTAAGTGCACTAAATAAAAAAAAAATTAATTTCCTGAAACCAAAGACAAAAAATCTATCAATAAATATTGATTGATGAAATATTTTCATACTTGAGAAATTAACATTACACTCCCTATAAGTACTTGTACACATGCATTTTATCAAGGTCTTTGAAACTCCAGCACAATTGCAGCATACCCCGCCACTCAGCCGTTCCAACTCGTAGCTGGCTACGAGCTCAAAGGTCGGGCATGCAGTTCACATTGTGTTAAGAGGATCACAAGAAGGCGCTTCAATTCTGACATCGTATCCGCACAGCCACCAACCCAGGAGTCAAGATAGACTTATAGTTTATCATTCATTGAAAATCATCATTTGATTCATCAAACTCAATCCAAACTCTTCGACAGTGATTTTAGGGCTGTGTTTTTGTGCGGGTAGGTATTCTGCAATTATTTCGAAACTCTTTGCCTTGAGACTATGGGAAACTGTGACATACACGCATCATAATAATAGGCCTCGGCCTAGATGAAAATATATCATTAGGGGCTCATAAATCATCTTGCACCAATTCTACGAGAATTTTTCCTATCAACCACTAAATAGATACTGCCGACTGCCGACTAAAAATACTTCCCCCCCAAAAAATCCCAAATTACTGTACATCAGTTTGCTCTCAACAGTCCACCAGCTTGTTGAGTAGGCTGTAGCTCCTCAATTTAATTTCCTATTTCAAAATTTTTGAAATTTTAAGAGAAGCCAGCATTTAATTCAATGAAGGCACAAATAAAAACAAACATTTTATGAAAATGTGAATTTTAAGCTTTTCAATCAAAATCCACACTCATTTTTGTGAACAAAATAATCACAGTTGGCTCTGCATTCGATTACACACGTACCAAAAATATCTCAAAAAATAGCCGCTTCAAATCACTTTTTCTTTGCTTTCCAGAGTCTGATCAAAATGTTTCTTATGACATCCTCTCCCAAATCGCTTCTAAAACTGAAAACAGAAAAAAATAGTTCAAAAATATTATGAGCCTCCCTCCGGGGCCGCGGGGAAGGGCTGGAGAGCGAATGGCTATTGCCCAACTGTCCCAACAATTTTGTCCAGCATTGTAGTCTAGTGTGTAGGCCTATCTCATGATCTCAGAAAGACGTAATTAAACGTTAGGGCCTGCAGCCAGCTGAGCTAGTACAACTTTACTACAACTAGTACGTAGTATACAAACAACCTAGCCTACACGGTGAAACAGTCACCAAGTCACTGCTACACGGTGAGTTGGTAGAGTAATTTTGTAGAGGCAAATAACACGCGTCCAGTGAAACTTTACAGTCTGAACTGACTATCAGAACAAATCGTTACCATGGCGAGATTCTAAAGGAATATGAATCTTACGTATCCGAAAGAAATTAAGAATACAATTTATTACAAACCAAGTTGCTCTCGATTGCGTGCGCGTTGAATATGATGTAAACGGTACGGGATAGTGTGTGGCGTGCAATCGTAATGAACTGGTACCACTAACCACCAGCATCAAACGCTGGCCAAAGGATGATAGCATATTTGGTCACCAGCGAAGTTAAGCGCTCTGAATGTGTGCCGTGTATTCTCGGAGAACATCGCCGATTCTCAGAGGGGGGAGGGGGCCGGGATCGTGGGAGAGGAGCATGTTCGAACATAGAGCTTTATAGCTCCATGGTTCGAACGATCAGGTGGGAGGGCAAAATCAGATGCTACATTTTCTCTTTCCCTTTCAACAAACGATTTGTTTTTCGCACTGCACACTCAACTCAATTGAAATCTGTCGACCCGATGAGCGTTGGAGAGGTTCGACAGATTTCGCGCCTTCTGATTGGTCAACGCGTTTCAAACTCTTTGAGGTGCACTATTGTGAATCGCCGGTATTATGACGACAAAACTCGTCCCATTTTGCAGGATCCTCAGGCAGAGTCGGTGGCTTAAAATGATTGTAGACATATTAGATGGGAAATGAAAATACATGTAGAGTCTTTATCAAAGGAACATCTACCCTACCTCCTTAAACTTGCAGTGAAAAAAAAAACCGCATGCACTGGCGGCGCAATCGGGGGGGGGCGGCTCGACTGGGGAAGGCCTGCTTCCTCTCCCGGCCCCCACTTTTTGCAGGTCCTATTATTGGGTGGGGTTCATCAATGCATCGAGCTAGCTAATGATGACCGATGCCTGATGGGCTTGCAACTGCCCCTCTCCCCCCACCCCTTTCGAATATCGTTCCGCCGCCGATGATGAATGGACTGAATTGTGGTCGAACAGCCCCCCCCCCTGCTTCCCCAACAAACGTCCCTCCCTCTCCCATCACCGTAACCACCGCAACACACAAAGACAGTGGTGGTCGCGAACCTTTCTCTCAGAGTCGGGACATGTAAGGTCCTGCCACGTTGCTGACTAAATGCTTGGCACTTTGTCGGCCAGGGATCGAAAGCGGGTTACGACATGCCTACTTATTTGCAAGTCTAATACGATACCCCGCGAGCACTGACCAATCAGCTTTCTTCCCGCGGTTTGACATTTCCTCGCGCGAAAAATTTCGCGCAATTGCTCAGTCGTCATTGTGGCCAGCCATCGGAGAGGACCTACGTCGTACCTTCTCTTCCTCATCTCTGTCGCATCAAAGTTTTTTTCTAAATATCCGATTTGTTTTACAGAAAGGTCACATTTTGGCTGTGAGGTCTCAGTCGTTTCAGTGTTCTTGTTTGTTCGAAAGTACCAAATTTTTCAACATGTTTGAGGCAAAAATGCTACAGAGCTCCGTGCTCAAAAAGATCATCGAATCACTGAAAGATTTGTTCTCAGATGCCAACTTCGACTGCTCATCGTCAGGTAACACTAACATTCTAGTTTATCGTACTTTAATAAGGCATGCCTCAATTATTGATATTAGGCAAACATCACTTCTTTGAATTTGAAGGTCCCTTCACAGTCACAATAGGAAACCGTGATGTAGGCCTACCCAGCAATGCCAATTGCCATAAATGCCTGGCGGGGCAAGGCATGGCCGTGATGGCACGGCACTTAACCATTTTATTTTTAACGTTTGTACGCAAACAGGTCAGCAAGAGTGCATGGGGAAAGTCAAGGGAAACCTGAGTGCATTACATGATTAGGGGACTTAGTTTATTGAAACATGAATGAATCACTGAATTTTCATTTGTGTGAATTTCTGTGGGATTTTATGTCGACTTATTTCGCGTAAACTGCTTTTTGTCAATCAAATCTTCCCCCAAACATGCCAAAAGCCATCCACACATTGGCCTAGGCCTATATATTTCATTATGCATGCTGATGCACACAACCAGTCCAATGAGAAATGACATACCTTGGCCTAGGCCTACAATTTTGCATTGCATCATCGGCAACTTTGACTGTGTGGGCTTTGCGCATACACATCCCTTCACTGGGAACCAACATGGTGCAGCAAGATCGTACCCATGGGATTGAGGGGGAAAGGGCCAACTCGTAGGCCCTACACTGACAAACTCGTACACAGATTGGTCAACTTGTATGCCAACCAACTCGTACACTGACCAACTCATACATCACGTGTACGAGACGCAAATACACATGCAAATGTGTACTAGTAATGTAGCGATTTGCCTCGGTACATAAAACATTCTTCAAAATCCCAGTTCCCTTTTTTTTTTTTTATTTGGCAGTCTGGGTCACTTGGGAAGAAAAGCTACCTGAAGCTCTTGTGTCAAAAATCTTTCGCATGAAAAAGACTTTCAGTCTCAGAACAGAAAGCAAAACGTATTCCTAGTTTGAACATGAGTGTATTAACTCAACAACGCATGCAACTACACGGCGTACGAGTTGGCTTGGTATGAGTTGGTCGGCGTACAAATGGGCATGGGTGTGAAATAAGTTAGCACATTCAGAATCCCATAGCATTTCAAACGAATGAAAATTTGTGACTTGCATTTCTGCCAGTAATGTCCACCTAGTCCCGGCCGTCTAATTTTGTTTTGCTTGATCTGCTAATCTGTACAATTGCCCGATCACGCTGTGCGAAAAGTTGATCCTGTACAGTACCATGGCAAATCTCCAACTTCCTTCATGTCCTTTTTCTAGGTAATTGGCAACTGGAACTTTGGAAAAAAAAAATGGGGCAATTGGCTGATGGTTGAATTATCAACAAATCATAGGAAATCAGTTGCTTGCAAATTGACTGATCATGCATGTGTATTGGACGAGTCCAGTTATCTTGTAGAAAAGAAAGGAAATTGAGGAAAAAGGAGTTTTGATCATGTTTAAAACATTTGACGTAACCCTTAAAGAAGTGTGTTGGCCAGATACATAACTTCCCAGATGCTCGTCTGTCCAGTTGGGTCTGTTTATGGAGTCATGTAAATAGGCAATTGTGATTGGCCATTGGTCAAGATGTTGTAATTTGACAGTACTTACTTGGCATGACCAAATTAAGTTCTTTGAATTGTCAGTTTGAGCCACTCAATTAACCTGGTTATGACTGGCCTGTTCTGGCTCACGTGCAGGAATCACGTTGCAAGACATGGACTCAAGTCACGTTGCCTTGTGCTACCTGAAACTCCGAAGTGACGAGGAAGGTTTTGAGGATTACAGATGCGACAGAAACATCACACTGGGTGTGAACCTCGTACTGTGAGTACTCGATCGAAACCACAGTGGCACCTGACATTAAGTTCCCAAGTCAGAGTTATGACCATTCCAAAAATCAACACAACCCTTATTGAAGGAAACCAGTATCACATTTTACTCACACTCTGAAGGGATGTCAGATAAGGTGCGAGTAGTGACTAGGTTCTCATTGGCTCAGATAACGAATGAGCCAGTTCAGTAGTGAAATGCCCAAAATGAAGTGCGTCCGAGGGCATTCAGGAACAGCAGGATGCTTGTGTGAGGCCAGTTCTGTCAGTGCAGTCATATGCTGACTGACGATTGTGCTTTGTTGAATGGCCTTGCTTTTTTGGTTTGAAATACCGAACTGTCTCATCGTACAGAATCCTCTGAAACACGCAGTGGAACTTCACTGATCTGAGGGAATTCGGATTAGCGCAAAGTAACTGAAAAGTCTCATGCTCATATAAAGCATCTTTGTTTTGCAGGATGTCAAAAATTCTGAAATGTGCAGGCAATGATGATGTCATCACGTTGAGGGCAGAAGACGAGCCCAACATCTTAACCTTCATCTTCGACTCGAAGAACGGCGAGAGAGTTTCGAAATACGACATCAAGCTGATGGAGATTGACTCCGAGCTTCTTGGAATACCAGTGAGTGTTTGGTGACTCAATCTTAAGATAGTAAATGGATTGGATGCAGAGATCATTGGTTTGATTGCAGAGTATGCATGACTGATTTTCATTTGAATGTGCACAAAACTGTTCATTATGTCATAATTAGCAGAGTAGGTAATTGTGCATGCAGTCAGTGAGATTTTAAACACCAAAAATATTTTCCATTAAAGAGGTTGCTCAGCTGTTTATCACAATGTAGTAAAACACCACATGTTTTTCAAACCTTGAGTATTTATCCCATCAAGTAGCATCTCGTGTTATTTGGAAACGTCAGTTTCACTCATTTGGGTTTTCTTTGTTCTTGTCAGGACACAGAGTACAGCTGTGTCGTCAAAATGCCCTCGCACGAATTCCAGAGGATCTGCAGCAACCTGAGCCAGCTGGGCGACTCGGTCACCGTGGACTGCCATAAGGAAGGCGTAGACTTCAAAGTGGCTGGCGAGCAAGGGTCAGGAGCCATCAAACTCAAGCAGAACACGACAGTCGACAAAGAGGAAGACCAGGTTAGAATTGATATAGCCCAACCTGACAAAGTAAGCCATAAGTCGGCAGAGCTACACATGGCATTTTGTAATAACTGTGCGTCAATAGGAAATCTCGGCATTCTTTACCCACATGATGTCTCCATTTTCACCAGGCTGATGCAATGAGTGATACATCAGAACAGAGCTCGGACAGCTCCTTATAATGTGAACTAAAACATACTTGTGAAAAGGCCACAAGACTCATTTTGTGAGATCCAGTCGCAAATTTTTGAAGTAGTTGGAGCCATCACTGCTCACCTGTAGCAATGCATTGTTGTAAGAGGAATGTTTTAAAAGGGTGGAATTTGATGCCTTCTGCCAGGTATCTGTTGAGCTGAATGAGGCTGTTACCCAGAGCTTTGCCCTGAAGTTCCTGTGCGCTTTCACCAAGGCCACATCCCTCTCCGACACAGTCAGCCTGTCTCTCACGCAAGACACGCCAATTGGTAAGCACCTTATATCAAGAGGGGGTGCTGTGTTTCTTGTTTTCTTCCCTGGGAACTTTCATAAACTGTCTCGTATCTCTGCAACACAGGGAAGGATCCGTAGTCGGACGTGTTCCATTTTAGCGTAGTGTTCCCGTTTTGGCACGAAATCTCTGAAATTTCTCAAAGCCAGAAAAAATGAACATCCGAGCGACGGTTCATTTTATCTGTTATTAGCGTGTAACACAATGGAGCTCTGTCAATCTAGTGTAAACTGTACTCTCCTATTATGTTCTGTCTTTGGAGTCTAGGTGCAAACTAACCCTTATTAATCCTTAATTTGTTTTGGTTTTTTTTTTTCTCTGCAGTTGTCGAGTACCCCATTGCACAGCATGGCTACCTCCGTTTCTACCTTGCTCCTAAGATCGAGGAAGAAAACTAACATTTAACAGGTTCATCTTTTTAAACTTCGGTGAACAATTGTACAAATTGTAGTTTGGTGGGTTTTTTTGGAGCATAAAAGAAAGGCAGATTTTGTGGGGGGTTGTGTGGATAGATGCTGGTCGGACCTTAACATTGGTTATGCATTAAGTTATGGAGGTTGCTGAGTTCCTACATCTTAACATTTTGGGGGTCGATATAATTATCGCCCTTTCTTTGTTAAATTTCACGTCTTTTTCAAAATTGTAGTCGACGGGTGTTTGTCGGAAACATCTCATTTTCCACAGACAGATGTCCCTAGGTGTATTGTCTTTGGGAATATTATATTCCAACAAGCAGAGAATAAGCAGCCCCTAAATGGGCGGATGTAAATACAGACACACGAGATCAATGACAACCCTGCTGTATTCCAAAGTCGAGGATGTTCATAACCGTAGTTACGTTGTTAATGGTCAGTCTTTAAAGTTCCAACATTTTATTGAGTTTGCACCCCAAAAATGAATGGAAAATTGGAAATGTTTACTTATAGAACAACAGAATTTGTAATTTTTTCATTCTCCACACTGTCGGTGCATCCTTTTTTCAGTCATTTGCGAAGTGCATGCACTTTAAATGTTTTACACAACACAAACCATATTTAAAATAAAAATGACCACTGTGAGGTCATTCCCGTTGATCCACATTCTTGTACGGATTACAGATCCCATTTGTCCAAAAAATGTATTGAAATTACAAGATTTGAGGTTAATTTTATGTACAAATAAATTAAATGCACAAAATAGGCGTGTGCACGTATTATATAAATACATTTGTGAAATGATTGGACATCGAGGTCACGTGAATAAATATACGTGTATATCCTGTCCAAATCGGGGAGTGTCCTTGCTCGCTTCTTTATTTCGGCCGGTCACACTCGTCCCACACTAAAATTAGAACAGGGACTGGATTTGGTCACAACTGGAATCCTAAAAATATGCAAGTACTTTATGAAAGGTTTTTGCTCTTGGTGATGACGCGGCGTTTCCTTTCAAAAACGGTGATTGAGGGCGCCCTCTGCAACGGTGGGAAAAACCTCTCGGGTTGCACTCGCTGACCTCTGGCATTGCAGCTCAGCAGTAACTACCTACCTTGGCGTAAATTAAAGTGATCGCGCGGCCATTTTAGGATATTCAGTACACTGTACAGTTGCCCCCGACTTCAGTCCATTCACTCAGCGCATTCGTGAAAGGCGCTAAAAGCCGGTGACTTGGGCACTCTTGTGCCATAGCTGCTTATCCGGTGGTAGCACTGCACGAAATGCACGCCTGTAGAAAACCAGCGCAAAATCGGACGGAAATAGCGCCGCCTGGTGACTCTCGGGAAGAGGTTGTAATACGTGTTACATATACTGTATATGTTTAATGGATAGCGCGAGCCTACACCAAAAGTGAAGAGCACAAAATTTAGCTCGGTCGCGGCAAAGGACCAGAATCCAGCACTGATTTCCAACCTGGGTCTTCTGCTTATTTTTTTACTTGCCTGATGTACATGGTGTTCATTTGGTGAAATTTCTCAGACTGAGATTCAAAACTTTACGGAACGAACCGTGTGATTGACAATCGAACCCCCCCCCCGCTGTCGAAATTCCCATTTAGTTGACTAGGAAGGCTGTAAGCAAATCAGCTAAGCCAGTTATCGTCAATTGACAACGGTTGAGTTTACCATACACAAACAGTCGTTATTAACCTATGCTAACATTATTTAAGAGTCAATACATGCACATCTTGACGTCGACGTGTAAGCTAAAAAACGGAGTGGCATATTGCAACGGGACTGGGTTAACATCGAAATGAAGGAAATAGGAAGAATCATTCTGTTCTGCCGTGGTCAAACAACATGAACCTCATCAAGCATCTGCAAGTCAACTTGCTTTGGAAAAGTTCCGTACTTTTTTTAAATTTATTTTTTATTTATTTTTTGGTGCTTACGTACACGAATGCATTCATGCGTTTCACTCTCATGGACCCAAAATTAACCCCATCAACATAAACACACGTGTGCGTTCCGTTCGGCCCTCAAAATCGCCCCGGGAGCGATTTTGGCGTATGATACGCAACGCTTGGAAAGGTGCCTTTAGGTCCAGTGTGAAATGGGATTCTATAGGGCTACGGCTAGATCTATTATGTAGGCGTCTCGGCGTATTTCCAGTTCAGGGGGAAGACCTAGCCCAAGACAACAGTTTTGGATGCAGCCTAAGGCCGTTTTCTAATACTCAACTTCGGCTCCGTCTCTGGCTTCAATTGTTTTTTAACTAGCTGACGTTGAAGCTGTAAGTGCAGTAATTAGTTTCATAGTGTCACGAAACATTAAATAAGATGCAAGAGAGCCAGAAATTACAGTAATCAAATTTAATTTATACGCTTCAGGCCCGCAATCGGGGATTGGTTTTGGGAACGAAGCCTGAGATGGTATCCAAGTCGATATTGGAAAAGGGCCTAAATCTAGCTGTAAACTAATCACGTGCAAATTGGAGCAAGCCATCGGCCGATTCCGGGTAATATTACCAGAGGTCAGTTTTTGTCCGGCGTGCTCTCCCCCTGTCTCCAGGGTACACCTTGATGACGTCCATAAGTACCCGCTGTTCTCCGCAAAAAGGCATGGAGTTTGTAGTAGGGCACGATCAGATTCACTGACGACTCCTTTGAGGGCAAAACTACGTTCGCTTCAAGTTCGTGCAAAATTTCACTCACATGTGGAAATCAACAAATCACCGAACTTTTCAAGTATTATCAAAACTGGTATTTCTAGCCTGGAGGAAACGCAGGCGGGAAGTAGGGTCTTATTTGCGAGTTGCAAAACACTCATTGGTTAGAATTTTTCCAGTTTAACTCATTTTTACCGTCCAGACACCAGTGTCAAACTTTTGCTTTATCAGCTTTCCTGTTTTTTTTTTATTTGCGCCACGTCGCAATCTGCAGATCTGCACCTCGGTTTCGCTAGTCGAGAAACAACATGCAGATGAACCTGCGACCGTTTTAATGAGCCAGTTCGATATTCCAACGGTGCAGGCCCAAATGAAGCGCGTGCGTAATACGGGCGATTCACAAGAGTGCGCCTCCAAGAGTTTGCAACGCGTTGGCCAATCACAGTGCGGGAAATCTGTCGACCGAATACGCGTTTGGAAAGGGTCGACAGATTTCGCGCATGGTGATTGGCCAACGCGCTGCATGGTTTATTCTCAAATGACTTGTTCTAGTGCCTGATACGCATGTACATGACTGATTACCATACCACTTTTATACTGTGCAACCATCTCAAACCAATGCTCTTTACATCAGGGAAACGTCCAAAATTACACCATAACGTGTACATACTGTAGACAAATTATACTTGTAATCTCATTACATACCCGATTTCATGTCATTTCACAGATTGTTAAATATTTTTTATCACTTATAATTCCATGATCTCTATTTGTTCCATTCCTTATTACTTTCTGAAGTTTTTGTAGTTTATTTCCTTCCTTATAATTCTTGGATATTATGTACATTTATACAAACATGAACGCTTATTCCCAATTTCTGTTCAATTTAAACTTAGCTTAGTTTACTTGATATAATTCAGACTAGCGTAATGTACACGCTAACTCCCCGGTTTTAGGTATTAGGCAAGCTTAATACCTATATCCCCTGTAGGCCTACATTTCTTCTATCTTTCATACACATTCTTGTTAATTTTGTGATGTAATGTGAAAGGAAACCATACAATGCCATACCATACCATACCATACCATACCATACCATACCATACCATACCAACTGCACATCAGTAAGTGCAATAATATCTGTGGAAACGAAAGGTAGCACCGTTGCCGTTAATAGACGAATCCAATGCCATTTCACTGGGCACTCCTGATGGCTCCCTTGAATGGCGGTAAGAATGGTGTTGTTGTTTTGTACGGAGTTGCTGTCGCGGAGCATTGGTTCCGTGCAATAGCTGTGCGTACCGCCTTTGAAGGGTATCACTGCAAAATGCCAGTGATAACGTTACCGTAGTCACCAGAATTGTCTACATCAGATGTTGTCTTGTTTTAGATGGAAAACTGCTGGTTTTTCGGCTCGCTTCCGGTGATGCCGGCAGCAACAAGCCAGGAGGACAGTGCGGAATCCCTGCCTGTACGTGGCATTGGTGAGGCCGTACATCAAGGGGTTGATGCTTGATCTGAAGAGCAGCAACAGGAAAGAGTAAATTGACAACGTTTCGTCCTCAATAAGGAGCCTTTCAGAGCCGAGGGCTTTTTGTATGTACGAAGCCACCAACAGCACCATCCTCATTAGGTTGCAGCCGAAGAACAGGACCGTATTGATAACTAGCATCCTTGTGATCTGAATCCGCCACTTCCGGAGGTTCTCCAGCCATCGGGGACCCTGCTGCCGACTGGACTTGGCGCGACGAAGGAGACATCTTCGAATGGATCGGATGATGCGTACGTACGCCACTACGTTGAAGAGGAGAGTTGCGACGAAGGGGATGGGTTTGGCCAGGTCCAGATGCTGCGCAAGTAGGGACTGGTCGTGGTTTGAACCACTCGTAACGACGCTGATCGCAGAGTGGACTTGCTTCATCGGTGGTTGGAGTATACGGCATCCGTTGTCCGACACGATCCCCTCCATGTTTGCCAGAAGAGTGTACATGATGCTGACTGTCCACGCAGCAACAACCAGCTTCGTGTTCCGCGAATGGCTGGATGCAATTCGGTGCTTGAACGGTCGGCATACCGCAAGGTACTGGTCCCACGCCACCAGCGACACCAGATACATGCTCGAGTAATACGGGACGGTTGCTGCCAGATGATAAGAGCAGGCGATCCAATCACTCGGCCGGTAATTAGACATGTTGTTGAGGGTTGTTGCAATAATGCCAAAAACTAGAACTAAGATGTCGGAAACAGCCAAGTTTGCAAGGTACACGTTGGTAGAGTTGCGCAAGGGCTTGTGACAATGAACAACGGCGAGGAAGCCTATGTTCCCGAGGATACCAAGCACCTGGAAGGTCAAGTTGATCAACCTCAGACGACCGAAACTCCTGTCAGAAGACGCGAGCGTCTCGGACAGGTTTGTCACGCAGATGCTGTCATTCCAGTTTGAAGAATTGTCGTCTGGGAGAGTCGAATTAGCGAAACACGCCATTTTCAATGGAACCACGCCTTGCTGTTGTGTGTGGTTTGTGCGAGTTGGAACAAGAGTGTGTGCAGATACTTCGGAGGAAAGTGCCTTTTACCACAAAGTGCTGGTTGTGAAAGCTGCAGACAATTTTTTTTTTCAAAGTCATACACTGGATGTACTTTCACGAAAAGCCATTTGCTTTTCAACATAAGCCGGAAGAACTGTTGTTTATTCAAGTTGAAGTGAGTCGTGCCGCTATAACTGTGACATATTAAATCTTTCTCATGATAAATCACCCTCCAGGGAACCAGAAAATGTGAATTTAATTCACTCATCGGTCAATATACAAAGATAATTTCCATAAGGGATTTGTAAAATAAAGCTTACTCACACGGTGGCTTGCGAATGAACTCGTGCCAGCTGGTGGTCACACAACTCAGTGAAAGACCGCTTGCAATCGTACTGTAAGTACAGCGCCCCACCGGAGACTTTTAATCCGATCAAAATTGCTTTATTGTTGCATAAGAAAGATTTTCTGGCGAAAGAAATCGCCTTTCTCAAATCCCTGTTAAGTGGCAGGTATATACGCAAACAAGGGATCTGGGGATTTCTGAGATGTAAACAGGCATTCGGCGTTAGAGTGTATCTTTGTTTTTCAGACAAAAAACTCTTGGGGGAGGAGGATCAAGCCCCAGGGCGTGCCGCTGGGAATGACACCACGCCTCTTGCTGGTTCTTGATACTGGTTAGCTGAAACACAGTCACATGATTTCGCTCTTGCGCGGAATGAATGGATGGAATGTAATGGATGAATCCCAAGACCGTACGAGTGTAGACTTGACTCAAGTCTAGATCTCTGTGACGTCTTCGCTTGTGCTTCGAAGTTCGAGACCGCACGCCGTTACTTGCTTCGCGCCCTCTTGTGTCCAGTTAATATTATAAGTTCATTTCAGAAATCCCGACTTGGCGAATGGGGCTCGAATCTGCCAACCCTTTGTACGCAGTGGTTAAGTTCGGGCGGACTATTCTTGACGCGGGTTCCTTGTTCTCGCGCTCGAACAGCAGGAACACGGCCCAAGAACACTATTCTCGGAACAGGATCACACACCTCCTCGTCAGGGTTTAACAGGAACACACAGAAAAAGTCGTGGGATTTTGATTTTTGAACAGCTGCCAAAAAAAAAATAGCGAGATGGCTTACAAAGCTAGCCGGAGACAATCGGAAGTTTTGAAAAATCACTATTAATTAGTTCCCATAAAGTCAGACATGAATGTTTCTTTTTAAATAGAAAAGATTTCAGCCCAGTTTTCTAAACATTAACTCTCAAACAACGTACACGGACGCCGCCATATTCAATTGCATGCTGCTTGCCACTAGCACTAACTTTACCGACGATAACCGGTTGTATGGTTCCAGCGTTCGAGCGGCCGACAAAACAAGGAACTAATATCGAGTAGTTCGTGAACATACGAGACAAGGCGCTCGAACTCAAGCCAGTTAATCATGTTAATGGCTCATCTACCAAAAGTGGTAGCAGCCAATCACATTGCCGGACATGTTTTTACGTCGTGCGGATAATTGCCAAGTCTACAAACCTGACTATTTTGATTGGTGGGAATTCTGTATACTTGTCACAGCCAGAAATGTCGTTCATATGATTAGTGCCAGGTGTGCGCAACACGTAAAGAACTTTATTGTTTTATTAACAGTGGGTTCTATGTGTTTTAATTTTGTATTCTTTTAATGTTAATTAATGCTTTAATTTTTTTCTGTACATGTTTATATGTATTTTTTTCTATACTGTCTGTATCCCATCGCTATTTTTGTAATCTGTCCCTTTTTTGGTTTAGTCCTTTTACGTTATTTATTTTAAATCTAACATAGTGAATTTCCTCATTGGGTGGGGGTGTGGGAGAGTCCTGTTTCTGTATGGATTTTGGATTATTTTCTAGGGTTGAGTGTTTATAATGTTGTAATTTTTCTTGTTTCCTATTCGTCAGAGTGTCTAGTGCATGTTTTTGATTATTATCCTGTACTCTATTTNCATAATTGTTTGTCTCTGTGTGTTTAAAGCTTTAATCTTTCTGTTTTGTTGCTTTGTAAATGCGCCTGGAGAGCTACCAGATAGTTATTAGGTTAACTTATTAGCAATCCGGCAGGAGCGCTTTTTGTCATTTTATTGTATTGACCTGCGAAATAATAAATGAAATGAAATAAAATATGCAATTATGAATAACTACATATCACCAATGGGGGTCCAATTGGCTTATCCGACAAGAGGGACTTAAGACCATGTTGTACAGTAAAGGTTATCCAAATGAGGGCGCCTTATGCGACCTGCCTGGCCGAGCGCGACGACCTTCGCTGTAGTGCGTACAGGCTGAAGGGATGACTGACTGGGGTAGACTTGATTCAACCATGATTCAAGTCTAGTGCGAGTGATCCGGCTTGCCACGCGCGCCTTGACGAAAGGCTAGGAAGTTGCGTGATTTGAGGGTGAAATGCTGGCCATGCCGCTCGGCAAGACATCGCCCGTACGTTTTTTTTCTGGAGTACGCTAGACATAGAGATCGTAGTGTAGTAAAGCTGAAGGTGGCAGGTTCAAAGGCCTACTTAATTATAGCAGCAAAGGTAACTGTGCCCTCACATGATGATAACGTGATAACGCTAACTCAAAAACTAAATCTTGGGATTTGAAAAAGTAAAACTGTCCCTTTACCGTTTCTTTTCTTGATAAGGAGCAGTCTTTTCCTGGGGAGTCGGGTTGGCAAGGTAGTTCTTTCTTTCTCTGTGGTCCCGGGTTCAATTCCTGGCCCGGTCCACATGTGGATTGGGTTTCAGTCCCTACCTGACTCCGTGGGTTTCTCCCAGAATATTGTTCTGGGGTTTTCCTCCCACCTCTAAAACTGTAATTGCTTCTTAAAGTCTCTTCTTTTCTGATGTTGGTGAATGTGGGCCGGTTTTGCGGCTGCCCAAGGCGCCCTTGTATGCCATCGGCTCAACCATGTTTAAATGTATTCATTGTTCCACGCTTAATGTCTTCATTGTACAGCGCATTTGAACATATCTATATGAAATTGTGCTTTATGAATGAATAAATTATTATTATTTTTAATTATATTAAAACATATTTTGGACTGGCATAATTCGGTTTAACTCGTGCACGTCCATATCCCTCATCATGTGAGGGCGCTGTGACTCTGTCATTGTGACGAGCGGCTAATATCTCACAGGTCCCGTTGTGAATTTGTTAGTGCTTTAACAACCAATATGTCTTGGTTTGTCCTGCAAAATTCTCTGCTTATTTGCCAGAATGTGTGACTCCTTTTTGTTTGAAAAAGGGTAATCAACATCTTCGCTGAAAAGAGGAATCAATTCACGGGCGGGCCTTTTCTCGCCTCGTCCTTATCCTTTACCATATAAAAAGTCCCTTTTTTCTCAAGGGACCCCCTGCCCAAGTAACTATCTATTATGGTTTCTGTCTTTACCTTGGAGTTAGATTTTATCAATTTAACAGTTTTTCATATTCAACTCTATGGTCTTTTCAGAAAACGTTTATCCGTGTTGAGAGAGAGATTTAGTCCATCAAAATAACCGTTCTCAAAAAAAAAAAAAATTGTCATTACAATCAAAAGAGAGGGCGCTACTTTCCCATCCCACGTATTGATATAATGCCCAGTATGCTTCACGAATGCTCGTACATGTACACNTATAATTGTTTGTCTCTGTGTGTTTAAATCTTTTTTCTTTCTGTTTTGTTGCTTTGTAAATGTGCCTGGAGGGCTACCAGATAGTTATTAGGGTAACTTATTAGCAATCCGGCAGGGGCGCTCTTTGTCATTTTATTGTATTGACCTGCGAAATAATAAATGAAATGAAATAAAATATGCAATTATGAATAACTACATATCACCAATGGGAGTCCAATTGGCTTATCCGACAAGAGGGACTTCAGACCATGTTGTACAGTAAAGGTTATCCAAATGAGGGCGCCTTATGCGACCTGCCTGGCCGAGCGCGACGACCTTCGCTGTAGTGCGTACAGGCTGAAGGGATGACTGGCTGGGGTAGAGCAACATAAGTCCGACTTGATTCAACCATGATTCAAGTCTAGTGCGAATGATCCGGCTTGCCACGCGCGCCTTGACGAAAGGCTAGGAAGTTGCGTGATTTGAGGGTGAAATGCTGGTCATGCCGCTCGGCAAGACATCGCCCGTACGTTTTTTTTCTAGAGTACGCTAGACATAGAGATCGTAGTGTAGTAAAGCTGAAGGTTCAAAGGCCTACTTAATTATAGCATCAAAGGTAACTGTGCCCTCACATGATGATAACGTGATAACACTAACTCAAAAACTAAATCTTGGAATTTGAAAAAGTAAAACTGTCCCTATACCGTTCCGTTTCTTGATAAGGAGGAGTCTTTTCTTGGGGGGTCGAATTGGCAAGGTAGTTCTTTCTTCGCCTTCCACCTCTGTGGTCCCGGGTTCAATTCCCAGCCTGGTCCATATGTGGATTGGGTTTCAGTCCCTACCTGACTCCGTGGGTTTCTCCCAGAATATTGTTCTGGGGTTTTCCTCCCACCTCTAAAACTGTAATTGCTTCTTAAAGTCTCTTCTTTTCTGATGTTGGTGAATGTGGGTCGTTTGGCGGCTGCCCAAGGCGCCCTTGTATGCCATCGGCTCAGCCATGTTTAAATGTATTCATTGCTCCACGCTTAATGTCTTCATTTTACAGCGCATTTGAACATCTATATGAAATTTGTGCTTTATAAATGAATAAATTATTATTATTTTTAATTATATTAAAACATATTTTGGACTGGCATAATTCGGTTTAACTCGTGCATGTCCATATCCATCATCATGTGAGGGCGCTGTGACTCTGTGATTGTGACGAGCGGCTAATATCTCACAGGTCCCGTTGTGAATTTGTTAGTGCTTTAACAACCAATATGTCTTGGTTTGTCCTGCAAAATTCTCTGCTCATTTGCCAGAATATGTGACTCCTTTCTGTTTGAAAAAGGGTAATCAACATCTTCGCTGAAAAGAGGAATCAATTCACGGGCGGGCCTTTTCTCGCCTCGTCCTTATTCTTTACCATATAAAAAGTCCCTTTTTTCTCAAGGGACCCCCTGCCCAAGTAACTATCTATTATGGTTTCTGTCTTTACCTTGGAGTTAGATTTTATCAGTTGAACAGTTTTTCATATTCAACTCTATGGTCTTTTCAGAAAACGTTTATCCGTGTTGAGAGAGAGATTTAGTCCATCAAAATAACCGTTCTCAAAAAAAAAATTAATTGTCATTACAATCAGAAGAGAGGGCGCTACTTTCCCACCCCACGTATTGATATAATGCCCAGTATGCTTCACGAATGCTCGTACATGTACACTGCAGATCTACAGTACATGTACATGTATGTGTCACATGCGCATATACGCACAGTCAGACTTACTAACTTACAGTGCAGAGTGGTGACGCGTAAATGACCCGGCTACGTTGTGAATTTCTTNAACTGTGTCTGTTGTGTTTTCTCGTGGTACTGCGTACATATGTTGTAGTTTTCTCACAGGGTAGATGAACAGCAATAACCAGCCACCGTGGCGTCGAAAATGAGCTTTCTGTTGTGAGTATCTGTGGGCTTAGTCCGTGTTCATATTCTTTTGTGAATCGAATGTGTGTGCATGACTGTGTGATGACGGGTAGCCCTGCGACCGGGTCCGTCGTAGCTTTCCTACCGTTGTCACTTACACCCTTCCTCCATGCTTACACAACAGCCGATCCGTATGCCTAGTTGTACACACAGAAAACCCATATTCTAGGCCTAAGTAATAATTGTTGGTGTGTTATTTCGCCACTGTCTGCGCTGACTTGGACACCTGTGTATTTGACAAAACCCCATACAGTCCTGAAGCTTAACAACATTGACATGCTAAGGACACCTCTACTTTTTTCTTCTGTGGAAGGGAGATTTGAATTTCCAGGTTACACTTCCACTCATTTTTGTGTGGGCCAAAGTTACAGAGTATAGTTAACTATGACCAGATGACTAGAGGATGTAGATTAGCATTACTTCTTCAAGATGACATCTGAATCTACTACGAGAGGGCGTTCAAAGAAGATATGGACGGGCATTTTGTGTTCATTCGAGGGCTTTCACAACGCGAGGTCACAGCGAGGCAAAAACAGCTCTGACTTGTAATTAACACGTAGGAGGTCCTACCTTGTTTTTACTGCGACAGGTTGTGAAGTTCGCTGATGTCACGAAGCGTTGCATCCCTCTGTATAGGCAGGGACTGTGCAAATCATTAAGCTGAGTGTTGAGTCAGCTTTTCTTTAGCCGACAGGTGATCAACACATGATACGTGGAAGAGCTGTAAAATAAAATGCCAAATCTATGAGTGCCTTCAAACTGGACTCCATGAATTTAATATAGATATGGGTGTACAAAGGCTTATGCCTGTCACTTTTACTCATCAGCCGTCAAGTAATCGGTAGTGTCTAGTTGGAGTAAGCAGTCCCAGCTTGGAATTTGGAAACCCATCTCTTGGCCTAACGCAGGCCTACATGTACATGTTTATGTTCATGCTTCGCGACTTCTCAGTGGCCATGCCATGAGCCGCAGAGCTGGGTTTCCAAGTAAACTGAAAAAATGTAAGTAATATATTTAAAAAGCCAAGGTATACCAGTCCCAACATTGAAGAAAAGCAAGTCAAATGCCATAAATAGTGACTCTTGTCTTTAATAATGTAGTGTTTTTACTGTATTTCTCGCTGTAAAATGCAAACTTTGTCTTTGCAACACTTGAGGGCTCTGCCTTAGTGTTTTGTGTTACAACATGTGGCTGTGTACAGCAGCTGAAGCCATAAGCAGCTAATTGTTTGCGTTCATGGATTCGTCACACACTGTGTGCTCCTCCCCAGTAGTGAAAAATACTTCAGCATCAGGCTAGACATGTAAAATAAAGGCATATGATCGGTGCGATTGTTTGATCTTTGCATGATTGGTCCGTCTTATTGCATGACTTGTCCGCAGTTCCACCCATCAGGTAGTCACCTGTCCTTTCTGTTTCACGGCTGTTGAAGATTGTTCTCAAAAAAGGTTGGTTGAGTTGGAGATTTCATGCAGGATCGACCAATCACACAGACTCAGAGCGATCGAGGTGTTGTGCAGATCAGCCGATTATCCCGATATTGGACAAAGTTGAGCCATCATTTCAGGTTTCAGTGCATTATTTCTTGTATGTGCTCTGTATAATCTGATTCATACACAGTAGGTACCCAAATGCATAACAATTTTTTTGTTTTCGTGTCAATAAACATTTATATCCCAAATAGTCCACATAGCATTATGTTGAACTGTTTCGGGTTACACACAGTAGCATTTACGGTATCTCTGAGTTTTGGCTCCTCAACAGTAAACCCAGGCCACTAAAAGTCCCCCTTTCAGGATATGTTTTCAGTAGTTTAATATGTTGTGACTATCAATTCTGCGTTAAAAACCAGAAACTTTGGAATACTTACAGTGTTAAAGCACACACCACTTAAAATAGCAGAATGCAGTTTGATTGAAACACCGAATCTGCCAACAACAGTGTTTTTTATTCACCTTGACAAATCCCTCTCTACACCATATAAGCTCCACTCCCAGTTAGAATCCTGCAGTCTCCTGAAGACGGACAGAGTACACTGTTCGAAACGTCGAGTTATTCCCCGGTTCTTCTCAGAACCACACACACTCAAAGAAGAGATAAATACATGGTGTTACCGCAATCTTTACTATAGATAAAGATCACCTTGACAAACTGACAAAAGTTTGTTTTGTTATTTTCCTCATGACGAAAAACAAAGACACTGATTACGATAAATAATAGATTGTATTTGTGGCACCGGTATGACTCATGCTTATTACATGTACAGTACGTGCACCTATGGTGTAAAAAAAATTCTCTATCGGGTGTAGTCAGAGATACAGGGTGAATCTATTTATATCCACCAAAACTGGATGTCAGCATGGGGGTATTAAATGAGTGGGCTACATGTAGATTTTTATTACCCAGGTAATAAATGGTGGCTTTGTACTCTAGGTAATAAAAGAGACTGTTTGGTACAATGAATGTATAAAGGCTGCTCTGTGATGTCTCGTCAACAAGGATTCCTGAATTGAAAAATGAAGAGCTAAGTTGGAAAGCTGGGGTTGGCTATCAGTTTGGGAGAATTTTCACACCCTTCCCTGTCGCCCCACCCACTTTCACTCCCCAGAGTAATGCATTTTGGTGTGGAGTTTCACATAATCCTTTTGAAAGTGCTGTGAGGTCTCACCGAAGGTAACGAGAGAAGAACGCAACAAGTAAGAAATGAGATGATACATGTTGGTTTTTTTTGAAGTATCTCTGCATATCAGTGGTTCTTATTCTCTTAGAAGCCTCTTTTAAATGCTTTTCATTGGGTTTCACATACCTTGCTTAATCCCACAAATTCCTTCAACCCAGCGGGCAGGTTGCAGAATATAACAAAAACAGGTCCTTTGTTCTGACCACTCAGAATGCTGAAAATAGCAGCCTGGCTGAAATTTACACACTGGTGAATATTTCAGTGGGTTGGTTTCACTTCGATACGGACCTACGGTGCGACTTCTATCTGCTCTGTATTACAGATGTGTTTTGATATTCATGACTTGGTTAATTTGGGCGTGATGAATAGTTTCCTGCTGGTACAGTATTCTTGGGACCCACACCAGACAGCGGATGCCTGGGTGTTTGTTTTTAGTCAAACATTAATGGTCCCAAGGGAGTGGTCGCGGCTCATCTGCATCCTCACAGTCTCTATCATAAATGTTTGATTTCTCAGATTAGCATAATTGCATTCCATAGATCATACACGGACTGTACACTGCACAATATGTCATTAAAATTCATGTGCTTTTGACCCCGTGACCCCATCATTTTGAAGGAACGGGATGTGTACTTGTCATTTTCCTGACAAAAATAGTTGCCAAATGTCAGGTTTCCTCAGTTGGGGATTTACAGGTTCACAGTGTGAATGCGCGGGGGGTCAGCCCACTTCACTATTGAACATGTACACGTACACCTGTACAGTACGTGTATATTTTGCCGGTGTACATAATATGTGTTGTACATATTCAGCTGGTTTCAATTTCGTAGAAGTGTATCAATCTGTGTGTCTTGTAGGAAGTGTGGCATGCACCACTGGTATTTGCATTTTGTGGCTGTGGTCATAGGTTAGTTTGCTAATTGACCATCATGCATCCCGATTGTTTTGGCTTCAAAAAAAAGTGAAGAATGAAAGAAGGAAACAGTTTACCTACCTATGCCTGTTTGTTGGTGTAATAGGAAATTAATACGATTATTTCTTTGTTTGGCCTAACATGGGTTTGGCCTGCAGTGAATTGGGAAGAACATGTACACCATATTTCTAAAAGATGCACAAATTCGAATAGAGTGCACGTAAGTCTAAAGTACTTGGCTGTGGCTAGATACATATACATGTATTACACACGAGTCTATGGTAGTGGCCGTAGCCAGTTCCTATTGAGTCGTGTGTAACTTCAAGCCTCAACCAAGTTTCAGAATAAAACTGTTGTGGGTACTAGTTTCTGAGGGTTGGTCATGAAAAGTACTTAAATGTACTAAGCAATCAAACTAGTTAACTACAACCCTTGAAATTACTCAGTTGTGCCAATTTGCATCTTATTCAATTTTTGTGTCGCTATTTTGATCTATATTTTTGAGCCTTTTAATTTTTTATGCAAATGTAAATCTGTATATTCATGAGCAAAACTATGATGTCATCTTGGACTTTAAAAAACAACAATAACCACCTGCCAGAATTTTCTATGTTTTAGTGTAAAAAAATTTTATGTCTTTGGCAGCTTATTGTATTTTTGTAAGTACATGTATGTGGCATTGAGGCAGTGAGCTACCTATTTTCAGAAAGGTTTTCAACTTCAGAACAAATTTGGGTTTAAGAAATTTGAACATGAAAATGTTAACAGTGTCTTTACCAATTTACATCACACTGCAACAGCACCCTCACTTACCTGGAAAAGCTTGGACAATTCAGTGAACTTTTTTCAATTAAAGTCCTAAAGGACTTCAAACAGTTTTCATACATCAAGCAAAAGTATAATGACGTGCATGTGGATGTGTGAAAATGAGTGTAGGAAAATGAATTGCAGGTATCCTTGAAGGTGTTTTATTCAGGATTGAATTGAAGCTTCCTTGCTTCATCAGATTCACGTGGATTGAAGCTGTGTGTTGAGAAGAGTTTGAGTGAGCAGAGCTTTAATTGAATTCATAAGGAATGCCATGTCAGGTCTTTTTGACATTTCCTTGTTTACAAATTCCAGAAAAGAGAGTTGAGATTTTATATCTGGAGGAAATGCACATAACACACTTAAAGAGCACTTCTAAGGAAAACATGTTTTCTCTGATTTTATCTGTTCAAATAAATATATGGCAGCAATGCATGTAGCCATTGTTTGGAATACACAAGGGTTTATCCACTGCGAATACTGGGCAAGGGTTTCTCTCATTTTCTCTTAATGACACAATCTACATTCAGAATTCGCATCTTGGCATGAACAGAAAAAAGCCCTTTGAAACTTGTTATAGTTGAGCTCTAAAGACCAATGACACTACATTCGATTTGGATGCTTCCATATTTATATGAGCAGATAAAATCAGAGAAAACATGCTTTCCTTAGAGACAAAAATTCTCCAAATGTGTTTCACAAACTGGCAACTGTACATGTGTGATTCTGTTCAGTTTTATAGCTGCTTGTGTTTGGATTAATTTTACGTCAACGTTAGAAAAAAAATGCATCACTCAGCATTTTTCTTTGCCTGTGTTTGTTGAGCTGTCAGAATTGGATTCATTTAATCAAAAGTAATAGGTTCATGTACAAGGTTGTAATTAGTTGGTCATTCCAAAAAAAAGAAGAAAAAAAGGCATTGGTCCATAGCAAAAGAAGCGGCTTGGCAGAAGTTTCCTTTAAATTATTCATCAAATGGAAGTGTCGGCTTTGGTTATCAGAATGAAAAACACCCTCTGTGTGGGACAAGAATGCCAAAACACCAGCCCAAGGCAATGTAATAAAAGATCAGGGTCACTGGTCAACATCAGGTCACCTTATCTGGCCTTAACTTCAGATAATTATTTTGACCAATTGTAAAGTTCCTGGACAGAATAGTACATGTGTACACATACAGGCTCTTAATACAAGAGTAAGGCATTGTGTGTACTGTACTTGCACTTGTAGATTGGAAGTAAATACAGTTGGAGTTGAGATATTGTTTGCAAGGCAAAACAAAATCTTTTGGAAGCCTAGTAGTGTAGAGAAAGATTGTTCATTTACGTACGTGTCCTAGTACAGTTTTAGGCATACAAATTTGTTGGAATCCTGTGGTAACTATTGTACTCGGAGAGATACCCAAAACTGTGTAGTTAGGAAAACGCACGTGTACTCGCACAGGGTAAAAGACTTTCCCTGTGGATTGAAGTTTCTACCTGTGTAGTGGATCCCAAGATAAACCCAATTTCCCCTCCTTGGACTTTGACCAGGGATTGCTGATTTAAACAGATAGTAGGGCCAGCTTGTCTCCAATTTTATTGAAATAACAAAATCCGATTGAAATAAAAAATCTGATTGAAATGAATAAATCCGAATTTTTTTTAACTTAAATTTAAAAAATTGAAAAATCAACAACCCTGGTTTTGACTTGCAGAATTTTCTAGTACTTTTTGATTGTTTGCGGATGACCAACACTTTGTTCTGAGCCATTTTATTTAGTGTCGGATGTGGAATGAAGCAAGGCTGTCAAGCCATGGAAGTTTGACAAACAGTTGGCAAGGAACATGCCTGTCCGGATGTGAAACATGATATAAATAAAAATCACCTTGATGGAAAATAAACTCATAGGAAGTTTTAATGTTAAACCTTTATAAGACAAAAGTAACTATGCAAACAGACACAATTTGGTTTTACAGAAATACAAATTTTGCGAAACATGATTAATGTTTCCTGGTTTCTCCATCACCCGTGAAGGGTTTTGTTGTTAAATATTTCAATGTATATGTAAACAAAGCTTTCAACAGATAAATTTGTGTTCAAGAAAGATATAATCTTTCATATTTACAGTGTTGTCTTTTGGTACTGAATGCTATCACTGTTTTGCACTAAGATTAAAAAAGCCCCAAACCGCAAAAGACGTCACTCGGCATAAGCACAAACAAGTCAGAAGTGCTAGGTTCACATCCTGATCTGACATGTAGATCTGATTGTTTTGTATAGGACTGAAGTACCGAACCTGATACATGTTCATGTACTAAAGTTTGATAGAACACAAGTGATACCCACGTTGACCCTTCACCCCTGATTAAATTCTGTGTGTTAATAAATCACATGGTACATGTACAGTGCGTATGTGCCTTCAAAACAACTTGCATGTACATGTACGTACACATGCATCAGCAACATGGAATCTGGGCTGCGCTTGAGTCTGATAAGGACATGGAAAAGTAAAGATATTTCTGTGAACCACCTGGAGGTTCTGTGTTGCCGTGAGGTATTTTTAGCACTGATTGTAAAGCCTTTTATGGGGCCCATGCCTTGCGGGCAGTGACTTTCATTCTTATCGCCGGCTGAAGCAGTTTTTACACAATGTGGCTTTATGCATGAGGCATGCATTTATAATGACTTCTTGTGAATGGTACAGAAAGCATGAGTCTACAGTTGGCTCATGTACTGTGTAGGGTACATGCTAGGGGAGATCCAGAACCAGACAGGGGGGGCCAAACTTGGGGTGTTTTTTTTGGGGGGGGGGGAAGGGGACAAAAAGTGTGAATTTTTTGTCTTCATGTAATCTTTTCTGGCCGGTCTTAGGGATAAGGCTACATTTCGAAGCTTTTCAACTGTTTTTTGAAGGAAGGGAAATGAAAAAAAGACAAAAATTGCCCTTTCATTATTTTTCAAAATATTTTTTTTTGGGGGGAGGGACATTGCTTTGTTAACCCCCCCCCCAATCCACACTTGGCTTCATGTACATACTTGTATGTGACCAAGCTTCTATGACTTTCAAAATGATTGGCAAAATGCCAAATAAAAACCACCATCAAAATCTAACCCTGTGTCAAGTGTTTTTGGCTACTCACAAAATCAAGATTACTAGAGTGTAAAGATCGTTTCAAGGATTGTGCTTAAAGTCTTTTCCTTGAGCCCTTTAAGCTACATGTACAAGAAAAGAAATTTGCGCTAACATTTGTCTTCGTTTAAGTGTTGATTGGATTGGATTTATTGACAGTTTTGCAACTTATTTCCAACGGGGTCCCTATTGAGTTAGGAAGAAGGTACAGTTTTAGAGGCGGGAGGAAACCGGAGTACCCCGAGAAAACCTGCGCATGGACTGGAAACCATATGCAGTTAAAGCCTGGGCCAAGCCGGGACTTAAACCTGGGCCTCACTGTTGCAAAGCGAGGAAAGAAACGCTTCGCTAACCCGCTCCCCTAAGTGATAATATCACTTGATATAGTGCAAGTTGCTCAAAGAAAAAAATAGGAATGAAAAAAAGGAAAGGGATGGTTGCCATCAGGTGTTTCAAATGGAACTTGAATACATCTGATTAAACGGAAGGGATATTGTCTTTTTGTCAACATAGTATACACTGCAGGACTTTCACCTCTCTCTGGAGGCTCACCAAGTGAATCCAGTCACCCATATTTTCCTCTTTCATAGTTAGGCCAACTTTTATTTATGAACCAAAGAAGGCTTTGTTTCTGGGCAAGTCCACCGTTTCTTTCACACCATGTCCCATATGTAATAGGCATTTTATTTTGGGAAGAAATTTGTGGATTTCAGTGTTTCTTTTTTACTGCCCGGAATCAGGATGCAGACTATCACCAATAATTTGTGCAGTATTGTTGCTGGTTTATTTTGGAACAAAAGTCCATCACAAGTCATTTGGTCTTGAGCCAAGTCACAAGAAATTCAAATGAGCTGTGGCAAAAGCGTTCTTTTGTCATTTCTTACCCTGTTACTTGTGACTGGCCTTTTGAAAGGACTTACTGTGTGATAGACTTAAATGTATAATCTGGGAAGTGGTTGAACTGCACTGTACATGCTTATTCCTCCAGGAAAATGATGATTAAAAAAGGAATCATGTAAATAAATAAACGCGATTCTTGCCGTGTTTGTAATATTTTCTTCATTTTAACAGCGGCGGAAGGTCGACAAAGACCTTCAAGCCAAAGAAGAACATTCCAGAGGGGACGCACCAGTATGAGTTGATGAAGCACGCTGAGGCTACCTTGGGCAGTGGCAACCTGAGGCTGGCCGTGGTCTTGCCGGACGGGGAGGATCAGAACGAGTGGGTGGCTGTCAACAGTAAGTGCAGAAAGATCGCATCCGGTGCACACGGCTTACCGACGAGGGTGCTGTACCGAGCGAGCTCTGTTGCCGCGCTGACGGCGAGTCCCTTTTTTTTGTGGAACCAGGAGGCCATGTGGGAAGCCGCTCTGCACAGGGACAAGAAGTCGCATGCTTTGACTTGAGCAGCGATGGTCCTGTGGTGGGAACTCACCGCAAGTGTGTGTGGGTTTACATGAGTTGTGGCTCAGCATGCATTCAGCACAGGCAGTTGAATTGTGTTGATTACACGGTCTCTGCGTGGATGGAACTCACCAGTTTGCTTAGAAAAAAAAAAAACCTCAAAATTGACCCCCCCTTCCACTGAGAAGAATTTTGGTTCACATTCATTACTAGGTACTGCAAAAAAACATGGAAACGTTTTTCCACTTGAGTGTAAAGGTGTTGAAAAAATTTTTTCACTCGTTTAAAATGGTGTCAAAATGTTTTCCTACTGTTGGAAATTGTCACATTTTGTGGAATACACATAAATTCCCTTGGAGCTGAAAAAGTACGGAAAGCATTTCCGATGTACTGCAGTTACATGTAGTGCCACTTCTGCAGTTAACAGTCTCTTCTGGCTGTTTCTTTTGTCTTTTTGTTTCATGTCAGCTGTGGACTTTTTCAATCAAATCAACATGCTGTACGGCACCATCACAGAGTTCTGCACGTCTGAATCATGCCCCGTCATGTCGGCAGGCCCAAAGTGAGTCAGGTGACGGGACTTTTGGAGTCTCACCATAGCAACAGCATTTTGGGAAAGGTCACACATGTATATCACGCACCTTTTAATCCTTTTTTGATGTGAGAATGTGGAGATCAGTTACATGCCACTGACACAGTCCTTCTACGGCCATTTGGCAAGAAATTACTTGCTTATCATTTGTGTATCTTATGGGTTGGCTTGGAGATTCACCCAAATGGTTTTGACTGAATCAAGGGGTCTTGACTTGTCATATTCGGGTCATTCCACGAGGTTGGGGCACAATTTTTGACGGTGTCAATTGTTACATGGGTTCCGTAAAAATGAACCGCTATTTCCCTGCATGTGGATTCCACATTGGCATTGTTATACATCTTGCAAGGCTGAATACAGAGGTGTGTGTTATTTTCACTGAGTAAATGACGTACTCTACAGGTCATGACAGGTGGTAAAAATTGGGATGTAACAAGCACACCGTCACAAATTGTGCCCCAACCTCATGGAATGACCCATTTATGTGGTCAATCTCTTTTTTTTTTTCCACCCAGAACTGTTAATTGTGCTTGTGTCGTGTCAGTAGTTAGGTCATCTTCTCATCTCTCAAAGTGTGATAGGAATATCTTTGTACCGTGTGGGAAAAAAAATGAAGGTATTGGTCCGTGTTTTTCATGCGACGTGGTAGAACCAGCTCATTAAGCCATCCGATTGGTTTGCCATAGCCATGTTTCCGAGTGAGTTCATACTTGTTCAATTTACACAGTGGCAGTAGTCATGTTGAGTGCAAAATCTCAGAAAATTCACAGCGCGGTGGGGAGCCCCCTCTTGACACAAGGCTGTGCAACGTTTTATGTCCTACCCAGACAGAGAACCTTTTCAGCATCATTTAATTTGATGTCATTATTTGTAGGTATGAATATCACTGGGCGGACGGGCAGACGGTCAAGAAGCCTATAAAATGCTCAGCGCCCAAGTACATTGACTATCTCATGACGTGGGTACAAGACCAGCTGGATGATGAGATGATATTCCCCTCAAAGATTGGTGAGACAGATTCCATACAATCTAGTCAGACAGGTCTTAGTCTAGTGGTCAGTTTCTCGAACATTGGGGGAAACCGTGCACCTTACTTCAACTTTTGCGCGGCAAATTTTTGGCGTAGATTTTTTAAATAAGACCAGGACTACAGCTTATACGTTGGTCATTTCTTTATGATTTTCAAATGCTCAAACAGTCACTGAAAAGGCTCTGATCCCACCTTATTCAAGTTTTTTTTCTCTGCTGGAACTGGGTGGTAGTTCTCAATGGTTTCTCATCAATAAAAAGAATTTCCATACCCTTAAGGAAGCTGTGAATATCTTTTTTAAAGGTATCAATAAACTAGCCCTAGTAGTTTCAAATCCTCCAATTTGGATATGATTTTTACATACACTCTAGGGGGTTAGGGTTAAGGCAATGGCAAGCTTCAGTACAATGGATCGGTCACAATTTGTCAGTAAAAGATGTCTGTTTCTGACTGACCCAATTTCAGCCAATTCTTCTCTCCAATTGAAAAAAAAATCAAACAGGTGTGAGTTTCCCCAAGAATTTCTCCACCATCGCCAAAACGATACTGAAGCGGCTGTTTCGGGTGTATGCCCATGTCTACCATGAACACTTCTCGGAGATCGTCAAGCTGGGGGAAGAGGCTCACCTCAACACCTCCTTCAAGCACTTCATCTACTTTGTCCAGGAATTCAACCTGATCGAGTCCAAAGAGTTGGCGCCCCTCCAGGACCTCATCTCGTTATTCAACGGCAAACCTTAACCCACAATTATTTTTTTTTTTATCAAATGTACTTTTAAAAAAAAATGGTACAAAAGACTTATTTTCTTGGATATGGACAGATAAAAATAAACATACTGGTTCCCTGCCATAATACTCTTGTGACATGTAATGTTAGGACAGGTAACCAACTCTGGCAAAAATGAAGTAGTGCATAGTGTCGAGATGCCTGTCTGTTTTTAGACAGTCTGTCTTTTTTTTTATGTCGGGCAAATGCTATGAGAAGAAGTGGTAATCATTATGCAAAAAACATTAAGACAAATTGGAGAAATCAGTAAGAATTGCAAGGCATGTGGGTAAATCAGATTAGGAGGATGATTTACATGTGCCAGTTATTTTCAAAAATTAACCAGAGTATCCCAAAGTTAGCAGAAATGCTTTCTGAAGATTCTGGACAAACGTGGCCGTGTCTGGAAAACGGGAGGAGTGTGCAGCTTCGGGCCGCGTTATTTCCAGATTGGATACTAAAAGATTAACCAAACACTGCTCTTTCCACTGAAGGTGTGATTTCCACAAGAAATTGTAAGCGCACAAGTTGGGTCCAGATGCAGGATTGCCTCCCACGAATATTGCCTTTTGTGTTCAAGAAGCTTTTTCACCACAAGTTGGTCCGCATGTTAAAAGAAAAGCATTGATCTTGTGTCACATTTTAGAGGTAAGAGGTTACTTTTGAGCAGGTGCTGAAAGTCCAGAGTGAATCAAATGCTTCAGTGAAATTCTCTGCAGACTAGCGACAGCTTGGCATCATTACTCGCGCTCTGCCTCGCACTCATCAAATGAGTTCCTGACATTGAGTTCTCAGTACGTAAATTGGTCCTAACTTCTCTGTAACTGTGTATATTTATTTCAATCTGTTGAAAGACTAAGTCATTGCCGTGCTTAGTCTACAAGCAATGTGTACTTTACAAATAATTGATTTTTATAAGTGCAGTGGTAGGAATTATTTCATATGTCGACAGATGAATATTTTCGTCTTGTTGTTGAATGAAATTATTCTTGCCATTGCACAGATGTGGCACGTTCATTATTGGTTTTTACACAATGCCAGAACAGATAAAGAAAAGAATATCGCTGCCGTAATAGATCCTCGCATCACCTTAATGTTCAGAAGTTGTTATGACCATGGATCCAGGGTCACCATGTCCTGTTTTTGTGATGCAGCTGTGCTGTGCATTTGAACAAATAATTCAGTGACATGAGACTGGCGCTCTACCAATCAGATGATAGGGATTTATTCAGGCATTGTGTAAAAAAGCGTCAGGGCACTTGAAGAACTTGAACCACATGTACACTCAGAGGTTTGTGAACGCTTCAAGTGTAGACATGTTTGAAAGTTGTGTTCAAAGCTGTAAACATATTTTTTGTTTCATTTTGTGTAAACATTTCTAGTGGTTGTCTGGCTTGTCTTATTTAAATGCTAATGTTTGTAGGGCTGCTGTTGTCTGCTCGCCGCGTCTATAGTTTGTTTTTGGCACTCCCTGTCTCAGCAACCAACTATTTTTTACGTCAGTTCCGGCGTGAAAACCGAAGTGTTTTCAAGTGAAAATGCAATCATCAAGTGCCTTGAGAGGAAGAAAAATCAAACTGTCGCGCCAAATTGTCGCTAGAACCCAGAAATGTGTGTGTGTGTGTGTGTGATAAATTGCTAGAGGAAATTTGATCTTGGTAAACTTAGCTTGTCCATTTTTGTAAAATCTCCCTTTTTTGCGGCGTTGTACAGCAGTCCTTTTTAATGGCCACGACCATTTTGTTTTCCCTAGACATGTGCTTTTTATATTTCGAAAAAGTCCGGTGTTACAAAAATTTTTGCTTGCTTATAATGCTACTGCCAAAACTTTTCCAATTTCTTTGCAAACTCAGACTGACTTTTTCTCCTGAATGCCTCGTTTTAACTGTCTGTAGGTTGTTAAAAGCTCGTTGATTAGTAAGTGGAGACTAAAGTAGAGGGATGGATGTTAACAATCACTGTAAAAATATTAAATTATTTATTGAAGTATTTTCACAACTATTGGGTGGCAATCAAAACAGGAATCCTTGTCCACACTATCATGTACATAGCAAAAAGTTGAACTTGGTTTGTTGATAAGGACCTAGTGGCAGTGATATCCAGTACAGCGCACCGCCCAATGTTTGTTCCAAAGAAGTTACTTGTTAGCTTCTTGGTCAGCTACCCAGTGTTGGAGTTGAGACCATCATAAGACCAGTCACAAGGAACATGGTGCACGGTGAGAAAGGAATGCTTTTGTTCCACTTCACTTGAAAAGTTTGTGGCTTCTGATGGTCTCGTGGGGTCTCATGATGGAGGTAAGAAGTCTCAACCACAACACTGTAATTTATCCAGATTTTGCTGATTATAGTACAGTATTTTGCTGAAAAATAAAATAAACTCCGACAGTTCTCACAGAATGAAATACCATAACTTCAGTGGCACCTGTACAGGCATGCTTAAACTGTAAAGTCCTTGTCTGGTGCAAAATGAATGCCGTTCCACTGTGTGAGCAAATGAATAACTATTTCCCATAATGCACTGCATAGGAGATGCCCTAGTGGTGAGGTGATGACACGTTGTTTTGAATCACTCCTTTGTATTTAAAGTAGGATTGAAAGTATATTCTTGTGATAATTGGAAGGTGAAGGAGGGGTTGAAGGAGCTTGCTCAACTGTGTTGATATACGTCTTTGGCGGTGTTGATAGAGGAGGCAAGAGCCTGACCTTTCTGGTGTTCTCTGGTTAGAAACAAAACTTGACCAAACCCTTTTTGGAAATCTTGGATTCAGTGGCGACGTGGCTCTGGCGCCATTTCGTAAAGCCACAAGCATTTTTGAACAGAATGAAGTGGGCTGTGGCTTCTGCTCCAGGTATCAAGCTGTGAATTACACACAGCCGCAAGATGGGGAGTTTATTTCTGAGCCAGAGCCTTCAGTGATAGCTAAACAGCTTCAATTCTTGAAGCCTGGAGTCTAAGCCAAGTTTCCGTTGCCTGAAGTTTTGATATGACACTGTCAAAATATAACTACATGTATTGTTCCTGTATTGGTTTAGAGAGTCAAACAGGTTGACTCTGAGGGACTTGTTAGACCTCAGAGTGGTAATGCAACTCATCTTAAACAATTCGGGCTAAACTATGTGCGAAGTGCAGTAAGAATCTGTATATAGTCCTATGAAATAGTTTTTATGTGGGATGGGGATAGTTATGAGGCAACCCTTGAGGGTATATTGCCTATTCTTTCGTCACTAGTATGAATGTGTCTTCGGTGGTTACTCAAGGCAAAATTCTCTGCCCATGTCAAGTACCTGTATATACAGCCTTTTTTTGTTTTTGATGTACACAGGGATCAACATTTTCGATTCACACAATCTTACTGGTGTTCTTGTCTCAAGCAAAGCCCCCCCCCCATCAGCTAAGAGTTGAGCCACAGGTGTATTTAAACACAACTTGAACTGGTTTAAACTGATGTACGTACATTTGAAGCCGAGCGTTCTCCAAAACAAGGGTCTGCGAAATTGGAATTGCTACGTCTTGGCTTTTCCACTGGTACGCTTCAGTGAGCTTTGCGCTCCAAATATTTACCCCAGCAGTCTGCAATATTCAAAAACATAACGAATTGAAGACTGCTGCACTGGTGCATCTCCTTGTGATTAAAACTGACCTCCCAAACCTCCGCGATTTAATACTCCCAGAAGATTCCAATTAAGGGCGGGGGGGTCCTTTTAATGGGATAGATTACAGACCCGTAAATAAACTTTTTGTTGGTTCGGTGTTTTCCCCCGATATACTATCTTGCTTGTAAGTTTTTGCTTTTTTTATAGTTTCATATGTGACGTCGAATACCATTTCTACTTTTTCCTTGAGTATTCATGCGGAGGTGTGGCAGAGTGTGATGAATTAATTAGATTTTATGAAACATGTCATGTATATAGTTCGCTAGAGATTTTATCAAGGTTATAGTAGTGCTTGGCTTGTCCAGAATTTACACGTTTGTTTCGTGTTGGATACCATGTACATGTACGTATTTATTTTTCGGGAGTCAATTAATTTTGGGGCAGTAATTGTGCAGGGTACTTACAAAGAGTAAGTTAACTTTCAAATGTGTAGTCGGCAGCATCAGATGCTTGGACGACATTGAAAAAGGGTTGTAAAGGATGCTGCATACTTTGAAACAGAGAGTTGCAAGTTTTCAAAATCTGCAGTGCAGATGTTGACTTGAACGAGTTCTTTAGCGTCTGGATATCTCACCTTGTTAGTTTTGATTACAGATTATGATCATTAAAAAAAAATGGAAATATTGTCCTTGATGGCTTACTTAAAGCAGACAGTTGTCAACTGTTTGTCATTCTTTTCCCGACTTTCATCAGGCAATATCTTTTCAAACCATCTTGATAATTTTCACATTTCCAGGTCTAAACTCCCAGTAAAATTCATCCATGCACCTGTAACACACCAGCTTCTCAAACTACCAAGAAAATCCACTAATCAAACACAATTTGATTTTTACCCCTTTTCTATTCATTTCAGAGCAGTCCTCCAGGACTGGGACAATCTGCATTACATGCAGGAGCGTCCAATCATCAACATACGAGTCTCTTCATAAAATGTCAAAACACAATTATGATATGTTGACAAATTTGCACTCCTTCAAATTTCCAATGACAAATACGAAACGCACTCTTTCCAAAATTCTTTCATCCTTCATGAATAAATATTCTAAACAGAGTGTACTTAATTTGGTGATTCAATAATCTTGTGGTAAAAGAAAAATAACTGAAAATCTATTTTGCATGTTACGGCAAGTTATATTTTATATCACCTACACTTTGCAATAAGAGGCACTTTATTCTCTCTGTAAAAAAAAAAGAAAATGGTATAAGATGCTGCAATTTGTTTTACATAGAGTTTTTGTACAAATGATAGTACATGTATTTGGCCAGAGTTCATACATGGTCATCTAGCTTTGAATCTATCCCAACGGTTCAATTAGCAAGTGTGTTTGGGTTGGGAACCTCAATTAGCAATTCACTGCATATGTTTAATAATACAGCCTTATGGCTGCAGCGTGATAGAGTGGAACTCAACGGGTGATCAAAATTCTTCTGCACAGGTTTTTTGATGTTGCACTGTCATTGAAAAAAAACATAGAATGATACTGGAGTTGGACAAGAGAGGGCAGTACATGCATCAAGCTGAAATCAGCTGGAGACTTCATGGGCAGAAAACACGAACAAACCAACCCAGTGTTTTCTAGCCACGTAAACCTCCGCCACTTTCAAATATTAAAGACAGTGAAGATTTCACGGCAATTCTCGCATTAATGTGACATCTCAAATGCATTTTCCCCCCCAGTTCTCTGTGGACTCCAGACGGAAGAACACAACTACCAGAAGTTTGCATGGGAAGTGAGTACCGTACTGGGCAAAAGGTTGATATATTGTGACTCCATTACACATTGATTGTACATGGCTGTCAATCATCATACCTAATCTTACAACTCCCAATTACTGCAGAGAATGCTACAACCAATCAGCATCTTCATTCCTGATGACTTGCGCCGATCTCGATGGCAGGATGACTGCAGTCTTCATGTCACTGCAGCAGTTAAAAGCATTGCAGGGATGCAGATGAAAATCTGCCAACTGAAAATGGACTTTTGGGGGACAAACATGGAGGGGCGCAGCGTACTGTGAGTGACTCCAACTGATGCTCTAGGTTTGTATGAAAGCAAAGTGCCAAGCCCTCAAGCTTCCCTCAAGTCCCCCGACTATGAAAGAGAGTGAGTGAGTGAGTGAGTGAGTGAAAGTGCCAAGCACGAGCCATTGGCCATACTGCATTTTGGTCTGGCATATGAAGGAGGCTTGCTACATAATTGCAGAAATCGGTGAGAGTGGAGGTTTATGGCGATGGAGGGCAGACTGGCCGGTGGGTGGATTCTTGCACATATTACGACTTGCCACGTCACTCTCTCTCCTCGATCGCCAGCACGACGTCTCTGACCAGGTGCATATCCTCCAGTGTCTCCTCGGCGTGTTGGGACAAGTCCCTCCGCGGGAACGTTGTGCAGACTGTGTAAAGTTTGGGGTGGTAGCCTTGCTTGGCCATCCAGTCCAAAAGCACCTGTTGACCGCAGCAATTACATGTACAGTGACAGAAACAGAAAAACAAAACTCAGGAAACTGTGCGACATCTGGACCACACCAATAGAGAAACAAACTAAAAATTTTAAGTGGTCAAATTTGCGACGTAACTGTAGGCAAACATGACCACACCCCTTGAACAGTACCAAAGTGACTATGTCATGTGCACAATTATGTGCGTAAGAGGCATCAGTGCGAGAACCGGCTCGTGAACCAACACGCGCGCGTACGTTTACACTGCACTTTCTGTATCACAGTGACATCACACTTCAGTATTCAAAGGCTAATTTGGTGACTGAAATTAGAAGCCATAACTGCAGAGGTACTACACTCACAGGAAGGCAGTGTGCACATCAAATGACCAACAGTGTTGCAATTTGCCAAAAGCATGTACCTCAAGTCTCAGAATACAATATAGATATGGCATTTATACTTTTAAATATACAATCAAGATGATTTTAGTGGGATTTCATTTCGTGTCCTTCCTAAACTTGTAAGAAGACCCCACATTTAGTCTCACATCCGAGGGAGTTCATTAACCCCTTCACGGTGCGATTATTTTGACCGCGACTGCTGGACTGTGGTATGCCCTGAGTGGAGGGCTTTGTCCAGCAGCAGACCCCATTGAACCAGCAGCTGCATGGTGAATAGACTGTATGTGTGGTATGCACTAATCCTCACACAACGGTGCGGTAGTAGCAGTCCTCCGTAGCGAAGGGTTAAGAAATCCTCATTCTCTCTGCCCAAAATTTTGCTTCCCCCTGAAATTTTGGTTCTGCCTTCGTCCACACCGTTACATCTCTTTCCTGCACCTCATAGTCTGGTCCCTGTGGAGTCTCGTTTCTTACCTGAACTTTTTCTGTGTAAAGAAACCGCCTCTTCGTGACTGTACTCCGTAGACCTCTCAATGCCACCGTTATACACTGTTGGGCAAATGACATACAAACACAATGAAGCCTTGCACCATTGTTTTTGCTTTGACTTTGTCAGGGAAATTTACCATGCTCACTTGGTAACTCAAGACGAGTACCCTCTGTACTACTTGAACGCTTAGAAGCCAGAGGGCCCGATGCTTCCATCTCTAAGCAGAATCTCTCTGAGCAGAATTGTCGACTCTCAAGCAAAACTTTGTTTTCTGCTTTCTAGACGCTTACCTTTTTGTCTCTTGTGTCGGGCTCATTTGGTAATACTATTACCTGGTAGTAAGAAAAAAAAATGCATTTTTTTCATTTTATGGATGACAGGCTGAATATTCTGTAGCGTTACAACGTAGGATAACACTGACAGACACCCCAAAACTTATTCACTTCAACCTTCACAAATATTCTTGGCATAGCGGAAGATTTTAAGGTATTGTGGAGGGAGCAGACTTATAATTTACATGGGGCTTGATGCTAAAGCTCAAGTACAGTATAAAGAATATGGCGTTGGTTACCTCCAAGGTGGAAAATTTAGAAGTTTTCTAGGAAAACTGCCCCAAGTACGGATTTACACGTACGTGATCAAAATCAACCACAATGGGCAAAAATAAGACACCTTAGTGTTCTCGCAGTATTACGGAGGCTGCATTTGGGCAAAGCCCAATTGGTGATGTGGTGTGCCAAGACCAGGCGGATTTGGCATCGATACGAATGACAAAATACCTGAAATATGACATAGGGTGATCTTTGTCAAATCTGAGGATTTTTTCCATCTGTGGTGTTACTAATGTTTAATATGTTCTGTTTCAAAAATGAATTTTTTGATAAAACATTTTTGGGACTTTTTAATTCAACTACAAATTCTCAGTGCTGTGAACATTTCGATTTGACATCTTGTCAGCAAATGTGATGATTTCACCAAGTCTAACCTTCTTTACTTGTTGAGGCTTGTTTGGCACAGCTTGGGGCTGTCTTGTTGCAGAATCAGGCAACTTCCTGACGGTGGCTGCATCCTTGCTCGTCCCCTGGGCCCCTTTCCTAGGCAACTGCTGCTTTGAAGCAGAACCGGCCTTTTCATCATTGCCTTGGTTGTCCTGAAACAAAAACAGTTTTTAATGAAAACTGGAGATGTGGGGCACGTTTTGGGAGGAAGTTTATAGAATTCCGAAGTGTGACGTCATTTTGAAGCAGGACGTGTAATGCAAATGAATAGAGTGCATGCGCGTGCTTTATAGCACAAATACTTCATAAATAAAATTTCATACTCAGACATATAAGGTCACAAGAAGTAACAACTCAAGCAAAATTAATAACGGCTGCATAAATTCTGAAAGTTCATCCACGATAAACACGTTTATTAAAAAAAAAATCGCCTGGTTAATTGAAAGGATTTGCATACATATTTGTATCAGGTGGCTCAGAAGTGCACCGAATTACAATTAGTCAAACAGACGTAGAATGCACGACTGAGCAACCTTTAAAGTTGTAAGTACTAGAATTTTGAAGACAATGATTGGTAAATTTTATGCAAAATTCCCAGAAAAGTTGATTTAAAAAAGGTTAACATGCATATATGACAACTCATCAATACACAACAGGAATACCATTTTACTGCAACAACTGTCAAATAGAGCATAAAGTTGGTATCATCATTCATATTAAACAGCAGCTGCCAATATTGCCATGGCAACTCGGCTTTATCACCTGTTCCTCCCTCATGCTCATGCAGGCTGAGGAAATCAATGGCACTGTTTGGCCGCGGAGGTCTGTACATGCACATAGTTGGCTGCCCAAAGCGCAATAGGCTTGTCTTCTGCAGCACTGACAATGTGCGATATCCATTTTAATTAGAAAACCAACAGCTCATTTCATTCAAGGCAGAAATGTTGTGGCTGAAATGGTATTAGGATAAGTCTACATGTAAATACACAGAAGCAGAAGGTTATGGCAAATGACATGTTATTTCTATTCACTTTCAACAATTTCTACTTTTTTAAAGGAAAAAAACGCCTATGTGTTGTACTCTGGCTCTTCTCATAAATACTGACCATCCAGGCCCGTTGCCTGACCAGAGAAGGGGGGGGGATCGTCAAACCAAAAAGTGGAACCTTTGGCACTGTGACCACATATTTTTATACAAAGGCCTATCACAATGAGTTTGAGAATACAACACTGAAAAGTTGCCTGTCTGTCGCAAACCAAAGGTTGCATGTAAGACTTGTACACTTTTCACACTAGTTTTCAATATTGAAGAAACTTAACAAAAATACATTGATTTCAAACCCTTTCAAACACCTGAAATGTGGATATTTGCCGGAACTTCCTGATGGTACACATGACTGGAGATTGACTCATTATTACGCAGAACTGTGGTCACCTTGAGCTTGAGAATCAACGTATAAGCCATGGCTCGTATGCCGAATATTAGGCCTACGGTATACAGTATTTAAAATATTCAGTAGGGACTACACACACACAAAAAAAGACCGCCACCAAGCGGAACTCAGAAGCGAGTGGGGGGGGGGGGTTTGCTCGAACCCCTCCAGCCTACAGGCCTGCCATCGAAGTTCCTGAAGGGACATAGTCAAACAGCACCAGGCCGACAATGTCTAAAAATGCACTGCAGACTTGCATATACTGTGCCATCAACAACACCCCATTAAGCTGCCATCACTGAATTTTTTCAGCCACTACCAAAGCAGCCCATTGTCACAGCGTCAATGACAATGGACACGCTTCAAAGTCACTACATGGAAAAATACCATTCACAGTGCTATATGTACATATACAGTACATTACATTTGAAAGTTCACCTAAAAAGGGGAAAAATTTTTATACTTTTTCCAATCAGGGAAAATGAATATTCATTTCACAAACTGTGAAAAATTTTCCCCGTCCACGGAAAAATTTTCATACTTTTTTCCCCCCCTCTGTGAAAAAGAATTTCTGCCCACCTTTTTTCACTAGTGGGAAAAAATGTTCACACCTGTTTCCACGAGTGGGAAAATTGTTCACAGCTTTTTTTCCCCACACTTCGCCTGTGAATGTGAATGGGAAATTCTTCTCGCAATTTTTCAGTTGTTTTGACTGGGTTGATTGCAACTACAGGGTACTTGTATCTTCCCCCGTTCCCAGGATAGTAGGTTAAGAACATAAACTGAAAGGGGGAACGGTGCTCCGAACAACCAATTGCGCGCATGGCTTCATACAAAATCCGTATTCACACCTCTGCACAGCAACACTCCAATTACACATAATTGGCGAGGCCTCAAAGGCAGAATTCTGCTGGCGGCCATTAAAGTCACTGCACATGCACATGGTATACTGTGTCAACCGTGCATTGAAATGTTGTACAACATGGCTTTTTAAGTACTTCCGATGCACAGTACTTTTATCGCCGCCGACTCCCAGCTTGTTTAGGCTTTTTTTTTCCCCCAGTGTCCACAAAATGGTAATAGATACCAGTATATGTGAGATCGTTTCTTCTCGTTTGTTTTATGAGTGAGTTGAGCGTCTGTTTGGGATATTTCATTCGCATCAGTTTTCAAATGAAAAACGAATAACTGTTGCAGACAAAGTTTCCGGTACAACTACAGAGGCAGAGTACAAGTACAGTTTAGAGTAATCACGAGTAGCTTTAAAAAGTGGAGTTCTTGACGGTTTTGTCCTTCTTTTGAAGACAAGGCCCTGGTATAAGTTTTGGTGAAGAGTGACTTGGCATGTACTCAGGCTAAAGTCAAGACACTGGGCTGTGTCAGTGTATCATGTGACAACGGTTTAGCCAATCAGGATAAAGATTAAGCGAGAGGTCTGCTACAACTCCAACTGTTTCACCGTTGAACAGTTACGCTGTTTAAACAAGACATCAATGTGATTGTTTCACTAGAGTGAAGTTACTACAGTATGTGAAAACACAAAATGATTTTTGTGCTGAGGACTACGTGTAAAAACATATGGACAAAAAGCAACATACTATGAAAAAAATCAGGTACATACATGTATGGCGCAATGTATTCATGCATACATTCAGGCATGCTCTGGGGATGATTCAGCGAAATTGTGTTGGGAACCACTTGAAACCTAATCACTACACACAATATTCTGGCCGGTAACCAGTTTTTGTGGAGCAATTTATTTTGTTAATTTATGTTGCGCGCTTTGCAAGTGGGCCTTTTTGGTCTTGTTGACACACTATCTGTAATTTGTTGAGGACTGTGATATTCAAACACTCTGGTTTTCCACAAAAAGGAATCCATTATTCCAAAATGTCACACTCCATCTGTTGTCCGTCATTTTCTGGGGGCAGATAATCAATGTCGGTGTGCTGACTTCTCACTTCCAGTTAGTTCTTCTAGTGATGTTTGTCCCCCTTGTTGGCCGATGTGGACGTGTCATTCGGCACCATCTGCTGCAGGTCCTGTAACTAGCTCTGAGGCTTCTATAGACAACAGTAGCCTCCTGCGGCAAGGACAATCTACTGCCAATGTCGATATTTGGAGCAGCGAAAGGTTTGTGTGAAATTGCACAGCATTCTGTTAATGCAGAACATGGGGAATAGTTCCCTCCACTATGCATCAGGTCCATGTACAGTTGTTCATGTATTTAGGACCAGTGATTTAATGGGTAAGTGGAAACAGAATGCATAAGTTCCACTTTGACGCTAAAAGATCTGGGTTGTTTTGGGGACCATCTAACTGAGAGAGGATCTCCTTTCACCCTCATGAACTCAGCTCTTATAGTACCTGCCTGATCATTTTGAAAATTAGCACGCATGTAAAGACATTCATTATCCGTATCAAATGTGAAGTGACCCAAACAAAAATCAATCCGACACAGGGTTTCGATGTTTTTGTCGTTTCAAGTTCATGGCTTATTGTGTGTCGGTTCCAGTACACTGAGTGCACATCTGTGGAAAAAGGAAGCATTTTGGATTGACCAATCCCTTGGTGATACATGGGGCATTCCATTTGCCCTCAGTTTTGCCTTGGGAAATAGAATGCTCCAGGGACCACCTCAAGGTGCTAGTTTTACGACACCAGTCAATATTTGTATACTATATCACGCGAACATTAACGCATTTAGAGCTTCAATACATTCATCGTTGTTCACGCACAAAAATTCTCTTTTCGTGTACATGTAGCATGTAGCCCAGAAGAAATTTGCAGAGTCCACATGGAAATGGAATACCACTTGCCAACCGGTTTCCTGTAAACGAATCCTGTGAACATGGTTATGCTTTCGCTGACCATTTGCAGAGGCTCCCCACCAAAGGCGGAAAGCATTGCGGTACACGTTAACTACCCTACCAAGCCAGCTTTCCAAGACACAGTGCTTTCTGCCATAGGTGGGGGCCATCGGGAATGTCCCGTGAAACGCAGCTGAATTCATCCACATTTGCTGTGAAGCTGGCCCCTCTGCGGTAGCCAGTCGGTGACACGCTGCATTTGGAGTCTCCCCTTTGGCATGATACTGAACTGAGGATCTTACTCACGTCTAGACTCCGGGCACCCCCTTTCCAGGCCGGTCCAGCAAACTTGTAGAACTCCCTCTCCAGCTGAGCCTTCTTTGCTTCCCGTCTCGGCCTCGCGACTTCCGCTTCATACCTGGAAGCCTCCAATTCACAGAAAATGGGCTGAGCACTGAGCTGTGCTCCAATGCAAACACTGCCAAATTCCTGAATGACTTTCACTGTAATACACCCAATGCTAATGGGAAATTTCGTCTAAACTTGGGCCAAGTTTTGTGTGGAATGCACACTAGATATTGATTTTGTTAAAATCAGAGAAACAGATAGTTAATCCAGCAAACACGATACAAACTCAGTGAGGGATATGATCACACCTGTACCCAAATTGATAGCTTTGTCAACCACATCATTAAGCACTTAGTATGACCATTCTCAGAAAAACAGCATGAGCACCGAAATTTTTGGTTAACAATGTCGCTGAAGGATGTACGCATGATAAACAAAAGTGAAAATTCTTTGACAAACTGCGACAGAATACTTTATTGCACAACGTGCTGCTACATGTAGAATAAGCAGACAATCACTGCCTACAGTGAACAGATTAAAAAAAACCTATTAGCCCTGGCAGTATTATTTTTACCTTCTCATTGTATTCATTCTGGATTCTCTCGCATACTGCCCTCTGTTGATGGGATAACTCCTCTGCTGATAGCCCTGATGCCAAACAATGTGCCAAACAAATACACCTCAGTTGAACAATCTTCAATACACTCCAGTAATCTCCCCCCGCCCCCATCCAGGAATACATTCTCTGTGACTGTCCTGATTCCCCCTCCTGCCCAATATCACAGCTTAGGGGGAGGGGTGGAGATCTGCCCCCTTTGGATCTTGTGGGGGTCACGATAAAGAATTTAACTGATGAAACTTGACACGTCCATTTTTATGATTCAGCGTCGATTCAGGCAATTTGGACAAGGCATTCTTAGAATATGGTTACAGGAACATGTATGTATTTCACAGCAACATTCACAAATGAGTGCTTTTTCCGAGACAAAAAATTATGTTTGTGATGACAGAAAAAATAATTCACAGGGAACATCCTTCAGTTTAAGAACTGAGTTCTTAAACTGCCACTTTTTGATCAAATGTGCTTCCAAGTTCAGTAGCTGGATTATCATTTTTTTAAGTGTGCTTCAAGGGCTTATTTAATTCTCGTACCAATGGACTGTCAAACAATATATCTTGGGCAGAACCCCTGGGATTTTGGTTTTCCAAGAAGCCAGTATTCTTATTCCATTGTTTTTATTCCTTCATATTATATTCAGAAACTTCACAGGAATTATGTTTGCGCAAAACCCCAAAACATGTGCCAACTTTTTGATTTATGTGTCAGCAACTGTATGAGCCCAGAATAGTTAAAGGTACAGTCTGTACCTTGTCATTAGTGGAGCATGTTTGTTTTGCGGCAAAAAAAAGCCAAAGAAGGGTGTTTTTTAACTAACCTCACCAAGTTAGAGCTAACTGATGGTGCCCGTTCCATGACAAACAATACTCCACGGTCTCAATTTCAAATCAAAATTTGCTGAGTCATGTTACGAATTGTGCCAAGATGCAGCATCCCCGACATGCTGTCCTTCAGCTTCACTGAATGAAAAACAAACTACTAGCGGCAAGTTCCCAAACTGCGTCTTTAGCCACACCGTTGGGAGTGGCCTTCTTTCATTGCTTTCTTCCAAATGACAGCTACATGTAGCCTGGGACAGTTGTTCCACAGGGAGCTTTTACCCAGGGACTGTCCTTGAACCCAGTATGCTTTTCAACAACAATTTTGTTAGTTACTTTATGGACAGCTGCAAATGTGGGACTGCACCAATGAGTGGGTAACCCTCCCCCCCTTGCACACACACATACGCAATCAACAAAAAGCTAAAATTTCATCTCTAAATTTTCTGTCCCTAACTTGCAGGGTACCGGTAGTCCAAAAAGATGGATATCAATCATCGATAGGGGCAAAAAACTCTGAATGCAAAGGGAAACATAATATGTTAATAAAGGGGTTGAGTAAAAGTACATGTACATACAGGTATACAGTGTTGACAATGCAATGACTGTACATGTACAGATGTACATGTACATACACATAAAAGCCACTTCAGAAAACTGCCATGTCATCGTGGCTGCTCCCTTATGCACAGTGTAGGTGCCTTGCTCATAAATTCAATGCTCATTTCATGAATACAGTAATAATTGGCAAACAATAATTTGTCACGTTGCAATTCTTCGAAGGCCTTAATCTTATCTTGTTACATCTGTTGGAACGGTAATATCTGACAAGATAAATGCTACAATATCAGTGCTGAATTGATGTTGACTACTTCAGTAGAAAAACAGAGGGACAAGCCTCTTGCGAATTGGCAGGCCAACTTCATAATGTAGCACTTACACTGGGCAGCCTAGAATTCTTTATTTTCATGTGACCAAAGAATTGAAGTTTTCTACTTATAAAATTTGAGACCTAACTTGGGGTACAAATTTCATGTCAAAGTTTTTGCACCCAAATGCTTCAAACTTTTGTAAAACCTTCGGCACTGAAAAAGGAAGCCAAATTGACTTTGGATCTAATGTATATTATTTGATTTGAATGATAAAGCGTTTTGTAATGAATGCAAGAATATTTTTGAAGGGTACAGATATTGATTTTTTTTCCCACTGAGGGTTTAATTAATAATTAGATTGATTGCTTGATATTTGAACACAGTGTATAAGGATACCGATATGTTGGGGAGTAAATATATTTGAAAGGTTACCTGAGCCCTTTTTTTCCTGATACTTTTGTCGTTGAAAGAACCACTTCCAACCCGCTTCAAGTCTGTCACCGACCAGGTACAGAACAAATGTGAACAGGCCCAAGGTGAGAAGGCACAGGGATATGGCCCGCACAATGGCCGACACATCTGGGGTGGCGAAAAATAGACACAGATTGGTCAGAATTAAGCCCGATCTTTTCTTCAAATACGGCCAAACTGGTCTGCTCCAGACACCAACAGATAATGGCAGGGCTCTTTGTCAACATGCACAAGCACATGGAGGGCACGACGACTACGCAACGATGTACAAGTCGGGACAAGTAAATAAACAGTATTTCCATACAAATGCAAATTGAAGTCGATTTTTCAGAGCCCGACTTCTGCACAACCACACGTACATGTACGTCGTGGTGTCCATTTCCAAATAATGAATATTCAAATTCAACCGTGCCACAAGGCAAGACTTGGACAAAATCAGATTAGGAACACTTGAGTTAACAAAGTATTAAACTGAACTGTACAGGAGGAATGACCTGCTTTCAGTTTGTGGAAGCCTAGCAGATACAGCTGATTACATTGGACTTCCAAACACGATAAACACTGATCTGGATAAAACTGGGTAAGACTAGTTACCCGGTACAAGTTACCTGAGAGCCAGCATAATGCGTGGGACTGGCACAAGAGAATGCCCTGTCAAACACACGGCCATTTTAAGTGTGAACCCTGTGTTTTTGTACCTTGGCAGTAATGCAGTTAATCAAAATGAGGATGCAATTTAGGTGGCTAATTTCTCAGGCTAGGGTATAAAATTTCTACTGATTGCTTGAGAAGTGTGAGTTTTTTTTTAAATAAAATAAGGTTTCACAAGTACCCAGCACCAGTCACATGAACCTGTAGTGTTCACGATGGATGCCCGACTATTAATTCTACAACAAAATTCCCTGAAGAGAAATCACTCTAGACCAATCAATTTCCCATGCCAAAAAAAGGAAAGAAAAGAAGTTTGTCTTTGAATCCAAAGAATGCATCCAGAATTATCACAAAGTAAAAAAAGAGTCCATCATCCAGGATTGTTTTGTTTAAACGGAGGAGGAACTTTGAAATTTTTACTAAACTTTCTACTCTTTATTTTTAAGTTGTAAACTTTGGTTCGGCCCATACCCTTGATGAACATCAGCCTAGGAAATCTACATGTAAGTACATGTTCACATTATCGCGAGCTTCAGGCAACTCAGGCCTGTCAGGGGCGGCGGGGCTAGGAGTAGCATTTGAGCTCCTAAACGGAGCTGATCACTGATCACTTGACCAGGCTTCCTGCTATCAAGCAAACATCACACCACACGAGCAGGAAAAAGGCATTCCACTTACTGGGGACTATCCCAGGGAAATAGAAAATCACATGTTCTCTACTTGTAAACTATTGTCTGTTACAGCCTTTGGGATGTCATTGGTTTCAGAAATCTTTGCAATGATGCAGCACAACTCGTGTTGAGAACCCATCCCCAAGGGCTGCTAAAAAGGTTTCTTTTCATCTTACAACAATCATATTGATTATTTTGGGTTGTTCCGAAGGATTTATACCCCACCATGATAACAAATCTTCATATTCAGAACATTTATGAGAATATAGGTCAAGAGAACCGGAAAAAAAGAGTCATGCCAGTTGAGAACATTCCCGTTGAATTTAACGTAGTGTCACTGTTGGGCACGATCGGTCCATGTGTGTAATCGCCCAGTCTTTGCACGATCAGTCAATATCTTTGCACAAATTATTGATAATTCTGCAGTCACCTTTACTTTTGAAGCCTAACTCCTGGTTGTGACAGATTGATTAATTCAAAATGGGGAAATTAAGTTGGAGATTTCTTGCAGGATCAATTGCGTAGAACTACTTGATGTCACACAGATTGGCCAAATGTGCCCAACATCATCAACATTCTTTATGAATAACCACCCCGGCCTACTGTGACCCACACAAGGACACGTACGACGTGATGCATGGACACTGGTTACCCCCAGAACTGTGGGGTTCAACGTCCGGTGTCATGGCTGAGGGAGTATGGAAGACATTGAACCCACAATTCGGGGGGGGGGGAATACTATATTGGTCTGAGTCAAGTTGGGACAAATTTTAACCGTGATATCATCAGATCAAGACCATAAACATGATAAAAGACTGCACGAAATCATGATGGTGTCCAATGCGGTTCATATATTCTTATTTATTGTTACATGTGATGATGTAGGTCTAGGCCGTATTGGATTCCTCCATCATGTCCACGTCCATTAATCATCCCTTAACTTACAGCATAGGCCTAAGTAACCACCTGACCACGGCAACATGCCCTTACCGAGTTGAAAGAAAACTGAAAGTGTCATCACAACAGTAACTGTACACACCAATGACCAGCCAGAACTGCCATGAGTGCCGGTACTGGTTTGATGTTGACCTTGATTAAGTTGACACATGATTTCTGCCTTCTTGGCCATATGCTGGTTGTGTGTATGTGCTCTAATTCCCGCGTCACGAGACCTCACACTATCGAAACACCCAACGCAAAAGCCATGAACTTCAGCATATCATCAGTAATGTACAGGACATGCATGACGGGTACACATAATGCGCTCGTTTTTCCCCTCAATATACGTGTACATGTAATCATTCCTCCATGATGTAATCAAGTGCACAGGATCTAGGAACGTCCATCAGTTTGTGGAGATCAGTACTGGGGCTGCGCAGTAGTTGGTTCATTTCCTTCACAAAGTTCTGCACAAGATAATTTGCCAGCTCTCAGTAAAGGGATAACGGCATAAGCAAACCACATTATTTCTTTTTCATTTCAAACTAAACAGAAGTAGAGAAGCGTTTGCCCCTATGCGAGTCTCTACAAATAGCAAACAAAAAACTGGGCCAGACTTGACTTGAAGATTTTTGTGCTCGTTGAACCGTCCCTCAGAATCTAATTTGCAGTCTCACCTACAATTATTAATGGTTTGCCCGTTCAATGACTCGGCTCTTATAAACACTAATAACGTTTTTTATTACAAATTACCTACTAATATTTATAATTTTTTAAGAACTTGAATAAAAGTTTCTATTTTAGGTAACTTAAATTTCATATTAAATATATATTATAAAATAGGGTCTTTGTTGTATTTTTTGTAGATATGAAATTTAGCAAATAGTGACTGATTGTCACCCAGCCAATCAGGACCCTCGTTATTTGCACCTCGTTGTGGAAGAGATGGCCACATAAATCGAGCACTCACCGTCCGCCGGTCTTTTGGTTGGCGGATCGCAGCCAGTGAACTTGAAGTATCTACGACGCTGCACACAACGTGCTTGTAAACACTCTGATTTCCCAATGCCGATGGCGGAGCAAAATCACAACTGTGTGGACATGGACGACGAAAATACATTTCTGTTCACCTCAGAATCTGTTGGAGAGGGGCATCCTGGTAAGATGTTAATGTGTTTTTGTTGCCACTTGATTTGGAATCTTATTTTAGGTGTGTTAAAAGCGAAATTTTAGCCTTGTTTCGCGGACGTTTTGTCACATGTCTTCACTCTTGTTTCAAGTCCCATTGTTGACATTGCGTTCATTGACCTTGGCTACGTTAACTGCAGGAGCGCGGTATATTAGCTGTTTTACACGACTGTTAGGTAACCTCGTCTAATATCACAACAGTGAGGAGAAAAAGAAACATGAATTGGGGCTGAATGACATGGAAACATTTCAATTTTTGTTACTGTTTTATGCAGCCTAGCATAACCACAAACAACAAACCAAGGCTAAACTAAGGTGAAATTTCTGAGGGCACGCACAAAAGTGAATAATGTTAGGCTTAGCAAGGACCTACTTACTTTTAGCGTTGTAAGGTTTTTACAAAACTTAAGTTGTGATGAGCCATGAGAACTGTAGATACTATAGAGAGCACTGTGGCAAAAAAATTCAACTTTGCTTGTTGCTACCAACTCTCTTGTCAGGAATATTTGTTTCCAAATTTTCTCACATGTAGTCTGCCTGAGCTGTGGGTTTTAAATGTAGATGCATAGCAAGAATCGCTAGAAATAAATTTTATCACAAAATGAAGAAACTGATGAAATTTTTCTCGTGATATAGTCTTTCTCTTGTGATATACTAGGGGGTGCCTAGCTCATGGTGGTGATTAGTGCTCCATTTTTAACTGAGCCCCATAATGTGGTTTTTTTACCAGACTGTCTCTTTATTGAGGCACACAATACCAATTCGCTTTATATGTAAAGAGTCCCTGTTACTAAGGTCACTGAGAATGAGTTTTGGGATTTTTCTTCGAGCTTAAAAGTCAACATGGCATATATTGACAATGTCGCCGGCCACTAAAAATTGTTTTCTGGATAAGACTCCCACATGCAAACATCACTGATTTTCTCTTGCAGTGGTTTATTAGTCATCGGAAAGTGAAAAAAGTCAATTATGGCTGTGAAAATGTTGAAACATTTACTTTGAAAATACATGGAATTTTCTAGATCAGTCTCATAGGGTTTGTGCACAGGGTGTAGATGGTGTCAGACGGTGTCCGTGTATGGAACTCTTTCCGTTTTTGTACCCTTCAGCCTCCAGTCGTCTTACAGTATCAAGGCAAATTTTGAACATTGTTGGCCTAAAACTTCTGTGATGGCTGGCGTATTCTGCTGTGGGTCAAGCATAGTGCATGCACAGAGATTTACCAAGGACTGTTCTTGTCAGTGGTGTATTTATCAATGGAATCTCATCAAACTAAGCATAAAGCATGTTATTACAGCAAGGATGTGCAACAGTCGTTGCTGACTGCAATGACCCATGACCCACAGTAGCATATAACAGCTGATTCCCCGTGGATGCTATAAGAAACGACGGAAAGACAA